GGGGTCGGGAGCCGGTGTCCACTGTCCAGGGGTCCGAAGGGCCGTCCTTCTCCTGGACTGGCAGCCCAACTGGGGGGGGGGGCACCCCGGGGAGCAGGGGGGTTCCAGTCACTGCTGCTGCCCAGGACTTTCCGGGTGGATTCCAGAGGGTTGGCTCGGGAAAGAGTCCCCCACCCGAGCCCTGCCTTGCAGCCCAGGACACCTCTCCGTTCCCCTGGGCTTGGCCTGGCTCCGGCTGGACAGGGCTGAGTGGGCAGCTGGGTCAGCTCCCAGCCTCCAAGGCTCTCCCCAAAGCCTCTCTCCCCCGACTGGCCCGCCCAGTCCATTTTAAACCCCGACATTTGAGTTCTCCAAGGCTTTCATGGCCGGATTCCCTGGGTTGTAGGTTTTTCGGGCTGTCTGGCCAAATTCCAGAAGCATTCTCTCCTGACATTTCGCCTCCATCTCCGGCAGGCATCCTCAGAGGTTGTGAGGTTTGCTGGGAACCAGGCAAGTGGGGTTTACAAATAATAATAATAATAATAATAATAATAATAATAATAATAATATCTGAACATGAGGAAGAACTTCCTGACCGTGAGAGCCGTTCAGCAGTGGAACTCTCTGCCCCAGAGCGTGGTGGAGGCTCCTTCTTTGGAGGCTTTTAAGCAGAGGCTGGATGGCCATCTGTCAGGGGTGCTTTGAATGCAATATTCCTGCTTCTTGGCAGAATGGGGTTGGACGGGATGATGGCCCAGGAGGTCTCTTCCAACTCTTTGATTCTAGGATTCTATGAATATTATATGTAAATGTAATAATTCCTCATTGCTTATTGTTATTTTAAAGCTAATTGTATTGTTTTAATTTGTTTCTGTAAACTGCTCCGAGCCAAATTGGGAATAGCAGTATACAAGTTAAATAAATAAATTAAAATGATGATGATGATGATGATGATGATAATGAGGCAGGGCATAGTGGACAAGCATACAGATGCAGAGTTGTCTGTTCTGCTCCACAGTCACACAAGGTGTGGGATTCTTTTATTATTAAACTTTATTTGTACCCCGCTAGCATCTCCCGAAGGACTCGGTGTGGCTTACAAAGGCCGAGGCCTCAACACACAACATAATAATACAAAACCCAAGGCAAATTAAAAACAATTAAAGCAATATAAACAACAAGCAATAAGCAATACACTAAGACACAATGAAACTGGGCAAGGCCAGAGTGATGGGTACAGGATTAAAAGTGCTGATGTGACAGGTGGGATATAAGGCATTATAGGGCAAGTGCAGTGTGCGGTGTGCAGCAATCTTAGTTCTAGTAAAGTGCTTATGGGACTTGGTGTTGGAGATTTCCTAGTCTGGGAAGGCACGTCGGAACAGCCAGGTCTTCAAGTTCTTTCTAAAGACTGCCAATGTAGGGGCCTGTCTGAGATCTTTGGCGAGGGTGTTCCAGAGTCAGGGGGCCTGTCTCGTGTCCCCAACAAACACATTTGCGACGTAGGCGGGATCACGAGCAGGGCCTCTCCAGATGGCTGAAGGGAACGCGTGGGTTCGTAGACGGAGATGCGGTCCCGCAGGTAGGATGGTCCCAAACCGTTTAGGGCTTTGTAGGTAAGCACCTGCACCTTAAATTGGGCTCGGAAAATAAACGGCAGCCAGTGGAGCTCCTTGAACAGGAGGGTTGACCTCTCTCTGTAAGGGGCCCCAGTTAACATCCTGGCCGAGGCTCGTTGGACCAGTTGGAACTTCCGAGCCATTTTCAAGGGCAGCCCCACATAGAGTGCATTGCAGTAGTCCAATCTGGAGGTGACCAAGGCATGGACCACCCCGGCCAGATCAGCCCTCACAAGGTACGGTCGCAGTTGGCGCACAAATCTCAATTGTGCAAAAACCCTCCCAGACACCGCCATTTTGCCAGGTTGTTTTTTGATCTGCCCACTCCACTTCTGAGTCTGTTCAGGGACTTCCAGGTTGCCCATTCTTGGTTTGCCCTGGAGGAAGACCCTCTCTCGTGGGGGGGGGGGGCATCCAGTGGGGATTTCCTGGTCTAACTGCTCAGAGTAAGACCCTTGCTGTTGCTGGGGGGACGCCAAGAGGAGTGGTGGTTCTCATGAAGCTTTCCCTTGATTGGAGTCTACTGGGAGGAGGCTGGTAGCTATGCAGTGTGTGGCTTTCACAGGGTTCAACCTTATTTCTCTCCCATTTAGCAGCAACTTCCCATCACACATGGGGGGGGGGGGAGCAATGCCAGCTAGCTTGTAGAGTGTATCAACAGGTGTAGGTTTAAGACATCCTGGGATTATTCTGCATGTTTCATTCAGTGGTGTGTCCACCTGCTTCGCCTGAGCAGACATGTGCCAAACAGGGCCGGCATACTCGGCAGTTGAGTCAGACAAGGCCAAGGCTGAGGTTCTTATTAATTTTGGGTCTGCACCCCATGTGCTGCCAGTCAGTTTCCACAAGATGTTATTGCATGCAGCGACTTTGTGCTTGGTGTTCAAGCAGTGTTTCCTATCTGCTAGTGTTTGATCTACGGCAGGGACGGCTCAACCCATTACGCAAAGTAAGCATTCACAGTACAGTTGATGTTGCCCAGGGGCGCTCTTGAGGCGCTCTTGGGGGAAAATAGACCTTGACATATGCGAGTTGTAGCTACTGGGATGTATAGTTCACTTACAATCAAAGAGCATTCTGAACTCCACCAATGATGGAATTGAACCAAATATGGCACACAGAACTCCCATAACAAACAGAAAATATATATCAATTATTGGTTGGGGGGGGGGTACTGTTTGCTTACCGTTGAAAATTACCTAGGACTGTGGCGGCCATTAGGAGAAAAATAAAATAATCATAATTTAAAATGAAAATAATGAGCAGTAAGGCTTACCTGACCGTTCTTGAGGCTGGGAAGCAAAGATTTTCGTGGAAGAGAAATTTAACAGATGACTTAGAAGCTTTCAGGGTGGCTCTATCTTAAATAAATATTTGAAGGAGCCAAGGCTAAAGGCTGAGGTAGGAAACTTGGCTCATGAGGTAAATCGATATTATTGATCCAAAAACTAACATCTAAAGGTACACATTGGAAATTGTAGTGTTCTGCCAACAAGTATTATTGGCAATTATACATCAAGGACAAGTTGTTAATGATTATAACTGTGTAAATGTCAAGACCGTTATGCGCATGTGTAAACCTGTGAATTTATGCTATAAATGCTGGAGCAAATCTGACTTCCAACTTGTGTCAGATATTGTTTTCTGTACACCCTATCAAGCTTGATAGAATTAAAAAGCCTGGAATAAGTTGCCGTCTCCTTTCTCTTCCTTTCTGATTGTGCTCTAAATGATCTCGGGTAACGTATCTTCCGCAACAGGACTACCTCTGATCTATGGTGACACCAAGACATTTAGGATGGAAACAATATTCAAGCTCTTGACCTTCCCAGGTGACTTTCAATTTCCTGTTGGCTTCATGGTTGCGTAGGTGGAAAGCACACACTTGTGTCTTGGCAGGGTGAGGCTTCAGGTGGTAATCTTTGCAGTAGCTGTGCACAGTGACATCACCCGAAAGTCTCAAACTTCCATTGTTGCGAGATTTTAGCTGACAGAATGCATACTGATTTTACAAGCATATATACAAAACTGTGCCTCAGAACACATTACATCAAAGAATCGTAATTAGGGCTGGGCTTTAGCAGAGCTGGTTAATTACCAGCAGCAATAAGATCACACCAATCAAAAGGTTGGCAGTTCAAAGCCCAGGTCGAGGTGAGCACCCCACCTTCAGCCCAGCTTACTGGCCGCCTAAGCAGTTCAAAAATAGCTGTGAACTGTGAGTAGAGAAATCAGGCTCCGCTTAAGCGGGGAGGTATTTTACGGCACCATAAAGAAAATACCAGAAAATGTCAGCGATCAAAGGAAGGAAGTCTGTGATCAAGGGCTCTTCGTCATAGAAGGTGGAGCAAGAGCACCGCCCTGTGGCCGGAATCGAGGACAACCTCCAGGACACCAAAGTTGGGGAAAATGCCGACACATACCTCTATCTGTTATTGGTGCTATCTGTCTAACGGCATTGAATGCTTGCCAAGTATATGTTTTGTGATCCGCCTTGAATCCCCTTTAGGGAGAGAAGGGCGGAATATAAATAAATGCTGTAAATAAATAAAATAGAACTCTGTGTACCATTGCTACGTTTCTGAGATGTTTTGCATAGACAGATTCCAGCAGATTACTGATAAATGTCATATGATAGAGCCCGAATCACATTCAAAGAGTCTCAGAAACAGAGTATATCCCATTGTGAGACAGTCCTTGACCCTTGTTTTATGTTTTGCTCAATATATATGTTTGCTTCCTCCCTTGGAGACTCTTCTCTCCTTGTTTTCTGAGTCTAGATATTTAGAAGCACTTGGTTATAGAAACCACTGCTGTTGGCCGGCATCCACAAATCACTGAACCACTTGGGTTTTTAATTGGAATTTTCAAGATGCTGAATCTGTTTGGGAGAGAGACCTCAGGAAGTTGGGTAGTTCCTTGAATGTTCAGAGCAGAACACAGAAGCCACTACCTGTGTGACAGGGTGCTAATAAAATCTGGCTACCAGTATTAAAAAACTCTAAAACTACAACAGCACAACAGAGAGGAAACAAACAAGGACATCTAATCACCTCTCAACAAAAGATTGCTCCAGGCACTGTCAGGCCATTATATGCTGATAGGTGGTCAGTTGAAACATTCCCACCTAGCTCCAACAGACAAGAGTTCTTTGTCCCACCCTGGTCATTCCACAGATATATAAACCCCTTTTCCTAGTTCCAACAGACCTCACTACTTCTGAGGATGCTTGCCATAGATGCAGGTGAAACATCAGGAGAGAATGCCTCTAGACCATGGCCATATAGCCCGAAAAAACCTACAACAACCCAGGGTGCTAATAACTGGATCCCCATGGTGGCTAGTTGTATTATGAAGGGCAAGGGGGCATTCTCTGACCCACCTTTCCTCTTTTCGTTCCAGGCCTCGCTGGCGGCGTTGCAGGACGTCACCATCTATTTCTCGCAAGAGGAATGGGAAGAGCTGGCAGAGTGGCAGCAGGAACTCTACCGGGACGTCATGCGGCAGAACTTCCAGCTCATCGCCTCCCTTGGTACTCAAGGAAGTTTGGAAGCATATATGTTGCCAGTCTCTCTGGAACACACTCTTTTCAAAGGCTATGCGCTATTCAGAATTTATTCTGTGCAAAATTCACACATGGTTGTTTTGTGCAGAAAACATAACCTTTTCTCTGCAGGAATTTCTGCTTTGAAATATCTTCTGCCTTGCAGTAAATGATGTTTTCTACCAGAATTTTTTTATTTATTTTATTTATTTCAAATATTTATACCCCGCCCTTCTCAACCCCGGGGGGTGAGGGGGGACTCAGGATGGCTTCCAGCCAGCAACAATTTGATGCGTCCATGTGTACATAATAACATACATAATAGAACCAATAATTGAATACAATTAAAACATTAAATCAATTCGATTAAAAATATGCTTTAATATGACAGCCTTATAACCTTATCTAGTCGAATTCTGTGGTCGGAGACTCCATCAAGTTTGTCCACAGTCCATTACCATAGCAATTGTCATCATTGTAATTGTCGTTGTCAACATAGTTACTCAAAGGCCTGGTCCCACATCCAAGTTTTCAATTTCTTTCTGAAGGAGAGGAGGGATGAAGGTGACCTAATTTCCCCTGGGAGCGAATACCCCAGGTGGGGGGCCACCACTGAGAAGGCCCTGTCCAAGCGTGTTTCTGACAGAGGTGGGGTCGAGAACAGGGGATCTCCAGAAGATCTTAAACTTCGAGGTGGAACGTAGAGGGAGATACGTTCGGACAGGTACACAGGTCCTGGAACTGTATAGGGTTTTATAGGTCAAGACCAGCACTTTGACTTGTGCTCGGAACTGGATTGGCAGCCAGTAGAGCTGACATAGCAGGGGGGTGGTATGTTTCTTGTATGGTGCTCCAGTGAGTAGTCTGGCTCCCACCCGTTGGACTAGTTGGAGTTTCCATACAGTCTTCAAAGGCAACCCCACAAAGAGAGCATTGCAGTAATTTATTTGGGATGTAACAAAAGCGTGGACCACTGTGGCCAGATCAGACTTCCCAAGATATGGGTACAGCTGGTGCACAAGCTCCCCTGACCACCGCCGAGACCTGGGGTTCCAGGCTCAGCAATGAGTCCAGGATCACCCCCAAGCTGCAAACCTGTGTCTTCAGGGGGAGTGGAACCCTATCTAACACAGGCTGTAACCCTATGCCCTGTTTGGCCTTTTGTCCTTTTTTTTTTCTGCAGAAAATAACTGTGTGTGAAATTTTGCACAGAACACATCCCAAACGGAGAAAATTCTCATCCGCCTAGAAAATATTTTTCTATCTTTCTGGGAATATTTTCAAATACTCTTCCCATCCCTGTAAAGCAAGAATATGCCATTTTTTAACATATTAAACCCTGATGTCGCCTGCTCTTGTTTTCAAGGATACAAATATTGTATTGTCAAAGGCTTTCATGGCCGGAATCACTGGGTTGTTGTAGGCTTTTTTGGGCTCTATGGCCATGTTCTAGAGGCATTCTCTCCTGATGTTTTGCCTGCATCTATGGCAAGCATCCTCAGAGGTAGTGAGGTCTGTTGGAAATAGGACAATGGGTTTATATATCTGTGGAATGATGTCCAGGGTGGGGGAAATAACTCTTGTCTGCTGGAGCTAGGTGTGAATGTTTTAACTGACCACCTTGATTAGCATTGCCTGGAGATGCAGGCAAAACATCAGGAGAGAATGCCTCTAGAACATGGCCATATAGCCTGAAAAAAACCTACAACAACCCACCAATCCAAATATTTCTTTCAAACCAATGTATGAAGATTTTTTTTCTCCCCAGAAAATCACTCAAAGTAGTGCAAAACCATCTCTAAATAATCACAATTGGCTTTCTTTTCCCCCAAACAATGTCACAAATCGTGATCTTTTCTCCTCAAAACAAAAACACTTCCAGGATGGGAAAAATTGGGACAGGAATGAAAATTCGACCCTCTCTCTCTCTCTCTCTTGGGTCTTAGTTTGCTATCTCTGCTTTCACAAGAACGGTCTGTAACCTGTTTCCCTCTTATTTCCTTTTTCATTCTTTTAGCTGTCTGTGACATCAGAGTAAAGGAGGAAATGACGGAGGAAGTGAAGGAGGAAGCGAAGGAGGAAGAGGCCAGGCATGTTGGTGCAGAAGGCATGGGAAGGTTGTTCCTCGAGAGGTTTTTCCTCCAGGGATGGAAGGTTGAGGGCAAAAGCTTTCCCGACGGAGCTCAGGTGGACAGATGGGCCAAGGAGGCCCACTGGCCAGTTTGGGGCCAAGGGCCCGAGGCCGAAGCCTTCCCTCTCGCCTGCTTGATCTGCGGGAAGGGCTTCAAGAGCCCAGCCGCTTGCCTTGCGCACCAGCGTGTCCACACGGGAGAGCGGCCTTTTGTCTGCGGGGAGTGCGGGCGCCGCTTCACCCACCGCCAGCACCTGGGCACGCACTTGCGCGTGCACGGCCAGGAGCGGCCCTTCACCTGCGAGGAGTGCGGTGCCGCCTTCCGCCTGCAGAAGCTGCTCCGGACGCACCAGCGCAAGGTCCACTCGGGGGAGCCGCCCCTGGCCTGCACGGAGTGTGGCAAGCTCTTCACCCACAAACACCACCTGATGACGCACCAGCGGACACACACGGGTGAGCGCCCCTTCCCCTGCCCCGAATGCGGCAAGTGCTTCACCCAGAAGCACCACATGCAGGCCCACCAGCGGGGCCACTCAGGGGACCGGCCCTTCCCCTGCCCCGAGTGCGGCAAGACCTTCAAGGACCGCGTCGGCGTGGTCATGCACCAGGCGGTGCACACGGGGGCAAAGCCATTCTCCTGCCCCGAGTGCGGCAAGGCTTTTAGTCACAGGCACCATCTGGTCATCCACCATCGTGTCCACACGGGTGAGAAGCCCTTCTCCTGCGGCGTGTGCCAGAAGCGCTTCACCCAGAAGCACCACCTCCTCAGCCACGAGCGCCTCCACACGGGCGAGCGCCCCTACCCCTGCCCAGAGTGCTCGCGCAGCTTCAAGGACCGCATCACCCTCAAGCTGCACCTGCGCCTCCACACCGGGGAGAGGCCCTTCGCTTGTGCCCAGTGCGGGGAGCGCTTCCGCCTGCGCAAGGCCCTGCTCTCCCACCACCAGAAACACGAGGCCCCCGCCCAGGTCATCTGTGCCGACTGTGGGCAGACCTTCCCACGCATGCGCAGCCTGGCCGCCCATAGACGACGCGCTCACCCCTCCGCATCCGGGGAACTGAAGCCGAGCAAGAAAAGGCTGGAGGTGGAGGCCACCACCAAGAAGGTCCTGTCTGAGCAGCATGAAAATGGCGGGCAGGAGGAAGGTCAACTTAAGCAATCAGAAGAGGCTGGTGGACCCCTTCCCACTGGCCCCCAGGATCCTCCAGTTGCCATGTTTCTGACCCTTTGAAAGAGTCATAGTTGAATCCAGCATGGCTGCTTTTCCAGGTGGCCACATCACCATTTAGATTTTGGAGACCTCAATACTCATCTGAAGTGCAAGGGCTGCATGTGCTTTCCATAGGAGAATTCCCAGATTTTAAGTTTTGCGTAACTAGATTGAGTTAATGAGTTCCTGGAAGACTGGCCAACCAGACGAAGAAAGAGAAGGAATTCCCATCAATAGGTGTGTAGGTGGGCTCACTGCACATGTCTCAGCCCAGCCAGCAACAACACAGCATCCTGGACTACTAGGTCCTGACTTCTCGATTGTGACACAGTGTCCAAGTGGGCTGGTGGTGTGGTCACTCTTCACCAGTGAGGCAAACAAGGAGAATGTTCAGTTTCATTTGCAATAAGTTAGTGAGCTCTTGTGTTATAGGCACATTGGGGAATGTACCTGGCCTCCAAAGATATTACATTGTATTGAAATGCTTTTAATGCGGGGTGTAAATCATAGGATCATCAAATCCTAGAGTTGGAAGAGACCTGGTGAGCCATCCTGTCCAACCCCATTCCTCCAAGAAGCATGAAAATCTCATTCAAAGCACCCCCAACAGATGGCCATCCAGCCTCTGCTTAAAAGCCTCTAAAGAAGGAGCCTCCACCACACTCTGGGGCAGAGAGTTCCACTGCTGAACAGCTCTCTCACAGTCAGGAAGTTCTTCCTCATGTTTAGGTGGAATCTCCTTTCCTGTAGTTTGAAGCCATTGTTCCATTGTGTCCAGGTGTCAAACTGTAGGATCTATATAGCAATATTAAATAACCACTCACAAGCCGGTTTTGCTTTGAAATGGATATATTGCTTGTATCTCTGCAGCAAAGAAAGACACTACTGACTTTTTCCCACCACCACTTGCTTTTACACAACTTTCCCGCCCATCTCCCCCTCTTCTCAGTTTCCTTAGTAGAGCTTGTTGTTTCACAAGTTACAATACAAGGTTTCCAGCGCCCTCTGCTTGCTTCAAAATGTCACAGTGAGAGAATTGATTCAGCCAGGATGTTTCAGTCAGGATGTCACGGAGGGAATTTGTGATGTCTTCATGCTTCCTGATATCAAGGCAGCAGAAAGGAAGCCTTCCCCCTCCTCCCTATGACTTACCCTCCCATCTTGATCCCTGGCCCTCTTTACGTCTCCTCTCAGCCTTCTCTTCTGCAGGCTAAACATCCCCAACTCTTGAAGCTGCTCTTCCTCATTGCCATTGAATCAGAGTCTAGCTACCTCATCACACTAGAGCATGGATCAACTTTAAATCCGGTTTCTGCCTTCTGCAGAATTCTGGGGTTTGTAGTTTATTGAGGCCCAGGATGTGTCTGACTGAGCAGTTGAAAGGCCCCTCCCTAAACCCAGCTTACCTGTCCGAACGCATCTCTCCTTATGAACCTTCTAGAACTCTAAGATCTTCTGGGGAGGCCTTGCTCTCACTCCCGCTGTCTTCGCAGCTGCAGTTGGCGGGGATGAGAGACAGGGTCTTCTCAGCGCTGGCCCCTCGGCTGTGGAACTCCCTTCCTAGGGACATTGGATCAGCCCCCTCCCTCCTAACATTTTGAAAACAAGTCAAAACCTGGCTTTTTGAGCAAGCTTTTGCAAATGCAGTATAACTCGCAAATTTAGACCCACGGAATGACTGGACGATGCAATTGGAAAATGTTTTTAGTAATGAGATGGGTGAACCAAACTCCCCAGGTCTGTCACGCTCAAAATACACCATCTCTCTCTCCTTCCCATGGAGCAGAGCATGGCAGGTGGACCAGACTCCTCAGGTCTGTCACAATTTGAGTATTATTAGATCAAGTATTTTATAGGAATATTCTGCTGATGTCATCCCAAAGTTGTAAATGAATGATAGATGTCTTCCATCCTGGCTCCATCTCAGTTTCCTGGCTAGATGTTGACTCTTCTTGATTGATGTTGACAAACACAAGGCTTGTGTTGACTTCCTTCTTAACATTGTAAACATTTATGTTATCACTATCCCAGTTCTTATCAGAGTTTACTTTTCAGTTCTTATTAGCTACTTTTAATTACAGTCCAGCAAGCAGGTAGTCATGCAGGCCTTAATATTATACTGGTGTCTCCAACATTATTAACTCCATCCATACATCCTTCCATTCTTCCATTCATTCCCACACATCATATTAAATCCACATGGATCAAATCTGCAATGATATTTTTGTGACAGTTATGGAAACCAGGTCCTCTCGCTCCCCCTCCCCCCCCCCCAACAAAAAGAATAAAGCCAGACTCTTAGAAGCTCATGCTGCTGATGGGTGATTTTATTGAGTTTGTGAGAAAGATGAGGATGAACTGAGCGTGGTGTAATGTCTCGGGGTCTCACTCTGGCATGAAGTGAGGCCAAGAGGAGGGAGATGTCCAGGCCTCCCACCTTGAGGGGCATCCTCAGCGCTTGGTGAAGTCGCCACCTGCATAGGGGGAGAAAAGAGGCCCAAAAGTGGGGTGAGATAGGAGGGACCTCTTTTTCACAATGGAGCAAGTGGGTTCCTTGCCTGGTCAGTTGCCTCCTGGGCCGCCTCCCATTTGGGGCTGCCATGGGCAAGATTCTGCATCATACTTCCCTGCAAATGTCTTCCTAGCATAAGCATGAGAAAACTTCAGGCATTTTGGATTCCAGTTTCCACAATTCCTAACAACTGGTGCCTCACCAAACTACAAATCTCAGAACCACATAGCATTGATCCCCCACCATTAAAGTAGTGCCTAACTTCATTCATTCTACAGTGCAGTTGTATGCTAAGAAGAGGTGTGTGCATGTAAGTAATGGTTGCTTACTTGTAGCTGTGTTTCTCCGAGCAGTCACCTATGAAATTTGCACATATGGGATTTCCTGCGAATGTGCAGACAGCTTTGGAATCTTCTAGAAATCTTTTACACACTGTTAGGAGGTAGCCCCACCCACTCTCCCCATAAACTATATAGACTAGGACTCCAAGATCATAAAATCATAGAGTTGGAAGAGACCTGGTGGGCCATCCAGTCCAACTCCATTCTGCCAATAAGCAGGAAAATTGCATTCAAAGCACCCCTGACAGATATCCATCCAGCCTCTGCCTAAAAGCCTCCAAAGAAGGAGCCTCCAACACACTCCGGGGCAGAGAGTTCCACTGCTGAACAGCTCTCACAGTCAGGAAGTTCTTCCTCATGTTCAGATGGAATCTCCTTTCTTGTAGATGGAAGCCATTGTTCCATTGCATCCTAGTCTCCAGGGAAGCAGAAAGGAAGCTTGCTCTCTCCTCCCTATGACTTCTTATGTTGCCCTATACTGCACTCTTTAGTAATAGTTGACTTACAAATGAAAGAGAACTGAAGCAGTAGCCCTTCCACTGGCTATATATATTCTATGGGGTGAGTGGGCGGGGCTACCACCTAAAAGTGTCTAAAAGATATCTCAAAGATTTTGAAGCTGTCTGCGCATGCACAGGAAATACCATATATGTGTATTTCACAGGGACCACAATGGAGAAGCCACACTATCATGTGTGTATACACCACAAACAGCATTGGGCCCATCTGCCCAGCCTCTCCAGCCAAAATGGCCTTTGCATCCCTCTGATGTCAGGAGAAAGGTGTTCTCCCTCCCCTTTCAGTGACATGCAGGGACTTCCAGAACTATTTGTAGTCCTTTAGGAGGCCTGATTTCAGCTCTTTATACCCCTGAGGCTGTCTGCTCCATGATGCCCACCGTGACCCCAGGCTCACCTTGGCAGCTGCTGCACTCGCAGGCACGGATGACAGGGAGGACCACAGGCTCTGTCTCGCCACCTTGGCATTGCAGGTTCAGGATGCGCACGGGGCTGACTGGGTCCAGGCGGTAGCTGCAGCATTCGCACGAAGTCTGCAAGTACGGTTCCTACAGAACGGAGTCGGGGCAAAGGTAAACCCACTCAGTTTAATAGCTCCAACTTGAGACAGGACTTAGGGATAGGACGCAGGCCTCATTCAGGGTTGGGAAAGGAATGTCAGCATCCCATTCCTTTCCCAGCCCTTAGCCCACAATCCTGGTGGGGGACAACAATGGTGAACAAGGAGAGATGACAGAGAACAAGCGTGCAAGATGTGGGGCACATTGTATTGGGGATAATGGATCACGACCCGATAGGATCACTAACCTTCAGGGTATATATAGATCCTGAACTTTTAGTATCACAACCTAATATTTTGTTTCTGTTTGATGCTTTCAGCAGACAATTATGCAAACAGACTTCTCTTAAAGATCACAAGTTGTGTTTACTGATAATGCCATGTATTTAAAGAGACAGGCACATGTCTTGTCAAGGGTTAAACACTTCAGTAACATTTCAGAGAGTTTGTATCTTGAACTTATAATCTTCATAAACTATGTTGCCCTATACTGCACTCTTTAGTAAGAGTTTGCTTTCAAATGAAACACAAGCCTCAATAGTTTCTAAGTTCCTTACATTAGCTTGTGTACATGACCTGCAGCCCCTCCCACTGCTTTAGGTATATAGAGATAAGGAAACTGAAAATCAGATAAGACATACGCTTCAGGTTTTAAATTGACACTAGGCTTGGTTGATCAAGAAAAAAATGGTTCTAAACTCATTTTGTATATAGGGAGCGCTGGCGGTTCAATTTTGAAATTATTTCAGATATTTTCTTGAAAAAAAGATCGGAAATACCAGGAAATACGAATCGCTTCCTTTGTTTCGTTAATGGAAGGTGCCCCTCCCCCCTCCAGAACCATTAAAATCTCGCAGTTTCCCTTCCTTCCCTTGCCGCGAGCTTCCATGCAAAAGGGAGAGGTGGGTGTGGCCAAGCACAGCTCTCCTTGGAGGCCTACCCCCAGCAACCTCCAAGGAGGGCTGTGCTTGGCCTTTGCGAGGTGGCCTTTGCGAGGTGGCCGTGGCTACACTCAGCTCTTCCGCATTGCCTCTTGTCGCCAGGGAGGTAGCCATGCCCACCTCGCAAAGCCCACCTCGCAAAGCCGCCGATGCAAAGAGGAAGGAGGTGGGCGTGGGTAAGAACAGCTGTTCCTGAAGGCCACGCCCCCAGCATTTACGATTCACTGGCAGAAGTCATATGGAAGATGGCGGACGCGGCTTCGATATGGCAAAAACACTTCCGGGTTGCCAAAACCCATCAATACCGCTTCAAAAGGTAATTTATTTACGATTTCATTACGATTTAAGAAACTTACGACTTGGATCAACCAAGCCTAATTGACACTAATATCATATAGAGGAGGCTTGAGAAGGTTGCTTCCTCCAACACAATGCAAGTGTGCGAGATGAGCGAGGCAGAGACAAAAAGGGGTGGGGAGTCTTCTGAGAGAAAGGGAACGAGCAGTTCAAGAGTTAGAAGCAAGGAAGAGAAGCACTGCACAGGCAACAGAGGCCGAAGGGGGAGAGCGAGCAGCGCAACAGAGGAGGGCATCACAAGAAGTACAACTAGGCCAGGCCTGATCAAGGGGAACCTTAAGACCCAAGGAGGGTTCGTGTGTCGACTGCCATACCTCTGGGATGACGTTGGTGTGGGAGGCACACCACCCGCTGCAGAAGCTCACCGCCACGTCGGCCAGGAAGCAGGACCCCTTGGTGATGTTGCGCAGCTCCGTGATGTGCTGGCAGTGAGACTGTGGCTCTTCTGGGAAGCGGTGGCAGGCAGAGGAAGAATGGAGGTCAGTCCACACTACTCACCCAATCCTCCTTCCTCAAAAAACCCATTCCAGAGGGAGATCTATCTATCTATCTATCTATCTATCTATCTATCTATCTATTAGGCCTGGGCGGTTTCGTTCGTTAATTTTGTAATTCGTTAAATATTCGTTATATTTAACAATTACAAAATGATTTCAAAATATATTTTCAAACCCGGAAGGGTTTTTCAATAACGAAACGGCATCCTCCATACTTTTTACTAGCTTCCGCCCGTTTCGGAAATGGGATGGAGGATGCTGGTGCCCTGGGAGCCAATCCGGCGCTCCCAAGCACCCAAGCAGTGCACCGTGGCTGATTGTGATTGGCCGGGAAGCCCTTTAAAAGCGGCTCCGCGTGGCCGCATTGCTCATTGTTGCGGAGGCGAGGGAGAAGAGAAGACGGGAGGTCCGGGAGGGCGGCTTGGATTGGCTTGGCTTGGTTGGCTAAGCTTGGATTCATTCCTTGCATTGATTCATTTGCTTTCATTTTTGCATTCCTTAATTCTGTTGTTGGGAGAGCGAGGGCGGTTTTTGTTAATTTGTTAATTTTCCATTTTTAAATATTTTTGAAAAATACCTTTCTTTTATTCTTAAAAAAATCAAAAAATATTCTAAAAAAAGAAAAGACCCTTCTGTGGCTGTGTGCTATCGTTTGTCCCTGTCTTGTGGCTGTTTGCTCCACAGCAGGGCGAGCATTTTGTTAATTTTCCATTTTTTAATATTTCTGAAAAATATTTCTCTTTTATTCCTCAAAAAATTCAAAAAATAACCTTAATAATCTATTCGTTATTGACGGTTTTACGAATAACGTAATTTCGTAAATGCTTTGCGCATGCGCTAATGCAGACGCCATCTTAACGAAACGATTCGTAAATATTTACGAAATTTCGTAAATACCGAACTTTTTTAAGGGAAAATTTTGTAATTATTTTAAATATCGAAACAAAAAAACCCCCCAAATACAAATCGATTTTAGAAACAAATTTTTCCGTTGTTACCCAGGCCTACTATCTATCTATTTACAGTATTTATATACTACTTTTCTCACTCCTAGGGGGACTCAAAGCAGTTTACACATAGATAATGGCAAAAAATTCAATGCCTTACAACTACAATAGTAAAACCACACTATAAACATAAAACATATTAAAAACAGTACATCATCAATTAGCAAAACAGTTATTAAAACCATAAAACAATCTTATCAGTTGAGTCACTGTTCCAGTCCGTGTCCCACTATAAGCTGCATACATCTATTGTCTGAAGACCTGCTCCCAGAACCAAGATTTTAATTTTTTTCTAAAGGTCAGGAGCGAGAGAGCAGATCTTACCTCCTTTGGGAGTGTGTTCCATAGGTGGGGGGCCACAGCCGAGAAGGCCCTATCTATCTATCTATCTATCTATCTATCTATCTATCTATCTATCTATCTATCTATCTGTCACAAACCACTGGACCTTATCACATCAGGATATACTCCATTTCTGAGACTCTTTGAATGTGAATCCAAAGGGTTCCCATCATATGACTTCTGCCCCATTCCGTCAGTAATCTGTTGGAATCCGTCCACAAAACGCTGCAGAAATGGAGTAACTGCACATGGGATTCTAATTGCGGTCTTTAAATGTATTTAATATGGTTCTGAATTGCTGCTTTTATGTGTGGTTGCAAAACCATTATGCATCCCATCAGCTAAAATCTTGCAAGAATGGTATTTTGAGACTTCCACGCTACATCACTTCCATACAATATGAGAAAAATACATTCTGAACAAGCGAGAGGCATTTGAACACATTGGGAGGAGCCAGCCTTCTGTGGCGTGATGATTTGAAGTGTGATATTTTCAACATGTATGACTCAGGTGTGATGGGACCAGTATGCATCCTGCCTAAATACGGTATGCATCCAGTCCTAAAAAAAATATGAGATGCATATTGGTATAAATGGAGTCTTTCGCTATATGAAAGGAGTCATAGAATCATAGAATCCTAGAGTTGGGAGAGACCTCCTGGGCCATCATCCAGTCCAACCCCATTCTGCCAAGAAGCAGGAATATTGCATTCAAATCACCCCTGACAGATGGCCGCCCAGCCTCTGTTTAAAAGCTTCCAAAGAAGGAGCCTCCACCACACTCCAGGTCAGAGAGTTCCACTGCTGAACGGCTCTCGCAGTCAGGAAGTTCTTCCTCATGTTCAGGTGGAATCTCCTCTCTTGTAGTTTGAAGCCATTGCTCCATTGCGTCCTAGTCTCCAGGGAAGCAGAAAACAAGCTTGCTCCCTCCTCCTCCCTGTGGCTTCCTCTCTCATATTTATACATGGCTCTTATCATATCTCCTCTCAGCCCTCTCTTCTTCAGGCTAAACATGCCCAGCTCCTTAAGCCGCACCTCATAGGGCTTGTTCTCCAGACCCTTGATCATTTTAGTTGCCCTCCACTGTCAGTTGAAAGATGTCCAGCTCCAGGTTTTGTGAAGCTCTAGTCTTTTCCTCCTGAAATGCCTTGTTCTACTTGTCAGAACTCAGGACAATTCTAGCTTTGGACAACCATTCCCAGAATCCTCTTACCAGAATGTCAACTGGGGGATTCTGGGAGTTATCATCCAAACGTATTCTCCCCTATGAACCATCAAGATTACTAAGATCGTCTGGGGCCCTGTTCTCGGTCCTGCCGGCCTCACAAGCGTGGCTGGTGGGGACGAGGGACAGGGCCTTCTCGGTAGTGGCCCCGCGACTCTGGAACTCTCTCCCGCCAGAGGTTAGAACCGCCCCAACAATCCTGACATTCAGGAAACAGGTGAAGTCGTGGTTATGGAGACAGGCTTTCGAAGAATGAGACAATGACCTGGATGGAAGACGGTGTATATTCGATTTTAGTATGACGACTGACCACTGTAGTTTTAAATATATGTGCTTTTTTAATGTTTTATTGTAATGTGTATTTTGATATTTTACCGATTGTATGTGTTTTTATGGTTGGAAACCGGGCTGAGTCCCTCTTATGAGGTGAGAAGCTCGGTATATAGAACTTTGAAATAAATAATAACAAATAAATAAATAAATAAATAAATAAATAAATAAATAAATAAATAAAAAATAAAGAGACTCTCCTCCACACTCAGTTCACAAAGTGGAACTCACTTCCTCAGAGTGTGGTGGAAGCTCCTTAGTTGGCTGGATGACTATCTGTTGGGGGTACTTTGACTGTGCTTTTCCTGTATTGAACTAGGAGATTGGATTGGATGGCCCACGTGCACTTTTCCAACTCTATGATTCTAAACACTGAAGATCCTTTATCTGCGCATACTGCCAATCCACAGCAGATTTGGAAGCTTGCTTGGTCCTGAATGCAAGGAATGACGTACAGAGGGAGGGACGCCCACCCCGCAGAGTGGTTTTGGGTCCAAGGAGACAGGGCGCCCCGGGATCTCTCACGTACCTGGCGCTTCCTTCTTCCTGCAGACTGGGCAGCAACTGCCTTCCTCCTGGACCTTGGCTTCTCCCTGAGGAAAGGTCAGAAAGGAGGACCTGTTTGTGCTCAGACTGAGCTCCTGTTGCAAACTCTAGGCCAGAAGCTTTTAGGCTTGCATTCAGCCATCCCCAATTAGAGGCAATCCTCCCTCAAACACAACACGGCTCTTTCTCTGGGGAGGTGTGCTCAGGGCCACAGAGCTGCCACACAACTGTGGGACCTTGTGTAAGCCAAAGGGCCAAAGGTGTGTGATGTCTTGGCCTTGGAAACTGGAAGTTTCACTGAATATGTGGAAAGTATATATCCCTCCCTCCTGCTCCACCCCCCACCAAAGCAGCCCAAGCATTTCAAATCGGGGGGAAGATGGGGACTTGGTTTCAGTGCCTTTTGTCCACTCTCAATCCCCTGTCAGAAACATTAAAAATTAACTAGGTATTTTTAATTACAACAATGTGAGTCAAGCACTGAAAGGGTTAAATGGATGCAATGGCTCAGCAAAAGCTGAAGTTCTATATAAGCAGGTGTGGCTGTAGCTTAGTAAGGCATCAGTCTGAGAGAGCTCTCAGTGTGAGAGAAGCCTATCTGTGTGAGAGAATGCCTCAGTGGGAGAACAGGCATCAGCGGTAGTAGGCTTCACTGTGGGAGAAAGGTCTCAGTCTGTGAGAGAAGGCCTTACAGTGTGAGATAGGCCTTAGTCTGTGAGAGAAGGCCTCACTGTGTGAGGTAAGCCTCAATATGAGGCCTCTGTTGAGAATCAGCCTGTGTTTGTGTTTCAGGATCCTGATGTGGGAAATGATGAGAGAAATGATGGTGCCGAGACTGAGGTACAAGATGATGGTTTGGTCAATGATTTTTATACAGACAATGACAGAGAGGCCCCAGTGCAAAGGGCAGTTTCTCATGAGAATATCCCTGCTAGGCCTAGCAATGATCATTCACTCCCTCTCTCTGTGAGCTCTCAAGATTTGGGTTTGGTAAACAATCTGACACCTGGGAATTTTAATGAGCAGCCAGATAGGGAGTTGAAGAATAGGCGGCTGGAGATCAGTCAGGATTGACAGCAAAGTCAGTGTTTACGTCGCTCTGAAAGGCTTCATCTGATAAGGGGGAAATGTAGGGCAAAGTGAAACCAATTTCTGAGTTTTGGGATATAAAGTTTGCTTCAAGGGAAAACATGTTAGATCAGGCATCGTTTGGAAATCAAGTTCGTGTGCCATGGAAATCCTGTTCAAGGAGTCTTGTTCCTGTGGAGTTTTTAGCCTTTTGGATTGTCTTTGCATCCTGTTTGATTCCTGTCAGGATTAATGCTGTCTTGTATTGCTTTTATATCTTGTGTGGACATTGCTTTGTGTTACTGCCTTTTATGGACTTATTACTTTTTGGAACCTTCTTATTTTCTTACAAGCATTTATTTCTTCCAGCTATTTACTAAGCTTTGTTTCCTCACTCTTCGTGTGGTGTGTTTTAAAGTAAGAGGGTTTTTTCCTGACCTGGAGTGCAACAGCCTTGTGTGTGAAGCTCCAAGTGGGAAAGTTGAACTTTATTTGTGTCATGGAAACCTTGTTCTTCTAAATAGTGCAACCATACTATTTTGCTATAAAGGAAAGCCTCCAATATAACTTTTGGCTACTGGTTAGGGTTAGGTGAATTTATAAGGAGGGGGTTTTTTGTTAATAAGCCCACTCGCTCGACATCCCCAACATAATTTCCTTCCCATTCCTAAACTGATTTTCAGCATTCCAGGAGCGGTACCTCAAGGCAGGTGAGTGGTGGGCAGCCATCCTCACACTCAGCTCTCCCATTCAAGCAGCGGCAGGCTTCACAGCCATCTTGCCACTGGGCACCAGCCTGTAAGGCAGGAGAAAATGAGGCAAGAGGCAGAAAATATTGGGACCCCCAAATGCTGGATGCTCCCCCCAAGTGAGTCCTGAGGGGCCCCACAGGCTGAGGGGCCCCACAGACCCAGAGCCCATCACTGCTTTCTGGGCTGAAGCCCTCCACAAGGATGCTGTTGTGAGAAAAAGTCCCCAAGAACGGCACAGGACTGAGGGCATCAGAAGGTCCAGCAGATTCAGCAAGAGACACGCTCCTGCTGACTGTTTCCCAACCTTAGTTGCCTACCAAAGAAATTAAGCTGGAGTTGATATGGTAGATTACTGCACCCATAGTGGTGGTCCAACTCATCTGGAGTCTCTGAGTCATGAAAGGCAGGAAGAAGGCATTTCACATATCTCACCCTATGCGTCCACTCACCCTATGTGTCCGGTCTTTGTGGTTACACTCACAGAGTGCAGCCACAACGCACCGCCCACTGCTGTTCCGGTAGTGCCCCAGCTGGCACACGCATCCCTCTGCGGTCCCTTGGCTGCAGTTCTGGGGTGGATCCTGGTAGATCTGGAGACAGCTTCGCTCGCAGGGCTCCCCATGGCCCAACCGGAGCCAGGTTTCCCCGACTGGACAGGCTGTACCCAGGAGAAAGAGATGGATAGCACCGGCCTGGTCAGCAAGCATGATTCGGCCAGGCTGCTGAGACCACTCTCCCAGAATGCCATGGTGCTAAGGTCAGAAGGCTTCCCATTGTCTCTCCATCTGCCTCTAAGGGTGGCAGAGCGAGAGGAAGGTGGCTTCTATGCACAAAAGCATGGAGATGCACCAACTTATTTATTTATTTATTTACACCATTTATATTCCGCCCTTCTCATCCCGAAGGGGACTCAGGGCGGATCACAGAACATATACACAGCAAACATTCAATGCCCTTAAACAGGCAGGACAGCTCACAGCTGTTTTTGAACGCCTTAGGTCAGTATTTCTCAACCTTCCTAATGCCACGACCCCTTAATACAGATCCTCATGTTGTGGTGACCCCCAACCATAATATTATTTTCGTTGTTGTTTCATAACTGTAAAGTTGCTACTATTACGAATTGTTATGTAAATATCCAATATGCAGCAGGATGTATTTTCATTCACTGGACCAAATTTGGCACAAATACCCAATACACCCAAATTTGAATACTAGTGGGGTTGGGCGAGGGGTTGATTTGCCAATTGGGAGTTGTAGTTGCTGGGATTTATAGTTCACCTAAAATCAAAGAGCATTCTGAACTTCACCAACGATGGAATTTAACCAAACTTAGAACACAGAAGTCCCATGACCAACAGAAAATACTGGAAGGGTTTGGTGGGCACTGACCGTGAGTTTGGGAGTTGTAGTTCACCTAGATCCAAAGAGCACTGTGGACTCAAACAATGATGGATCTGGACCTAACTTGGCACAAATACTCAATATGCCCAAATGTCGGTTTGGGGAAAATAGATCTTGACATTTGGGAGTTGTAGTTGCTGGGATTTATAGTTCATCTACCATCAAAGAGCATTCTGAACCCCATCAATGATTAGAATTGGCCCAAACTTCCCACTCAGAACTCCCATGACCAACACAACATACTGTGTTTTCTGATGGTGTTTGGCGACCCCTCTAACACCCCCTCGCGACCCCCTCAGGGGTCCCGACCCCCATGTTGAGAACCACTGCCTTAGGTGGACAGTGAGCTGGGTTGAATGTTGGGTGCTCACCCCAACCCAGGCTTCGAACTGGTAACCTTTCGATTGCTGTGCTCTATTGCTGCTGGTGATTAACCAACTGTGCTAAAACCCAGCCTACTGAGTCTCCTCTGGTTCTTGGGTGGATTTTCTCTGCTTAAAAACCTCCAGAGAAGAGACTCCAGTGTCTGCTGGGAAAGGGGTCCAGCAGCTGTCTGGCTCCCCTTCAAAGCATGGGAGGCTGTCAATGGGAGACTGTCAACAGGGTCCCTCCTCCCACCGGTCAGCCAGCCTCTGTGGATCAAGGCAAATGCTGAATTATGGTATAGAGTAGTGTGATACTTCTCATATAGGTATTCAATTTATCCACATTTCACATAAGTATATTCTTAACATGGTAAGTGGTATATCTCACACAATTTACATGTAAAGATCCTGCAAGATCATAAAAAGATAAGAAGACAGAGCCAAGTAAACAGGGAGATTACCTGAAGAAGGAGCGAAACTGGCCTGTACCCGGGAAACCAGTTGTACTCACCCGGCACTACAGATTACTTGGCCATCCCTGACACCCAGAAACAACAACAATAATAAAGGACTTATCCAAGAGTAAATCCACGTCAACTTCACTCATATAAAGAATTTGAACATTTATGTGTACATTAATCTGTTTGTTGACTCTATGAAGACTTAAGAACAAATTTAAGATGGCAATAAGACCATTTTTGGACTTCATTTGTTCTACAGAACCAAAACTACTACTACTGGACTGTAAAATTAGAGTAAGCGTTACCTACATGTATAGCTTTATGTTAAGTATTAGGCCTGGGTAACAACGGAAAAATTTGTTTCTAAAATCGATTTGTATTTGGGGGGTTTTTTTGTTTCGATATTTAAAATAATTACAAAATTTTCCTTTTAAAAAGTTCGATATTTACGAAATTTCGTAAATGGTAAAAAATTAACAAATCGATTTCCGAAACAATAACGAATCGATTCGTTAATGGCGGACGCGACCGCGAAATACGCTAAAAAACCTCCAAAACCTTCTGAAGCTTCCCTCTCCCTCTGTTGTTGACTGTTGGTGTGATATTATAATTTTTTTTCACTAATTAAACCATAAAACTGGCCCAGACATGCGGAAATAATAACGAAACGACCTCAAAACAATAACGAAACGAATACAATATCGAAATACGAAGCATTTACAAAACGTTTTTGAAAATTCGTTTTTTTTAATAATTGCTCCAGAATGGTTCGTTATCGTTTTGTAATTGAAAAAATTAACGAAGTATTAACGAATTACGAATTAACGAAACGAAACCGCCCAGCCCTATTAAGTATGCATTATTAACCTAATTTGAAACCTTGGTTACACTTGAGAATCTTATCAAATTTGGAGTAAAATTGTGTGAGATATACTACTTACCATGTTAAGAGTATACTTATGTGAAATGTGGATAAATTGAACACCTATATGAGAAGTATCACACTACTCTATACCATACACCCTCTTTCCTGTCTACTGCATATTATAGACATCTGTGCGTTTAGTTAAATGCTGAATTGTCCCTCTGGGGAGCGGCTGGGGGAGTGAAGCTTGGAGAAGAGGAGGTTGGAATGCATTCTCTCACCGCAGTCTGGCAGGAAACAGGGGCTCCTGCGCTCCGCCGGCCCCTCGCACTCGGGACCCCCATAGAGGCGCTGCTGGAGCCGGAGACGCCGGGAGGCCTGCTCCCCAGAGCCACAGGTCACAGAGCAGGGGGACCAGGGGGACCATTCAGACCAGATGCACGGCACTGGGGAGCAGAGAGATTGGAGGTGAGCACTGAGCAAGCATCAACCCTTGGACGCAGAGGGATTTGTTGCCTTGTTTTTCTCCTCTGTTTCCTAGATCTATGTAACTCAAGGTGTTTTGCCTCCTACCTTCATGGAGAGGCCACTTCCCTGTTCTTCACCCCCAAAGTGTTTTCTTTTCTTTCCATTTGTTTGAGAAAGGAGGCCTCTTTCTGTCTCAAGAGAGACTCTTACCATCACAATTCTTCTGGGTGCAGTTGAAGGCTCCCTTTTGGCAGACGCTGCAGAGCCAAAGACATAATCCATCAAAGGAGAGTCAGGTGGGAGATGGTTAGAGCCTGGGTTCAAAACCCCACTTGAGGAAGTGGCTCACTAGTTGAACCTGCTTTATGGTTGCGTGTGCACGGGCGATACACCTCCCCCCGCCAACCCAATAAAACCACTCACACAAGGTATTGGGATAAACAATGGCCACAACTCATTTATTGATAACAGGAACAAGGGTTGGCAGCCATGCATGGGTCCTGGATCAAGATCGGGCAGCCCACTGCTGTCCGATACCGCAAGCCACACAGGGGTGCCACCGGCACAATACCGGGCCCAATGCACTCGGCACCCCTGAGACACCAGGCGTTCCCCCTTCACCGCTGAGGGGGGGATACCAAACCGGATCCAGGGCCCATGCCCACGCCAACCAGAGTTGTGATGAAACGCATGAACAACAGCAAGAACAGGTAACTGTGACAACTGACAAAACAATCTAACAACAAACAGTTCCCGGAAACATGCAGGGTGGGTGGGAGGATCAGCTGCTGCCGGCCCAGGGACTGCTGGTGGGCACAAGGGCAGCCTTAAGTAGGGTGCCCACGAGGGAGGAGAGGCCAGCTGTGGGCTCTCCTGCCAGGAGGCGTGGCCGGCAGCTGATAGGGCCACCTTCTAAACCGCGGGAACTTTCCCGCTGGGAGAGGGGGCTTCTGGGGAGAAGAAGCCCCCCTCAGGCCAAATGGCGGGGGGGGGGAACACCCCACACCGCAACCTCCACGGCCTGGTAAGTCAGGCCATGCCATTAACCTTCCACCTTCTCCCTGGACGGATCCCAGGTTGCCCTTCTCACCAGCTGTTGCATTGATGCCGAAGGATGCTTCCTGGCAGATACTCTTGGTCCCGCTCCTCTTGAGTCAGGTTGGTGGCCCATGGGAAGGAAGGGGCCGGGCTGAGGGAGCAAGGGCACTCTTCCAGGGGGACACATGCTCCCACCTGCAGCACCTGCAGGAGGTCAAGAAGAGGCACAGAGTCCCCAGGGCTGCTTTTGGGCCTTCTTTCTGCTGCCCCCTCCCCAAGGGAGTCCCCCACCGACCTGGCCAGAGGGGCAGACGCATCCTGGCTGGCACTCCTCCTGCAGGCACTGGGTGTGTGGGTGCAGATCGGAGCACGTTTGCGGGCAGGCATTGGCACAGGGACTGTAGATCTGGCCATCTGGACATTCTGGGAAAGAAGGGGATGGGAGATGGAGTAGGATCCAGAAGGTGGAAATTGTGGCCCTCTGAATCCCACCACATCCGACCCCACTCCGACAACTGTACTTTATGGCTCAAATCTTAATGCCTCTCAGGATTACATCTAAAGATATTGATTTGTATCAGGTAAAAACAAAAGCCAGTCTGTCTTAAAGATGCTCTGCATTTCTTTTCTCTCCCCCCACCCTTTTTTATGTAGCTCCTTCTTTGAAAACAAATGAACATTTCTGTTGCATCCCAGGCCTGAAGCCACCTATAACTCATCACATAGGAGTCCAGAGTAGAAGCAACAGTTTATTGCCAAAACACACAAAAGATATACAGTAAAAAAAAAAAAAGCACGGATAAGGAAATAAGGTGTAGAATCCAAAAAAGACAGCAATCAATTGTCTGTTATAAATCCAAAAGCAATACAGTCCAAAGATAGTCCCAAAATGCAAAGGCAGCTTAAGTCCATAAGCAAAACTTGAACCAGAATACAAAACAGAAACATGGAAATCTCCCAAGATACTTAAATCCAAAACCAAGACTTGAAACAAGAACCATAGAATTCAGGTCTAGCTGTACTTGAATGCCACATTGCCTGAACTGAAGACAGAGAGCCCATTCCCTCCTAATAAACAGACATGAAAGCACTATGCCTGCCCTGAAATTTCTGCTTCCCACGAAGCCGTGTTGACCTATGGAGCTGGCTATCTGCTCTAATCCTTAAGAGTGCTTCCTTGCTTAGGTCAATATCCACATGTGCTTTCTCATGAGAGTTTCTCATCCATTCATCAGACATTTGTGTGATTCTGATGAAGATACAGTCGTCCTGTGACTTTACAAGGAAGAGCAGGATACCAGCTGAGCTGATACCACAAACTGTTAATGTAAGATGAGTGTAATGTGAATGTTTAAATGTAATTTTGTGTAATGCCTGTGAATGCAACCTGACTGCATTAACAAAGAGTGTATTGACACTGAAAGGGTTAAACAGTCAAGCCTCTAATGAACTGTGAAGATGTGACCCTGAGTGTGCCTGGAACGCGTAGGGAGGATCCAGAGATAAGGTTTCGTTCGTCCTTCTTACTTCGGTGTGTCTTTTGTCTTGTTCCTGTCTGTTTGGTTGGATGTAAATGTGAATGTGTGCTGTATATTTGCTCTACTCAGTAAAGCTAAATGTTTGCTTTTACTGAAGTCTCAAAGTGTCCATTCTTCTAAGCTCCAAAGCTTCTGTTGCACTCTGACACAAACAACGGCATTCAGTAGCCCAACTGGCCTGATCCTCTTCCAGAAGGCCTGCCAAATTCTTTCCCTTTCCACCATTGTTGTGACCCCAACTCTTATCTCCTGTCAGCTTTGATATGGGAAGGATAGAAACCTTTACTCCAAAGGAAATCTCCCAAATGAACCAGGGAGTGGCTGAGGTCCTGGGTGACTCACCTGGAGTGCAGTTCTGAGGGTTGCAAACCCGGTGCTGCTGCAATGGGGCTGGGCACAACACCTCCTCCTCCTCCTCTTCCTCCTCCCCCGTTGGAGGGTTCAGCAGGCCTCTGCTCCTCTCTGAGGTGCCTCCTCCACAGCTGGCGCTGCAGGGGCTCCAAGGGGACCACTCACCCAGCAAGCAGTCGGCTGCAAGGGGAAGAAGAGGGGGTTCAAGGGAGATGGATCCTCCTCTGGACCCTCTCCTCTGCCCCCTTCTTCATCAGTGGATGAATAGTCAATATGTGGGGCTGCCAACACAATGCACAATTGCAATGCACATTCACATGCTACCTTGGATAAGCCAATGAGTTACTACAATGAGCACAATGGCCTCAAATGCAACGCTGCTTGCAGGAGCAGCTGGATATGGCTGTTGTGCATTGTGGGTGTATGTATGCATCTTCCACTCATGACAGCCCCATTAATTTTTCATAGGGCATTCTTAGGCTAGGATCCCTCAAAGGTGCTTTGGGCAGTTCCTTTCCCTGAAAAGAAGAAGAAGCTTGCAGCACCTGGCATCTGTTGGCCGCCTGCCGTCCTGACTGGAGCAGACTCATTGGATCCATAGGATTTACTGAGGTGTGGACTCTCTCACCAACCACCAACTGGTTGTGTGGGCTTATTTGCAAGAATGTAGACAACGTTTTGCGTAAAACTCCACCCAAACCACGATTAGTTTTACTGCCCCTCAAGGGCAAATAATCTCCTGTCAGTTGCCAGTTGCCTTCTAGCAATTGCTCCAAAATGTCAAGATGCCCTTTTTGGCAGGCATGGGAATGTTTGTGGGTAGTAATTGAGGCCACACTCACTGGGGCAAGGCTGTGGGTTGCAGGATACAGCCTCCTCCATAGTGTCGGCCACGCAAGGAGCCCCTCCGGGGGCCTCATGACACGGGCGGTGGCGCAAGGCGTGTCCCCCTCCACAGCTGGCCGAGCAGGGAGCCCATGCTGACCACTCTCTGTAGGATGGACACTCCTGGTCCGGACACACAAAGGTGCCATTGACACAGGTACTAAAGGGGGAAAGAGGGAGGAAGAAAGGGAGGAAGGAAGACAGAAAAAACAAACCACAAATGAAGCAGAAAATCAATACCCCTTGACCTCCAAGTGGCAAATGGTCACTTAATGGAGATCTAGAAATATGTAACTCATTCCTTTGTTTAGAAATACAATTCCTCCCTGTGATCCATGGGTGTCATGTACCATGTTCTGCAGTTGATGGAGGTTGGTGGTGGTAGGCCTAGCAGTTGGTGATGGAAGGGTTAATGTAAGTCTTAGATTACTAAAGGGTTTAGTAATCTGTAAGTAAGAGTTCATGGGTGAAAGCAATTAAGGGTGGAGGTATGCAAGAGATAGGTTGCAGCTGGGTGTTTCTGGATATAATGAGCTAGCTTTGGGACTGATCTTTGGGAGAAAAGTATTGTCTTATTTTGTTACTAGATGCTGCTGGTTTCCCCCCAGGTTTCTGTATCCCGACCTGTCTCCTGAACCCTTGGAACCTTGAATCTCTGGATTGGCTTTTGGCTACAGTATAGACCAGGGGTCCTCAAAGTTTTTTAACAGAGGGGCAGGTCACAGTCCCTCAAACTGTTGGAGGGCCAGATTATAATTTGGAAAAAGCATGAATGGATTTCTATGCACATTGCACATATCTTATTTGTAGTGCAAAAAAAACACTTTAAAACAATACAATAATTAAAATGAAGAACAATTTTAGCAAATATAAACATATTAGCATTTCAATGGTAAGTGTGGGCCTGCTTTTTGCTGACGAGATAGGATTGTTGTTGTTGTTGTTGTTGTTGTTGTTGTGTGCTTTCAAGTCGTTTCAGACTTAGGTTGACTCTGAGGGAGGGCCGGGTAAATGACCTTGGAGGGCCTTATCCGGCCCTTGGGCTTTAGTTTGAGGGCCCCTGGTATAGACTCTTGATCCTTAAACTTTGTTCATTGAGCTCTTGGTGTTTCACTACTGGATTGGATCTTTTGACTACGGTGTTATCTTGAACCTGCAACAGTGTTTGCTATCAGTTTTTGTTTTATGTTCTGTGTCTGAGTACTATCTTTATGTTTTATGTTTTGGACTATTAAAACAGCCAGACAGTAAGTGCTGCTTTAACTAAATTGTTTAGTACAAACTGGGAGTTTGGTTCATCTCTGCCTCTGTACAGGCAGAGCCTTGGCATCGTGACATTGGGCGTCACCCGAACTCGGGTTTTTGCCCTTAAAGTCCCAATATATTTTTCAAAATTGAGATAATTAAGGGGAGAAATTTCTGTCCGAAAACCACAATAAGCCAACAAAGTCAGTGTGTCAGCCACCCTTTCTTCAGAGTCCCCTGTCCTGCTCTGGTCTCACCAGTTATGGCAATCCAGTTCCGCCGACTCCCCTGGTAGAAGCTCCAAGGTGCTGTTGGCTGTGGGGAGTCCGCAGCGACAAGCTGGGATTGGGACGCATCCTCCATCTTGTAGGAGCTGCCCCTCTGGACACCGGCATCCTGGAAGAAGGGAGCAGAGGGACTTGGGGATACACAGAAGGGCAAGGGGCCACAAGGAGCATCAAGGAAGTATGAATGTAGCCCATGGAAATGGGAAGAAGACTCAGGCACTGGGACACAAATGGCTATGGTGGCATAAGGCAGACCTCCTAGTGTATGTCACTGACCGAATGCCTGCCTCCATGGTATCCGGTCAATGACATACGCAATGAAGTCTGTCTTATACCACCATAGCTATTTATGTGGTTGTTGTGGAGGTGGGCATTCCCTTCCTCCTCCACAATAACCAACTTCTTCCCAGCATCCATGGTTTGCTGTCCTCCTTCTGTGGCAGATGGAGAGCTTGAGGTGTCAGAGATGCATGTGCCCATAGCCAGGAATGGTCTGATGACATCATCACTGAGACCACCAGAAAAACATGGTGGACCTCAGTGAGCGACAGCATCCATCTCCATTTGGACATGGGACCAAACCTGGTGCTTCTCCTCTTATCTGCCCCACAAGTTCTCCTTTCTTTCCACAGACTGAATGTGGCTCTTGCACACAAATGGTGAGTCCTGAGGGTGCTCCAGAGGAGTAGAAACTTGCCTGGAGTGAGGCTCCAAGCAAAAAGGATGCAGCAAGGAGAAGGGGGCTCTGGCTCAGGTGAAACCACTTGCTGGAGAGGATGGGGTCAATGAGGAAGGAGGGGGTACCTTGCTTGCACTCCCCTTGGAGGCACTCAACGTGTTCCCAGAGGTCTGCACAGATCCGTGGGCAGCCGTTGGCGCAGGTGCGGGAGTGGACTTTGCCTCGATCTTCACACTCCTCCCCTGGGGATGAGGGAAAGAATCAGGCCATATCTTGGGGAAGATCGGGATCAAGGATGGTGACCTATAGTGCTTCAAGTGTAGAATGCAGGGTGGGCATTCAGGGATCCATCCCTCCATCTTGAATCCTGACCTCCAATTCAAGAAATCAAAGAGGTGATGTCCAAAGTGGAGAGTGGGAAGATGTGCCGTGACAGGAGGGGTTCCATGTGCCTGGTTCACCAGTGACTGCTGGGCAGACCTGTTGGACTCATTTACCTGGGCAGGCAGCTGTGTTGCAGCTCTGGGTCTGGGACCGTGGGCCTCGGCAGCGAAGCTCGTCCTTTGGATGGTGGGCAGAGCGCCAACGCACCCGGAAGCCCCCACTGCAAGGCTCTCGGCAAGGGCTCCAGGGGCCCCACTGGCCCCACAGACAGAGACCTGGAAGGGAGGGGGATCACTGAGCAGAGAGCCCTGATGAGCTTGGAAGGTACATCTCTCCCCCCAAACTCACCATCCATTACTCCCTTCCCCAAATTAAGTAACCCATAGCAACCCTTTAGACCCTAAGGCAGGGGTCCACAAACTTTTTAAACAGAGGGCCAGGTCACAGTCCCTCAAACTGTTGGAGGGCCAGATTATAATTTGAAAAAAGCATGAATGAATTCCTATGCACACTGCACATATTTTATTTGTAGTGCAAAAACACTTTAAAACAATACAATAATTAAAATGAAGAACAATTTTAATAAATATAAGCTTATTAGTATTTCAGTGGGAAGTGCGGCCTGCTTTTGGCTGATGAGATAGGATTGTTGTTGTTGTTGTTGTTGTTGTTGTTGTTGTTGTTGTGTGCTTTCAAGTTATTTCAGACTTAGGTTGACCCTGAGCAAGGGCCGGGTAAATTATCTTGGAGGGCCGCATCTGGCCCCCGAGCCTTAGTTTGAGGACCCCTGCCCTAAGGCATTGGCCGCCTCTGCTGAGTGGGCACACAGCTTGGGGCCCTGTGGTCCCATGCCTAGAAGGAAGGATGGCCTTGTGAGCTGGGCTACTTCTGTTTGGGCTTCCTGGAGAGTTAGAGTTTGGCTCTCAGAATCCACCCCTTTGGCCATGGGACTGGGGCTTCTGGGGGATGAAGTCCAAATACATGGACAGTCATATACTGAAAACGTACACTGCTTCCATATCACTCCCAGCACAGAAGCAGACTTTGGGGCCATATACTTAGTAGCCCACAGTCCACGAGTTGTGGATCCCTGCTGTTGTGAGCCAGCCGGCTGGATATTGTCCAGAATTGACCATTTTGGTTGAGAGCTCCTAGAAACCCTTGTCCAGAAAACCCAGGTGTCAGGGGCAACTCAGACAAAGGCTGTTTTCGTGCTGGGGGCAACAGCTCATCCATGTCTCTGTCAGGCATCTCGACGACCTTAACAGAGTCCTGGAAGCTTTCCTTGCAGACACCAGCTAGAGTCCAAGCTCCCCTCCGTGTAATTGTGGCAGGAACACACGACACCAGACTCCAGGTGCTCGTTCCAAACACAGGTAGGCTTGATATATTCCAATGTGAAGTGTTTACAAAGTTTTTAGAGCAACACACAGCTCTCTCCAAACTAATCACCACAACCTAGTGGTTCCCGACCTTTTGTTGACTAGCGACCACTTGACCAGGGGCCACTTTGACCAGGGACCACTCTCCAACCTTAGTACCAAAAGGGTTACAAATCAGTTTTTGGTCAAATTTAGGTTCAGTTTAGTTCTTTGGGGTGCTGATTCAGAAGATTGCATTGGATAGGCCACATCAGCTCTAGTTTCTGATACACAACAAATGCCATCCCGGAATCATCATCTGCTTGCACACATAAAACCATGTTTAATAATCTAGAGATGATGTGGTCTATCCAATGCATTTTTCTAAATCAGCACCCCAAATAAGTCAGGAACAAGCTTAAAAATGAACACCTGGGAATTTAAATGAGCAGCCAGATAGGGAGCTGAAGAATAGGCGGCTGGAGATCAGCCAGGATGTTTACGTCGCTCCGAAAGGCTTCATCTGATAAGGGGGAAATGTGGGGGGAAGCGAAACCAATTTCTGAGTTTTGAGATATAAATTTTGCCTCAAGGGGAAACCTATTAGATCATTTGGAAACCAAGTTCATGTGCCATGAAAATCCTGTTCAAGGGATCTTGTTCCTGTGGAGCTTTTTTAGCCTTTTGGATTGTCTTTGCATCCTGTTTGATTCCCGTCTGGATTTATGTCCAGACAGCAAAAGTCAGTGTTTACGTCGCTCTGAAAGGCTTCATCTGATAAGGGGGAAATGTGGGGCAAAGTGAAACCAATTTCTGAGTTTTGGGATATAAGGTTTGCTTCAAGGGAAAACATGTTAGATCAGGCATCGTTTGGAAATCAAGTTCGTGTGCCATGGAAATCCTGTTCAAGGAGTCTTGTTCCTGTGGAGTTTTTAGCCTTTTGGATTGTCTTTGCATCCTGTTTGATTCCTGTCAGGATTAATGCTGTCTTGTATTGCTTTTATATCTTGTGTGGACATTGCTTTGTGTTACTGCTTTTTATGGACTTATTACTTTTTGGAACCTTCTTATTTTCTTACAAGCGTTTATTTCTTCTGGCTATTTACTAAGCTTCAATAAAAGAAGATTTGTTTCTTCACTCTTTGTGTGGTGTGTTTTAAAGTCAGAGAGATTCTTCCTGACCCGGAGTGCAACACATAGCAGTAATGATGAGGCTGCAGACCACATTTTAGTTCTTGTGGACCACTGGTGGTCCACGCACCACAAGTTGGGAACCATTACCATAACCAAACCCATCATGCTCCAACCAAACTCTCCATGCAAGCACATGGGAGGAGGGGTACTTCCCTTAGATGCCCTCCCCCACTTGATCAGCCAGTGACTGTATGGCCATGCAGCTAGGCCTCAGTTCTTCTTCCATTTGCTATTCAAGATACCAGGGTATTATTTCATTCCTCCCGACGCCATTTACCTTCGCAGGCATGGGGGTCGGGGCAGAGGCGCTCCTGGTCCAACGTGGCCGAGCACAGGCTCTCTTGCCCCTCCCAGAGATGCCCAGTCTGGGGGTCCAGGCAGAGGCGGAAGCGGTGCTGGAGGGAGACCAGCGCTGGGTGGGCAGAGGGCTCTCCTGGGGGCCAGGGGTGCTGCTGCTGCTGTTGCTGGGACAGGAGGACGGAGGCTGCCCAGGGGCCCACGGGTGGAAGGGGCAGGCAGGCCGAGCAGGGCGTCCACTCGGACCAGGCGCTCAATGGAAGCTGCCCTGGAAGAGGAGGAAGGAAGTGGGTTAAACCGCTGAGCTGCTGAACTTGCTGACTGAAAGGGTGGCAGTTCAAATCCAGGGAGCAGGGTGAGCTCCCACTGTTAGCCCCAGCTCCTGCCAACCTAGCAGTTCGAAAACATGCAAATGTCCGTAGATCAATAGGTACCACTTCTGCAGGAAGGTAACAGCGCTCCATGCAGTCATGTCAATCACATGGCCTTGGAGGTGTCTATGGACAACGCCAGCTCTTTGGCTTAGAAATAGAGATGAGAGTCAGACACAAGTAGACTTAATGTCAAGGGGAAACCTTTACCTTGATCTACTTTAAAGATGTAGTTTTTTAAGCTGAATTCAGGGGGTGCTGTGGTTTTAGGCTTGAATATGCATCAAATATGTTTGAATGGTTTAAACTGTGAAACTTTTAATACTGTTTTTTATTTAATTCTGTTTTAATGTTTGTATATTTGCATATTTTAAATGCTGTGCTAATGTTTTATGCCAAGCCGCTTTGAGTCCCTTTTGGGGGAGCTAAAGAGGGGTATAGTAAAGGTAAAGGTAGTCCCCTGACATTAAGTCCAGTCATGTCTGACTCTGGGGTGTGGTGCTCATCTCCATTTCTAAGCCAAAGAGCCAGCGTTGTCCGTAGACACCTCCAAGGTCATGTGGCCGGCATGACTGCATAGAGCGCCGTTACCTTCCCGCCGGAGCTGTACCTATTGATCTACTCACATTTGCATGTTTTTGAACTGCTAGGTTGGCAGAAGCTAGGGCTGACAGCGGAAGCTCACGCCGCTCCCCAGAATCGAACCTGTGACCCTTTGATCAACAAGCTCAGCAGCTCAGGGCTTTAACCCACTACGCCACCGGGAGCCTAAAGAGGGGTATAAATACATATAATTAAAAAATAATGAAAATGGCCAGGTAAGGTTTATGCAGGTGTTCACTTTGCCTTCTGCCTGTCCAGCCTCTTTGACCCACAGCAAGCAGGGGAGGAGTTTCCCTGGACAAGAGCCTTGCGAGGCTGGCACTCACCTTGGCAGCCATCGCTGCTGCACTTGAGCTCTCCTTGCTGGCAAATGCTGTGGGGAGAAAGGCAGGTGAAACGCAGGAAGGAAGATGCACTGAGGACACTTCTTACTTGGGTGGGTATGTTGTAGGAGGGGAGGGGCACATTGCCCTCTTCCCCTTCCCAGAGAACCCAACCCACCATTCCTTGCAGCCAATCAGGACGGTCTCTCCGGCCACCAGGTGGACAGGGGCTCCCGACTGGCTCAGGTGAACGCAACCACACTGGGAGGGAGGGACACAGACCCCATTCTGCTCCACCTGGCCCTGTGGGGAGAAAGAGGGGCAAAGGTCACTCTCCGGCCACTTCCTCAGGCTGTACCACCTTAGAATCATAGAATCAAAGAGTTGGAAGAGACCTCATGGGCCATCCCGTCCAACTCCATTCTGCCAAGAAGCAGGAATATTGCATTCAAAGCACCCCCGACAGATGGCCATTCAGTCTCTGTTTCAAAGCTTCCAAAGAAGGAGCCTCCACCACACTCCCCCTGGGGCAGAGAGTTCCACTGCTGAACGGCTCTCACAGTCAGGAAGTTCTTCCTCATGTTCAGATGGAATCTCCTCTCTTGTAGTTTGAAGCCATTGTTCCACTGTGTCCTAGTCTCCAAGGAAGCAGAAAACAAGCTTGCTCCCTCCTCCTCCCTGTGGCTTCCTCTCACATATTTATACATGGCTATCATCATGCCTCCTCTCAGCCTTCTCTTCTTCAGGTTAAACATGCCCAGTTCCCTAAGCTGCTCCTCATAGGGCTTGTTCTCCAGACCCTTGATCATTTGAGTCACCCTCCTCTGGACACATTCCAGCTTGTCAATATCTCTCTTCAATCGTGGTGCCCAGAATTGGACACAATATTCCAGGTGTGGTCTAACCAAGGCAGAGGCTTCACCGCCATCCTACTGTTGTGTGACCAAAAGTGATGCCATATGACTTCCTGTTTGAAAATTTGGGGCAGGAGGTCTCGAAGGGCAAAGAAACCGCAAACCCAACCTTTCAAGGTGATCCCATTGTTTCACTGAGATTTCACCCTAAAATATCGCTCCAGGGGTCGCTTGTGGACTTTTCTAAGTCTTGGTTTAACAAAGGTTTTGTATGTTGTTTTATGTAAATATTGTCGTTTAAATTTACTTTGTTATTGATTTATATGTCCATGTACCTGGTTGTATTTTGTGTGTTGCTGTATTATTATTTGCTTTTTCTGAGCTGCCTGAGTCCCTTCGGGGAGACAGTGGCGGGAAATGAATAATGTCTTCTGTTATTTATTATTTAGGAAAAAATAACAGCAAATTAACTTCCGAATAAGTCTTGGAAAATGTATTGGCTCTGCTAGCCGGAAGGCATTATGGGCTCTTTTGTCCTGAGAAGCCAACTTTTCCAAGCTGTGCTCTTCAGCATAAACAGAGTGCCGTTTTGCCTCATCACAATGTTATTGAACACCAACCCCTCCCAAAATAAAAAATAATAATTTATAGTTCGGAAACTTATTGTTTCGCAAAGGCCATCAGGCTAGAATGATATAAAAAGGGTTAAGTCTTTGCCACCTTGCAATGGAACTAAAAACAACAAGGACTCCTTCATATATATATTCCCTGTAGTCACCTATGGATGTGAGAGCTGGACCTTCGGGAAGGCTGAGCGAAGGAAGAGAGATGCTTTTGAGCTGTGGTGCTGGAGGAAAGTGCTGAGAGTGCCTTGGACCGCGAGAAGATCCAACCAGTCCATCCTCCAGGAAAGAAAGCCCGACTGCTCATTGGAGGGAAGGAGATGAGAGACAAAGTGGAAGTCCTTTGGCCACATCATGAGGAGACAGCAAAGCTTAGAGAAGACAATGATGCTGGGGGAAATGGAAGGCAAAAGGAAGAGGGGCCGACCAAGGGCAAGATGGATGGATGGCATCCTTGAAGGGACTGGACTGACCTTGAAGGAGCTAGGGGTGGTGACGGCCGACAGGGAGCTCTGGCGTGGGCTGGTCCATGAGGTCACGAAGAGTCGGAGACGACTGAACGAATGAACAACAATATATATATATACATACACTAGCAGTCCCCTGCCACGTGTTGCTTTGGCCCAGTCTGGTGATCTGAAAATATAGTAATGAGAAAGTGCTGGTTTCTAATCTATGTAATGTCTTTCTGCTTGTGGGTAAACAGTATTTCTTGATGTTTCTTTGACAGTGTTGACGTAGAGATTGTCTGGCTTGCCTGTAATACTGTATCTTTGTGTGTGTGTGAATCATATATATCTATCTATATCCATGCCTGGATGGCTCTCTGTCAGGAGGGCTTTGATTACGTTTTCTTGCCCTGATGAAGGGAGTTGGACTGGATGGCCTTAAGTATTTTCTGCTGGTCATGGGGGTTCTGTGTGGGAAGTTTGCCCCAGTTCTGTCATTTGTAGGGTTCATTCAGAATGGTCTTTGATTGTAGGTGAACTATAAATCCCAGTAACTACAACTCCCAAATGCCAAGGTCTATTTCCTCCAAACTCCATCTGTGTTCATACTTGGGCATATGGAATATTCGTGCCAAGTTTGGTGCAGATCCATCATTGATTGAGTCCACAGTGCTCTCTGGATGTAGGTGAACTACAACTCCCAAACTCAAGGTCAATGCCCACCGAACGCTGCTAGTATTTTCTGTTGGTCATGGGAGGCCTGTGTGCCAAGTTTGGTTCAAGTCCATCGTTGGTGGAGTTCAGAATGCTCTTTGATTATAGGTGAACTATAAATCCCAGCAACGAGAACTCCCACATGACAAAATCATAATTTTTTGAGTGATGGTCACTCCTTGTGTAGTGAGACGTTTTGTTGCCAAATAGTTCTGGCAGTGAAAACTAGGGGACGCTGGTGCTTTGCTTCTACAGTGGTGCTAAAGTTCTGGTGCTAAAGTCCAACTAAACTTTCAAAATTTCGTTATAATTGGCCGTTCCTAATTGGGTATGTCATAAAAATCACCAATAACAAAATAATAATGAAATTTTGAAAGTTTTGTCAGTCCCGGTCCTTTGGTGAGTTAATTCTAATCTGGGAACTTAATTAGTTGCTAGTATTCCTTGCCAGAAAGAATCCCCAAATGATTGCGGTCTAGATTTGATACCAACAAGGCAACGGTATGGCCCTTGGAGTAAGAGGCAGGGCTCTTGAGGGCGCTGTTGCCCGGCCCAGGCATTACAGGTGAGGGGCTTCCCTGTCAACAGGGGGTGGCAAGGAGTTCCAGAGGTCAAATCTCCTTTAGGACAAAAGGGCAAATTCTCCCTCTCCCTCTCTCTCTTTGTGTGTCTCTCTTTCCTCTCACCGGTGGGCAATAGCACCCAGGGAGGCAGCGGGGGATGTCCTGGCACAGCTCTGGGTGCCGCCGGGTGGAGCAATGGCCGTCGCAGGGGGAGCCGCACGACTGGAACTCAAAAGGCGGCTCGCAGCTGGATTCTGAAAAAGCAAGAGTTTGCAGGAAGTCACAATGTATTGTTGAGAGGGCAGGGGTGCCAGAGGTCTTTGTCCTCCTCCTCCTCACCTGAGCACTGGGAATAGTCGCACATCCGGAACTGTCCGTCCAGCCCCACGCAGGGCTCCCCATCCGCCCCAGAGCCACGCTGGTTCCGGTATCTCTGTTGGACCAGGAAGCTGCAGGAGCACCGGGTCCAAGGGGTCCAGGGGCTCCAGGGGCATTCTGGGGGAGAGGAAAGGGGAAGGCAGGGAATTGGGCGATATGAGAACTGTGGTGGAGCTGGAAGGGCCTGGAGGGCTGAAGTTTGCCCATGGCTGAGCTAGAGTAATGGAAGTAAAACCAGCCAAGACCCCAGAGCCCACCTTTGCAAGGCTGGAGGTAACACGCTGCCACCTGCTGGCGGGGGCTGAGATCGCAGGGCGCTCCTTCTTTGGCATTGTCCTCTGGAGACGGGCAGCCGCAGAGCCCCGAACGAGAAGCCAGGCCAGTTCCGCAGGACCTGGAACAGGGACCCCACGAGGACCAGGGACAGGGCTCATCTCCTGCCAGGAAAGGGAAAGATGGGATCAAATACACGGGAAAGCAAACACAGAGGATGGTGTCATATGTTCTGCAGTTGATGGTGCTTGGTAATGGAAGGGTTAATGTAGTATTAGTTCTAAAGGGTTTAGTAATCTGTAAGTAAGAGTTCATGGGTGAAAGCAATTAAGGGTGGAGGCATGCAAGAGATAGGTTGCAGCTGGGTGTTTCTGGATATAAGGAGCGAGCCTTGGGAGTGATCTTTGGGAGAAAAGTATTGTCATATCTTGGCAGTGGATGCTGCTGGTTTTTCCCCCAGGTCTGTTGGATTTTTGGTATCCTGACCTGTCTCCTGAACTCTTGGAACACTGGAACCTTGAACTTTTGGACTGGCTTTGGACTATGGTATAGGCTCTTGATCCCTGGACTTTGTTTATTGAACTCTCTGTGTTTGACCACTGGACTGGACCCTTTGACTACGGTGTAGCTTTTGCTATCAGTTTTTGTTTATTCTGTGACTGAGTGCTATCTTTATGTTTTATAATTTGGTCTATTAAAACAGCCAGCAGGTAAGTGCTGTTTTAATTAAACTGTTTGATACAAACTGGGAGTTTGGTTCACCTCTACCTAAAATAGGCAGAGCCCTATTTTAGGTAGAGATCAGCCTTCTCACCACAGATGGTGAGAAGGCTGATATAGATTTTCAAAACAGATGGAGGAATGGACCAGGCTGACCCCAGAGACATGTCTGCCCAACAACAAGGGTGACATTTGCCAGTTGCAGGTTTTGTTTTTTCCCCCACAAATTAACAAAATGTAATTAAAAGCGAAGGTGTGATCGCAACATTTAAAAGGAGTTAGCAAATCTATCTAAATAAAAGCATAATGTTCATTTGTGGAATTAATGTAACTTAAAAACCACTGGACGAATTGACACCAAATTTGGACACAAGACACCTATCAGGCCAATGAGTGACCATCACTAATAAAAACACTGAAAAACATAGCAGAAGGGGCTTAAAAACCAAAGAAGCAAAACGACGCTACAGTGCATGCGCAAAAATAACTTCCCCTGGAAAACAAAACACACAATAGCATATCCACACTCTCTTCTGGACTACAGCTCCCAGCATCCCAAAGACCACGCCCTTTAGGAAAGGAGGATGATCCAAATGCACTGCTTCCAAGATGCAAGCTTTCTTCTCCTTGGATTTCTTTGAGAGCTTCCCAATCCCTGCATATCTCCAATTTCCTATTCCTGAACTGCAACTCCCAGCAATCTTCCAGATAGATAGATTAGATAGAGATAAATAGGTACGTAGATAGATTGATCAGGAGGACTGCTGGGAGTTGTAGTCCAAGAATAGGTAGAGAAGGAAGGAAGAAGAAAAAGAGGAAGGGGAAGAAAAGTTGGGTGGGGGAAGGAAGGGAAGAAGAAGAGAAGAAAGGAAGGCGAGAAAGAAAGAAAGAAAAATGGAAGAAAGGGAGGGAGGGAGGGAGGGAGGGAAGGAAGGAAGGAAGGAAGGAAGGAAGGAAGGAAGGAAGAGAAAGAAAGAAGAGAGTGAGGGAAGGTTGGCCACAGCAATGCGTGGTGGGTACAGCTAGTTAGAGATAAAACCAGAGGACAGTGAATGAGAAATTCATAGATTTGTCTTTTAGTTTTAGTTGTTGTGCATATGTATGTGTACTTGTGCATTTTCCTCCTGTGTTTATGTTCCTTTATTTGTGGTGATCTTAATTTTCTGCAGGCATTTAGCTTAGTGTTGTGTCAGTAGTTGTTAGAATTTAGATGAGTAGTGTTTCGAAATGAAAAATAACCGCCAAACTTTGAATTTGTGCAATTGTGGGTTGTTTGGGGTGTTTTGCATCTTTGAATCAAAATAATTGGCAAAAAGGGAAAGAGAGATGTGTTGGGGATCAAGATGCACGGAGCAGCTGGAGCTCATGGGGTGTGAAGAATGGTTTGCTTACCTGTAACCATGTTTCTTCAAGTGGTCATCTGTTAAATTCACAGGGCTACCACCAAAATGTATCTTGTAGAGCTTCTAGAAAATTCCAAAACTGACTGCGCAGGCTCAGGAAACCCATATGTGCGATTTCACAGAGACCACGAAGAAGAATATAAAGGAAAGCCTACTGCAGAAAATTGTGGGGTGAGGGTGCTACCTAGGGGGTTCTGGGCATGGTTAAAGGAAACCTGAGTCAAGTTGAAATGGCTCCTGGAAACTGATCCACTTGCCCCGCAAGCGGAGACCCATTGAGCCAAAGGAACCTACGTCAGAGTTGGTTTACCAAATGCCTGAGGATTTGCGGAGTTTGTTCTTGTAGGGATGCAGGCCCCATTCATTCCCAGAGGAGTCCCAGAGGAAGGACCCTGGCCAGGAGTCCCTGGGATGCAGACCCACCTGGGCAGGCCATGCCAGAGCAGTTCTGGGCCTCCACTTCGGGGCCGGCGCAGGGCAAGCCGTTGTTGCGCGGCGGAGGGTTGATGCAGGCTCGAGTGCGGACCTGGGTGCTGTGTCCACAGGAGACAGGGCAGTCGGACCACGGGGACCACGGCGTCCAGGCACCATTCACTGGCAGGGAGACAAGCAAGGAAAGTATGGCCAGCTTGAACTGACATGGCAGGCTCTCCTCCCAAGGCAGGATTTGTGCAGACAGAGGACCTTCAGCTTCCCATTTCCCAAAAGTGAGAAATAGATTGAATTAAATTGTATGATTGAAGTCTGGCTAAGGGCCTATTAAGTTCTGGCAAGACTGAAGAGACCATCTTAATTTCTTTTTTTCATGTCAGGAGCGACTTGAGAAACTGCAAGTCACTTCTGGTGTGTGAGAATTGGCTGTCTGCAAGGATGCCCAGATGTTCCATTTTTTTACCATCCTTGTGGGAGGCTTCTCTCATGTCCTTGCATGGGGAGCTGGAGCTGACAGGGGGAGCTCAATCCTCTCTCCCCATATTTGAACTGCTAACCTATCGGTCAGCAGTCCTGCCAGTACAAGGGTTTAACCCATTGCGCTACCAGGGGCTCCATCCTAAAATTAAACCAATGGCATTATGGAATTTGATTAACTTTGGCATGAAAAATACTGAAAAAAAACTTTGGGTGTAGACAACACATGTTTACATGACCAGAGATACTGACTCTTTAAGTTAAGGAAGTCTGTGTGCCTACTTATTTCTCTGAAAGGGCCTGATGTCCCACTGCCAATGGTATTATTATTATTATTTGTGCTGTCACGCGCTGGGCCTATAGCAGTTGGCTTTTGAACAGGACGTGCTCTTTGTGCCCCGCGGGAAGCCGGGGTGCCTCGACTGAGAGGCCCTAAGGATTTTCCTATACAGAGTCTTTAGAAGTTTGAAAGGTTTAACAAAGTCCTTTATTATTGCTTAGGTCTTCAACAAACAATCAAATACTTCTTAGATCTTTAACAAATTAAACAAATGCTTCAAGGCTTTGAATCAACTGGTGGGCGCCTTGCTTGGAGAACTATTTCTTTCTTTAACAAGGAAAGCCCTTTTTGGCCCCTCCCAGGCAATCTGTTTTCTAGGCTCTGCTAGTGTGGGCCCTACTCCCGGCTCCAATTGCTTCTAGTTACCCGAGTAGACCTACCAGCCAAGACCTTGTAGATTTTCCAGCTAGAGTCCTTTTGGATTTTCTCCATGAATGATGTGGATCTGTATCTTTAACCCCATCAAGCATTGTGCTGTCAAACTGTTTTCCTTAGAAGCTTTAGGGCTGTTTCCCCCGGATGTTGTGAGAAACGAAGCTTCTCTACAGGTGGGGAAAGCTCACGTCCTGTAACTGGGCTTCCAAAAACTGAAAGACTGCATGAAGTCTTTCTTTTCCCTCCCAAAGCCCTGGGGAAAGGGGAGGAACTAAAGAACATAATGATGATTGATGGGGCATTGGCCCTATAATTGCAGAGCAAGGGAAACCACCTTATTGCAAAATGCATGGAACCTTGGAATACATGCAAACACTCAATAGAAAGAAAATGAAGTAGGAGCTCCTGGTACAGCCATACCAGCATATTGTTGTTGTTGTTGTTGTTGTTGTTGTTGTTGTTGTTGTTATTATTTATTATTATTATATATTTGTCAGGTTTTACAATGTATTGTAATATAGCTGAGTCATGCACTGCTAATAGGCTTCTATTGGAAATGCTGAGTCATGCATTAACTGTATATAGAACTTCATTTGGGGAATGTGTTCTGGCCTAGTCCAGGTGATTGTGAATGATGCAATCCTGGGTTGAGTTAAGTCAATGAGTTGGGAACCAATCAGAGATTGCTATGTGTAATTGTATAGAACTGTATATAAGGAAGTCATGTAGAGTGTATACTCTCTCCTTGTGCTGTGATGCTGTTCGTCGAAGGCTCTATGTAATTGATTAAAAGAACCTGTCTGCTAAGACAAGATATAACTGTGTGCTGTGGTAAGTTTGTAGTGTCATCTAGACTGGAGGGGAAAACAATAGTAAAACTGATAATGGCCAGGCATGTGCTCAAGTGTCTGTAAAAGGTTCCAGCGTGGCTGCAGGCTGTGGGAGCAGTTGACTCAAAATACTGTGCAGGAAGAAGCTACTGGAAAGCACTGAAGTTGTGCAACTGATCTGCTGCTGAATTGTGAAATTAATCTCAACAGGGTGGATCACAGAACACATATAGGGCAAACATTCAATGCCGGTTAAACACTGAGAAGACAAACAAGAGATAGAGGTATATTTAGGCTTTTTCTCATCTTTTAGCATCTTTTGGAGGCTTTGCTCAGTTCTGGCCACAGAGGAGTGCTGTTGCTCCATCTCCTTGCCGAAGAGCTTTGTTTGTTCATAAACTTTCCTCCCAAATGCTGTGCCTAAAATACCACCCTGCATAATGCAGTTCCTATTCATTTAATCACATCTACTCAATCTGCTAGGTGGACAGGGGAGCTGGGCTGAAGGTCAGGAGCTCACCCTGACCTGGCTTTGAACTGTCAACCTTTCAGTTAGTGAGATTTCCTGCAGCTGCAGCTGGTGATGAACCTGCTGTGCTGAAGCTGGCCCTTGCTGTGCCAAAGAACATTTTGTAAGGTTCCAACAGTATTCATGACACAAATGTAATGTGTCCTTCTCCTGTTGTTATCCTAAATTGCACAGAATTTCTGGGTCCCCTGTGAAGAAGAAAACCTAGCAATTATATCCATTCTTCCAAATCAGTGAAAACGTTGGTGAGCATTCCAAGACTTCCCAGCCAGTCTACATTGTAATAAAAATCTAAACTTTTCCTTGTAGGTTTTATCTTCTAGGGGCCACTGATGCAAGACAGGAGAACCTACAGAATGGGAATCTTCTGGAGAAACAACCGGCAGTTGTTAGGAGCCACCGACTGTGCGAAAGATCGGCCACCCTCAATGTATTCCTGTCCAGTCCAGAGTCAAACAAAAAGGAGTCTTTCAGACTCAGGCCCAGGGACCAACTCAGAGTCACCTTCTATTGAGCTGTATGCCAACTCACCTGGTGAAATGATATTACATTAGGGAAAACCGGATTTGCTCACCTGCACATGCGATGTCCAGGCAGTAGATTCCTTCTGGGGTGCAAATGCTGCAGATAGAAAGACAAAGAGGGGTCGGGGCCTTTCCAGAAGGTGGCCCATTCTTCTCCTGAGATAACTCTATAGGTCCTGCCCACCACTGCACTATGCAGTGGGGAGGGGGGGGTCTCACCATTGCTGGCACTCCCCCAGGAGCCAGGCGCTGCCCAGCGGCATTTCATGGCCCTCATGGAGACACAGAGGCAGGCAGGGGCCAGGGGAGCAAGGCCGGGTCTGCAGCTGCTCCTTGAGGCACTCTGGGGCCCACGAGCCAGAGGTGGGGGTCCTGTGGGGAGACAGGGGAGGGACGGAGAGACGCCGTGAGTGACCATGGGGCCCTGCTTTGAGGCTAGAGCAGCAGCAACCATGAACCAGGGAACCATACTCAACACAGCACACATTTAAGAGTCTGGGGACATTCAAAACCAGGCAATGAGAGTAAAAGGGCCACAAAAAGTATCTTCAGCAACAACTCAAAGCCTCTTTGAAGAAGAACATTTCTGTCATGAGATGGTAGGACTCCCTGGAAAGAAAATGCAGGTTGAGTCTCCCTCCTCTGAAAAGCTTGAAGCCAAGGCATTCTAGGCTTGTTGTTGCACTCCAGGACAGGAAAAGCCCTCTGACTTTAAACACCACACAATTGGATGGAAAACAATCCTTTTATTGAAGATAATTAAAAAGCACTAAGGTAAAAAAGCTCTTTAAAGAAATAGGTAAATCCAATTAGGTAAGAAGATAAGCAGGAACAAAATAGTCCAGGGTAATAGTCTAGCAAAGTCCACAAAAATCAAAGTTAAAACTTCTCAAATAAAATGAAAGAAATCAGAAAACATTTATCCAAGGCATGAATATAAAAGCATAGAATCCAAGAATCAAAACCATGAAACGAAGGCCCTTAAAACATGAATTTTCCAAGCAAAGCTTCCATGAAACAAGGATGAGATCTTGACTTGATTCCAAACGATGCTTCATCTGACTACATATCCTGTACTTGGGACTTCTATCTCCTTGTTAGCTATGTCTCTAGTGCACAGAAATTGGTTTCGCTTTAGCTGAGAATTTCTTATCTTTTTCTCTCGGAGCCTGGCAGAACGCCGAAGCAACTGTTTGGCTCTCCTGTTTTAACTGATCTCCTCAGTCCTCTCTATTTGCTCATTAACTTCTGCAGCTGGGCCAGGTGCTGAGCTGTTTTCATGTTCCTTATCATGGGAACTCTCTGGTAACAATTCAGGGAGCACACCATCATCCCCACACCCCTCAGGGACATTCTCATGGGAAACTACACTTTGAGCAGGGATCTCCTGGTCATTCTCTGCATCAACATCACTGACCAAACCATTGCCATCTTCAAAACTCATCTTGCAACTCATTGGCATCACTCCCCACATCCAAAGCACCCTGATCCTGAAATACAATCACAGGCTGAGCTCCAACAGCTGCATCCACAGGGATATAGTATCTAGACTGAGGGAAGTCATAGCCTCACTCTCTTCTGCTTTGGTTAGACAGCACCTGCAATAATCCTGTGTCCAGTTCTGGCCAAAGAAATTCAAGCAGGAGATGGGCCAAGTGGAAGGCGTTCCAAATCAGGGTCACCAAAATGGTCCAAAGTCTGGAAACCATGAGGACTGACTTAGGGTGCTGGATATTTTTAGCTCAGAGATGAGAAGGCCAAGAGAAAGGGACATGAGAGCAATGTTAAAAGGAAAGGGGCATTTCCTTACTGCTGTTCCTGAGACTATGGAGCAATTCATTCAAATTACAGCCAAATAACATTAGGAAGAAATCCTGACAATAAGACCCGTTTAACAGGGGAATATGCCTGGGAGTGTATAGGAGTCTCCTTCTCTGGTGGCTTTTCACTAAGGGTTGGATGGCCAACTGTTAGGAGGGATTGGATTGTGTCTTCCTTTATGACAGAAGGGGGTTGACTGGATGGGCTTTGAGCTGTTAGGAATTCTGGAGGGCCAAAGTTTGCCTAGGCCTGCCTTTGAGGGTGTTGTAGTTCTGCCTTTGATTATGCCTGCACCTGATCTCTCTGGAGATTCTGGGCCTGCTAGTCATTCTGGTGACACTGGGGATTCTGGGTCTGCAAGTCAGCAGGAGAGCCAGCAAGAGATTTTGAGCCCTGAAAATGAGCAGTCTGTGTCTGAAAATCACATTCCTGAAAGGCAGTTCACTCTGGAAGCAAGGTCAGAAAAAGATCAAAGTTCAGAGAAGTCCAGGTGGACAGACTAATGAACAGTTAGATAGGAGATTTATGTTCCATTAACATAGAGCTTCTCAGGAAAGTTTACAAAGGTGAAAATGCCTATTAGCCAAGAAATCCTTATCAATTTCCCAGGGGAGAAGGCATGATTTTCTCTCTATCTCAGCTAGCCCAGCAGATGGGTCTTTTAGTCCAGGCAACGTTGGTGTTTGTGTATAGAACTACTGTCAAGTCAAGGGATTTCTAGTTTCATGTTCCATGTTTGTTCATGTCTCATGATTTCAGGTTTTAAGGACTGTGGCTGAATCTCATGTCTTGGATTTATTCTGCTTTCATATTCCTGTTTTTAATGCTATTCCTGGACTGTGATTTCTGTGGATTATTCTTGATATTTGGACAAGGGATTTTTTATACTGAATTACTTTTCATATATATTCTCCAGTAAGCTGCTTTGCTATTTGGACTGAAGTGTGTGTTAAGTACAGAGGTGGTTTCCCAGCCTTGGAGTGCTACAGAGGGTCTCTTTCTACTCCCGGCTTCTATGATCCGTGGCAAATCTCCCTTCCCTCTCTCTGCTCACCTGAACCGGGTGTGCTGCCCTCCCTCCCCACAGGTGAGGCTGCAGGGGGCCCATCCGGACCAGAGGCTCCAGGCACATCCGCTGGGGGGGCAGGTGTGGTTGGTGCAGAGGAGCCTTCCCTCCAGGCAGGAGCAGTTGTTGCAGCCGTCGTCATGGAGGCTCCCGGGGGCCCAGCTGTGGCCCTGGCTGTCCATGCACTCGCAGTGGGAAGGGGAGACGCAGGTGCCATCTTGCTCCAGGGTCCCTGCAAGGCAAGGTAGATGTTCTACTTGTAATGCACATTCATCTATAGAACTGCAAAGTACTAGTGCAATCCCTTTTGCATTTTGTGCTTTTTGTGCTCTGTGTACTTTGCAATGTTTTAGAAAAAAAATGTCTTTATAATTGTTACTACTAATGGCAAGACCACAATATGGCTATTGGAAGCAATATACTCTATGGGGAGAGTGGGCAGGACTGCCACCTAAAAGTGTCTAATAAACTTTCTAGAAGTTCCCGAAAATGACTGCGCAGGTGCAGGAAATAGCATACATGCAATTTCACAGGGACCACGATGGAGAAGTAGACATCTTTAGCAACAAAGCAATAAAGCTAGGAGAAGCAGAAGATGCCAGCCACAGAAGCAGCCAAAATGTCAGGAGAGAATGCTGCTGGAACATGGCCATACAGCCTGGAAAACTCACAGCAACCCAGTGATTCTGGCCATGAAAGCCTACGACAACACAGCAGCCATCTTTCTTTGTTGATGCTGTTTCTGTGTGTTTTCTAATCATTTCCGACATATGGAGAATCTGAGGCAAGGCTATCATAGCATTTTGTGGTTTGTTCTGAGGCTGGGATTGTGTGACTTATCCACAGCCACCCAGTGGGTTTCCTTCCTGAGTGAGGATCTGAACCCTATTCCTCAGAATCTCAACGCAATGCCCAAACACCACTAGACCATGCTGTCTCTCATTTCTCTCAACTTGATGGAGACCATAATTAACATCTTGTGTAGTTTGGCCTTCTGTCTGCAACAGGGGTGACCCCTTGCAGAAGCTTTGGAGGCCGGTTATTCACTATGGTGGGCTTCTTGAGTTACCAAAATTGTCATTTTCTTTCTGCCATCTCTATGCTGAAAAATATTTATTGGGGGTCCGGGTGCCTTTGGGAGCCCATTGCCCTCCATCCAAAAGTGAGACCCACTGCTCCCAGCCTGGACAGGGAGAGAGGCTCCCCTCACCATTTGGGCAACGGCATCCAGGCTCACAGGCTTCAGCGTCTTGGCACTCGATGCCCTCCTGGAGGTCCCAGCAATGGCGAGGGCAAGCGTTGGCGCAGTCCACCATGTGCAGCGGGGGCGGACAACCCTCCTCTGCAGGGAGAGAGTGGTCAGTTCTCTTGCAGGTGACCGAGCAACAGCAGGACACAGACCCACAGTGACACCCCCGGACCAGACGTTTTGCAAGTTAAAAAATGAATATGAAGGTACAGCAAGACCCCATCACCCCTCTCTGTGGTCTCACTTTTCTGTACCTGTCGAAAGAAATGGTCCTCTGGGTAAGTCTATGGGAAAGGTACCATAAAGTTACCCTGAAGGGCCTAGCACAGGCATGGGCAAACTTGGGCCCTCCCTCCAGGTGTTTTTTTGTTTGTTTTGTTTTGTTTTTTAAGCATTTATACCCCACTCTTCTCGACCTCCGAGGAGTGACTCAGAATAGCTTCCAAACAGGCAACAATTTAATGCCAAACATGATATAAAACACATAATAAATGCATCCATATACATTAAAAGAGTTTTTAAAATATACAGATCATCAAATATACTATTTTGGACTTCAACTCTCACAATTGCCATAACCATCTGAATAAATACATCCTGTGACCCTTGGCACTCACCGCAAGGCCGGGCATTGCAGAGGCGGACACGGTGCTTCTCTCCGGGGCAAGGGTACCCCCCGTTCTTGGGAGGGGGGCTGGTGCAGCTCCGGGTACGAGACGAGTGCCCGCCGCCACAGAGGCGGTCGCACCAGGACCAGGGGCTCCACTTAGACCAGGCCCCATCCACTGTGGGGGGAGATGAGGAATAGAGTTGGTGAGCATCCTTTTGGGGACTGTGAATACCTGAGAACTTGGAAACCATGCTCTCAGTTCCACTGGACATGTTCCATTGGACAGGGGATTCTGGGAGCTGCAATCCCCCAACCTCAAGTTTTCCCAAGTTCTGAGCTGTCTGTGATGGGAGTTCCATCTGGCAAACACAAGGGCCCATTTCTGGGCATGGCAGGGTGGGGGGGGGGGGACGCTTCTTTGTTCCCATTCCCCTTCAACCCAGCCTGCTTTCATGCAAGGAAATTCCCTTTGGATTCATGAAGCCCTCCTTTGGAGCTCATTGCCACAGGAAGGTTTGCAACCCAGTGATAGGAGTGAATTGGGGCAAGGCTCAGGCTTGCGTCAGGCCCAAGGGCTAATTGTCTACCCACACAAGCTGCAAAAAAGAAAAGGAAAATGGGAGAAGAGCCAGGGACGGATGGAATTGTGTGCATCCTCACCTTTGCAGGCTTGGAGGTTGCAGAAGCGGCGCTCCATATTGGCTGTCAGGATGCCCTCGCACCAGTGGCCCTCGTGCCCCGGAGGGTGGTAGGTGCGCAGGCGCCGCTGCTGCCCCACTCCGCACGTGCGAGAACAGGCGCTCCACGGGGCCCAGGGGGTCCAGGTGCAGTTGAGGCCCACACAGTCCTCCCCTTGGCAGAGAGGGGTCTCTGGGGATGGAAGGAAGGAAGGAAGGGGGACAGGTTGGAAGTGGAGAAAGTTCAACCAAAGTCAAGGAGGACAGGTTGGGAATGGAGAAGACTCACCACTGGTCTATAGAGGAGGCATGAGCAAATGTTGGCTCTACTGGTGTTTTGGACTTCAATTCCCACAATTCCTAACAGGAGGGCTGAAGTTTGCCCATGTGTGCTGTAGAGCAATTAGAGGGAGGCTCTGGGGCTGCCCCTCACCTGTGCACTGGGGCAAGTTGCACTCTCGCTCCTGGAAGGCCTCCCCTGTGCAGTTGGCCCCTCCCAGGCAAAGGCGCAGGCGGGTTTTGAGGGCCGGCAGCTCTGGGTCACTGCAAGTTTTGGAGCAGGGGGTCCAGGATGACCAGGGGGTGAAGCCATCCCCATCGGGGCCTGCAAGAGGGGAAGGTAAAAGGGGAGCAGAAAAAGCAGGAGGAAGGAGGCCACTGTGGCTGGCCAGGAGCGGGGTTCCAAATCAGGCTCTGGGACCTCCTCGCTCTTGTGGCCCTCTTCTTTCCTTACCTGGGAGAACAGGAAAAGGCTCCTTCGTGGGTCCAGCCAGGGCTGTGATGAAAAACAAAGGGTACTGACTCAGTTTGGACAGCTGCAGGAGGCCCTGAGTACTAGTGTTGGCCACCAAAGGAGGAGCTTGGGCATCAAGCAACCAAGCTAGATGTAATTATATGAGACCCTTCAAAGGCCATACAGTCCACCCCCTTTTGTCCTTGCAGGAGTCCGCAATCCAGGCAATCCCCATAGATGTTTTGGAAGGAATATTGGAAGGACAGAGAGACTGAGAGTACTAGTTGCAAGGATTTGTGTTAAGGTAGAAAAGATGGAGGCTGTGGCTGGATGGGGTCCCCAATGCTTCTTTTGCAACCCCCAAACCTTCCCTTATACCCCTCGAGTTCAGTTCATAATGAGACCTATGTAGACCCTCAATATGGAATGACTGTGGAAACATGAGGCAGTTTGTTCTCTCCCAATGGGGAAGGGGTCCCTCCCAAAGATACAAACAGCTCTTTGTGGCCATCTGGTTAGCTCCCAATGCTGACCACCAAAGACCACTGAGCCCACAAATGGCAGCTGTTCTTTGCCACCCTTCACCTTCACAGTCCAGCGCCTGGCAGTACTTGATGTCCACCCAAGGGCCGAGGCAGTCCTTGCCCCCATTGGCCGGAATGGGGTGGGAGCAGTCACGGTGCCTGGTCATGTTCCCCAGACCCCCACAGGTCAGCGAACAGGGGCCCCAAGGGCTCCAGGGGGAGAAGCCCCCATCCACCGGGCAGAAGGCGAAAGCACACTCCAAGCGTCCATTGAAGCAGGAGCTGAAAGGAGGAGGAGGAGGAGGAGGAGGAGGAGGAGGAGGAGGAGGAGGAGGAAGAGGAGGAGGAGGAGCAAGAGGAGGAAGAGGAAGAGGAGGAAGAGGAGGAGGAGGAGGAAGATGAGAAGGAGGAAGAGGAGGAGGAAGAGGAGGAGAAGCAGATATCAGCACCATGGTTAAGGTCCAGTGCAGTGATGGACATTTACACAACATTTACACAAATGATCATAGAGAGTTTCATCTATGCTGACGATCGTGCCATCACCGCTCAAGCAGGAAGCTTGAAATGGTTGCACAGATGTTCTCTGAAGCTTTAGGTGCTCTTACTGCCTATTACAGGGGAAACCAGCTGACTCCGAATCCATCTAAAACACAGACGTGTGCTTTCCATCTCAAGAACAGACAAGCATATCCAGCTCTGAGGATTCCCTGGGAAGAAATCCCACTGGAGCATTGCAGCACACCAAAACACCTGGGAGTCACTCTGGACTGTGCTCTGACTTATGAGAAGCACTGCTTGAATATCAAGCAAAAAGTGGGTGCTAGAAATAACATCATACAAAAGCTGACTGGCACAACCTGGGGATCACAACCAGACACAGTGAAGACATCTGCCCTTGTGCTTTGCTACTCTGCTGCTGAATATGCCTGCCTAGTATGGAATACATCTCACCACATTAAAACAGTGGATGTGGTTCTTAATGATATAAATAAATAAATAACTAAATAAATAAGTGCAGGCCATCCAGATCTCTCACACACAATGTGGAGCTCTGTTCCAACTTTCCTCTTTGGGACTCCCAGAATCCCCCAGCCACAAGGAAACACATTTTTTTATTGAAATATGTCTCTCACATCCTCAGAGCTCTTTCCATGTAACTTTAAAACAATAGAGATTACTTCTGGGTTAGAGATGGCACCGTTTGCCTTAGTGGCTCCATGATTTTTGTCTTCGGAAAACCTGACTAAATATAATAAAGACTTAAAACACTAAAAAATTAAACTATATCCATCAGAATGTGAGAACTTGGGCAAGTCACACTCCTTCCGCTTCAGGCGAAGGCAAAGGCCAACTCCCTCCAGAGAACTCTTGCCAAGAAAACCTCATGAGAGGTTCAGCTCAAGGTTACCATGAGTTGGAAGCAACTTCAGGGCATACACACAACAACAATGTGACGCACACATTTTCCCTCCACAGACACAAGCTCCAGACCACAAGACTCTATAATATCAGACAGAAGTCTGACGGAGGGATCGAGAGACCAAGTAGTAGCAAAAAGGGTTTGGGAGCTTTTGGGTTTTGGGATTTCCAACCTGTGTGACACTTCCTTCCTCCATCGTGGACACCTTGGCTTCCCATTGGTAGTGATGTGTGCATGAAACCTCCATGCAATGAGAGCGGACTCACCAGTTGCTGCAGGCGAAATGGAACGTGGTGTTGGGGGCCACCTCGTCCCCTGGGGAGAGAGTCCGGCCCTCGGCATCTAGGATGGTCAGGGGGTGGCCCACGGAGTGGTTGCGGAGCATCCTCATGACCTCCTCGTTGAGGATGCAGGGGCACTCCTGACCCAGGAAGGAGGAAGAGGAGGAGGAGGAGGAGGAAAGAGGAGGCAAGGTAAGCTCTTCAGAAGGCAGAGGTATGGTAGGAAGAGGCACCTCTGTGATTTCCCCAGAGCTAGGCCTCCTCCAACCCAAAACCATTATTTGGCAATGATTTTGACAGTTTCTCCATCAGAGCCTCTGAAGTCTTGCTCTTTCCAGTCAGCTCAGGCAAATCCAAGCTGCTGCAGCATCCTCTAACTTAGGCCCCATCTATTGTACCAATTCAGAAAGCAAAATAACTGTATTGAACTGGATTATAAAGCAGTGTAGACTCACACAGTCTAATTAAATGCAGTTTGATCTGCATGGGACCTACACTGCCATATAACATTCACCATCTTGACCACATTCAGATTGTGTGTGTGTGTGTGTTTGTTTGTGTGTCAGGAGCAACTTGAGAAACTACAAGTCACTTCTGGTGTGAGAAAATTGGCCGTCTGCAGGGATGTTGCCCAGGGGACACCCGGATTTTGGAAAGCTGGTGCTGACAGATAGGAGCCCATCCCGTCTCGCAGATTCGAACCGCCAACCTTGTTTATTTACCATATTTGTATACCGCCTTTCTCAGCCCAAAGGCAACTCAAGGTGGTTCACAGTCGGCAACAATTCAATGCCCCAATACCATAAAATACCATTAAAGACATTAGAATATATTATAAAACCATAACAAGACCAATAACAAGATCAAGATCAGGTCAGCAGTCCTGAAGGCACAACGGTTTAACCTACTGTGTGACCGGGGACTCCACCATCACACTCAGATGCTGCTTGGTCACAGTGTTTGCCTATCTATGGAATATTTGAGGGAACATTGTGCCCTAAAGGAACAGATAGAAGCAGATGCACCTGTTGGGTGGCGGTGGGCATCCACTCTTCCTCTCTGGGCCCCAGGTGATAGAATCATAGAATCAAAGAGTTGGAAGAGACCTCCTGGGCCATCCAGTCCAACCCCATTCTGCCAAGAAGCAGGAATAGTGCATTCAAATCACCCCTGACAGATGGCCATCCAGCCTCTGTTTAAAAGCTTCCAAAGAAGGAGCCTCCACCACACTCCGGGGCAGAGAGTTCCACTGCTGAACGGCTCTCACAGTCAGGAAGTTCTTCCTCATGTTCAGATGGAATCTCCTCTCTTGTAGTTTGAAGCTATTGTTCCCTTGCGTCCTAGTCTCCAGGGAAGCAGAAAACAAGCTTGCTCCCTCCTCCTCCCTGTGGCTTCCTCTCACATATTTATACATGGCTATCATACCTCCTCTCAGCCTTCTCTTCTTCAGGCTAAACATGCCCAGCTCCTTAAGCCGCTCCTCATAGGGCTTGTTCTCCAGACCCTTGATCATTTTAGTCGCCCTCCTCTGGACACATTCCAGCTTGTCAATATCTCTCTTGAATTGTGGTGCCCAGAATTGGACACAATATTCCAGGTGTGGTCTAACCAAAGTGGAATAGAGCATGGGGAGCAGGACTTCCCTAGAACTAGACACTATGCTCCTCTTGATGCAGGCCAAAATCCCATTGGCTTTTTTTGCCGCCACATCACATTCCTGGCTCATGTTTAACTTGTTGTCCACGAGGACTCCAAGATCTTTTTCACACGTACTGCTCTCGAGCCAGGCCTCATTGTCCCCCATTCTGTCTCTTTGCATTTCGTTTTTCCTGCCAAAGTGGAGTATCTTGCATTTGTCCCTGTTGAACTTCATTTTGTTAGTTTTGGCCCTTCATCTCTCTAATCTGTCAAGATCCCTTTGAGTCCTGCTCCTGTCCTCTGGAGTCTTGGCTCTCCCTCCCAATTTGGTGTCGTCTGCAAACTTGATGATCCTGCCTTCTAGCCCTTCATCTCAGTCATTAATAAACTTTACCGCCTTTGATGCATCATCTGCTTTCAACTGCCTTGTCTAAGAAGCCAAGCTGCTGGGCCCCCAAAGTGAAGGTCTCCCTGTGAATCAAAGCCCAGCACCTCACAACAGGGGGAAAGGAAAGGGGTCTGGAAGGGCCCCCACCTGGAGGCAGGCCCCTCGGTGCTGGTAGGTGCCCACTGGGCAGTGGCAGCCTTCTTCACAACCATCCGAGAAGCAGTCCATGCGCCCGGCCAGGTGAGCGCAGCTGTAGGGACAGCCCTCCTCCTTCAGGCACTCCCGGTACAAGCGCCCCACCGGGCAGCCCACTTCTGCAAGGGAAGGGGAGAGCATCAGGCCCATGCAGCATCCCAGGAGCAGGGCCACACCCTTGGAGACTGGGCAAGGCACTAGGCTTGGGTAACCATGGAAAAATTTGGTTCTAAACTCGTTTTGTTTTCAGGGGGCCCTTGCGTTTTGTTTTTTTTAATAATTCCGAAATTTTCCTTTTAAAAATTTCGAAATATACGAAATTTCGTAAAATTATCAATTGATTCGTTAATGGCAGACGCGATTGCGCAATATGCTAAAAAAAACCCTCCAAATGGGAGAGGGGGAACTTCTGAAGCTTCCCTCTCCCTCTGTTGTTGACTGTTGGTGTGATAAAACAAACAACAACTATAAAACTTGCACCAGACATGCGAAAATAATTACGAAATAATTACGAAATAATTACGAAATAATTACGAACTAATTACAAACTAATAACGAAATAAATTGAAAAAATTGTTTCGAATCTAATTTACTCCTCACAGTATTCCTGCATGGCTCAATATTGGTTCGTAAGCTAATTTAAATATGAATTAATAACGAATTATGAAATTAACGAACGAAACCGCCCAAGCCTACAAGGCACCCTAAAAGGATGCTGGAAGGGAAAGGAGCAGCCACACTAGATCAGGCCTGAGCAAACTTCAGTCTTCCAGGTGTTTTGGATTTCAACTCTCACAATCCCTAAGAGCCAGTAGGCTGTTAAGAATTGTGGGAGTTGAAGTCCAAAATACCTGGAGGGAGGACCCAAGTTGGCCTGTGCCTGTTTTAAGGTTTTGGACTGAAGTCCAGAGAAGATGCTCCATACCCTCCAACACAGTGCAAGCAGAGCTTCCTGACATCCCTCCCTCACCACCAGCAAAGGACTGCCATTCATTTCCACAACAACCCTGTGAGGTGGTGATGGCCCTGCCCTGACTCACCGAGGCAGACGTGGGTGTTGCAGGTCTTGCTCTGGGGGGCAGCTGGGCCAGGACATGGTGGGCGGTGGCACCTATGATAGCGCACCTGCTCTCCTCCACCACAGGAGACGCTGCAGGGGCCCCACGGGGACCAAGGCCCCCAGGCCTCCTCCTCTTCCTCTGCAGAAGCAACAAAAAGAAGAAAACATTTGGGAGAGATCCCCCACCCAGGGAGAAAAGAAGGGAACTTCCACCTCTTTTCTCCTCTTCTTCCTGGAAATGTGAACATGTTAAGCAACTGGCCAAGCCAAAACCTAGCTTGCATTAAAGTCGCCAACTGGATAGTTGGCCTCTGAGCTGGATGCATCCTTGTATGAATTTTTTTCATATAGCAAATATTCTTTTGTGCTCATCTCCCAAAATAGGGACCCAAGTGAAGTCATGTTGTGAGCAAAAAACAGATGCATGAAACAAATCATGTGTTCGGCCCCACAACCGTTGTTGTGTGGAGTCCCACAGGGTTCTATCTTGTCCCCGATGTTATTTAACATCTACATGAAGCCGCTGGGAGAGATCATTCGGAGTTTCGGACTAAGATGCTATCTCTATGCAGATGACGTCCAAATCTGTCACTCCTTCTCACCTGTCACCAAGGAGGCTGTCCAGACCTTGAACCGGTGTTTAGCCGCTGTATCGGACTGGATGAGAGCTAACAAATTGAAATTGAATCCAGACAAGACAGAGGTCCTACTGGTCAGTCGGAAGGCCGAACAGGGTATAGGGTTACAGCCTGTGTTAGACGGGGTTACACTCCCCCTGAAGACACAGGTTCGCAGCTTGGGAGTGATCCTGGACTCATCGCTGAGCCTGGAACCCCAGGTCTCAGCGGTGGCCGGGAGAGCTTTCGCACAATTAAAACTTGTGCGCCAGCTGCGCCCGTACCTTGGGAAGTCGGATCTGGCCACGGTGGTCCACGCTCTTGTCACATCCCGGTTGGATTACTGCAACGCACTCTACGTGGGGTTGCCTTTGAAGACTGCTCGGAAACTTCAACTAGTCCAGCGAGAAGCAGCCAGATTGCTCACCGGAGCGGCGTACAGGGAGCATACCACCCCCCTGTTGCGTCAGCTCCACTGGCTGCCGATCCAATTCCGAGCACAATTCAAAGTGCTGGTTTTGACCTACAAAACCCTATACGGTTCCGGCCCAGTGTATCTGTCCGAACGGATCTCCCTCTACATCCCACCTCGAAGTTTAAGATCTTCTGGGGAGGCCCTGCTCTCGACCCCGCCAGTGGCACAAGTGAGACTGGCGGGGACGAGGAGCAGGGCCTTCTCAGTGGTGGCCCCCCACCTGTGGAACTCACTCCCCGGGGAGATCAGATCGACGACTTCCCTTCTAGCGTTTAGGAAAAAACTAAAGACCTGGATGTGGGACCAAGCTTTTGGCCATGCTGACAACTGATTAAAGGACCTATCGATAGACAAGGACAATGGAATGGAATGGATATATGGGCTCTGATATATGGACTCTGACATGAGATAGTTTTTATGATTTTAATAGGTATTGATGTTTCATTTTAATTGTTGAACTGTTATATTTTGTATTGTTTGTTGTGTGATTTGGGCATCTAATTGTGCCTCCTTTGTAAGCCGCCCTGAGTCCCCCCCGGGGTGAGAAGGGCGGGGTATAAGTAGATGAAATAAAATAAAATAAATAAATATTGTAATGATGATGTTTTATTGTATTTTATTGTGTGGTTTTAATCCTTAATGATGTTGCACTCGGTTGTATTTGTATATTTTGTAATTGCATATATTCTGTAAACCAACCTGAGTCCCTGGGTTGAGGTGAGAAGACCGGTATAGAAATCTTCCAAATAAATAAATAATAAAATGATATTAAAGTACGCTACAGGACCTTCTTGGTGTCTGCCATGGGACTTTGGAGGAGGTTTGCTTTTGTCTTCCTCTGAGGCTGAGAGTGTGTGCCTTGCTGGAAGCCTTTCAATAGGTTTCTGTGACTGAGCAGGTTTTATTCCTGCCCTGTCCTCTCAGTAAGCTAGACCCACACTTAGACCACTTGACCCTTGCTGGCAGTGGTTCCCAACCTGTGGTCCACAGACCACCAGTGGTCCCCAAGAACAAAAATATAGTATGCAACCCCACCATTACTACACCATTGCCTTGCAACCAAATGGCAACAAGAGTGACTGGTCTTGCAAAACCCTCTTCAAGTACCGAGGCAATGGGGATGTCGGAAGGGGAGAGGCTGACTACCCACAAAAGATTACTACGGCTATGGAACGCCCTTCCCACAGAGACTAGATTAGCACCATTTCTAATGGTCTTCCGCAAAAAAGTAAAGACCTGGTTATTTGTGCAGGCGTTTGAATAATCAATGCTAGACTGGTAATGACATAGGAATGGAACAATGGATGACGAATCTGGATCATGTTTTTAGTGACGTAATGCTAGTGAATGGTTTATCTTAGTAATTGTGTATTAATTGTGTATTAGATTAGGCTATTGACTGTTTTGTATTGGTGTTTGAATTCTGCTGTGTTCTGTGCCTTGTGAACTGCTGTGAGTCGCCTTCGGGCTGAGAACAGCGGTATAGAAGCAAAGTAAATAAATAAATACTACGACCACATCAGATCTAGATTGCTAAATATGGTTTTCTGTGGATGAGCAGATGGCGACTAGTGGGTGGCATATGTTCTATATCAGAAACTAGAGCTGATGTGGTCTCTCCAATGCCATTTTCTGAATCAGCACCCCAAAGAACCAAACCGAATCTAAAGTGGACCAAAAACTGATTCGTAACCCTTTTGGTACTAATGTTGGTGAGTGGTCCCTGGTCAAAGTGGTCCCTGGTCCAAAAAAGTTGGGAACCACTGTTTTAAGGGGTGCTGCGCCATTTCTTACCTGTCCTTTTTTTCAAAGTGCTTTTTCTTATTTTTCTGTTGTGCACAGTTATAGCACAGGCATGGGCAAACTTGGGCTGGCCAAATGTTTTGGACTTGGATTGTGGGAGTTGAAGTCCAAAACACCTGGAGGGAGGGTCCGAGTTTGCCCATGCCTGCGTAGGTGAATGCCAAGCCCTTGACCAGAAAGTGCTACTATTTCAGGTCAATGGTTGTTGCTCAATAGTTGTTTTTATATTATGTATCTGTTTGTTTTATATTGTTTATGATGCTGTTTTACGAATTTCAGTGTGTTATATTTTAACTATTTTGGTTAGGCTTGGCCCCATGTAAGCTGCCCCGAGTCCCTTTGGGGAGATGGAGGTGGGATACAAAAATAAATAAATAAATAATATTTGAAACACAACAAGATGAGTCCACAGCAGACACTCTGCTGGCTGTTGTATTGGATCACACGTCGGACCCTTCCCAAGTGTCTAGGACTTGTGTGATGTATCAGCGAATAATGTGTGCAGATCCCAGTAAGGTGGCCTTCTGCAGCTGGCAGATGGTAATCTTGTCAGCGCCTATTGTGTTTAAGTGCAGGCCAAGGTCTTTAGGCACTGCACTCAGTGTGCCAATCACCACTGGGACCCCCTTGACTGGTTTGTGCCAGAGTCTTTGCAGTTCCGTCTTTAAATCCTCATATTGTGTTAGCTCAGTGGTTCTCAACCTTCCTAATGCCATGGCCCCTGAATACAGTTCCTCATGTTGTGGTGACCCCCAACCATAAAATTAGTTTCATTGCTACTTCATAACTGTCATTTTGCTGCTGTTATGAATCATAATGTAAATATCTGATATGCAGGATGTATTTTCATTCACTGGACCAAATTTGGCACAAACACCTGATACGCCCAAATTTGAATACCGGTGGGACTGGGGGCGGATTTTGTCATTTAGGAGTTGTAATTGCTGGGATTTATAGTTCACCTACAATCAAAGAGCATTCTGAACTCCACCAACAATGGAACTGAGTCAAACTTGACACACAGAACTCCCATTACCAACAGAAAATACTGGAAGGGTTTGGTGGGCATTGACCTTGAGTTTTGGAGTTGTAGTTCACCTACATCCAGAGAGCACTGTGGACTCAAACAATGATGGATCTGGACCAAACTTGGCACGAATACCCAATATGCCCAAATGTAAACACTGAGAGTTTGGGGGAAATAGACCTTGACATTTGGAAGTTGTAGTTGCTGCGATTTATAGTTCACTTACAATCATAGAGCATTCTGAACCCTACCAACGATTGAATTGGGCCAAACTTCCCACACAGAACCCCCATGACCAACAGAAAATATTGTGTTTTCTGATAGTCTTTGGCGACCCCTCTGACACACCATCATGACCCCTCCAGGGGTCCTGACCCCCAGGTTGAGAAACACTGTGTTAGCTTTTCCAGTTGTTTCTCGTTAATCCTGCTGTCACCTGGGATGATGATGATGATGATGATTATTATTATTATTATTTTCCTAGCTGGGCAAGAGCCCCACCCCCATTGCAGTGACTGAGAAGATACTCCCCTTCCCGATAAAGGAGCCCCTCCATCTTCGCTCACCCCAACTCCTCCCCCCTCTTCCCCATTTACCTGGGCAGTCTTCTCGGTGCCGGCAGGGCCTTCGCTGCTCTGTGCTGCCCAGGCAGCCCCGTCCCCCATTCTGTGGAGCTGGGCTGCTGCACTCCTGGAAGCGAAGCTGGGCCCCCTCCCCACAGCTCTGGGTGCAAGGAGACCAGGGTCCCCAGGGGCTCCAGCCGCCATCCAAACGGCACGAGGGGTCAGTGTGGCACTGCAGGTGGCCAGACACACAGGTGCTGCAAGAGAAATTGCAGGATGGAGTGGGGAAAGGAGATTAAGGATAGAATCACAGACCCTTGAGATGGCCCTTGTGGGATTTGTGGGTGGAATCTACAGGTGGAAGTGGCAGGTGACACTCTGTGCACCCAGGTGGCCCATGTTGTGACTCAGCTGGAACCACAAACACAGACTGATAGTGTTGTGATTCAGATGGGGGCTCAGAGTGACTCTGATGAGGATGATGGGATTCAGGTTCACAATCAGGTTCAAAATGTACCTGTTGTAGACAATGAGGAACAGGATGTGCAAGTTCAGTTTCCCACAGCAGGGAAGGATGTTGTAGATACTGAAACTAGCCAGGTGCAAATTGACTCAGAAAAGGAGGACAGTTCTCAGCCTGATAGTAAGCAGGAAGGCAACCAGGCTGACACCAACGAGCAGCCTGACCTTGAGGAAAGGGGAATCTTAGATCGGGCTGACCGTTTGGGATTCAGAGTTCGAAGGAGTGTGAGAATAGCCAACAAGAAGGAGGTCAGAGGTCAAAGAAATGCTTTCAATTGCAAATGGTATTAAGCAGTGTGTTTGAAAACAAACCTTGGTCAGAGCAACTTCTCGCTCCACCAAGCAGCTTGGGCTCGTTTGCCTGTGTCCATAGTCTTGGGATTTTGTCATGTTCTCACAGGACTTTGTTTCATTGGTGATTCTTGGAATCCTGCTTTATAGTGCTATGTTTTATTGATCTTTGGAACATTACTTGCTTTTATAAACTTTTCATCTTTTACTTTTTAATAAACTACAAAAATTTCAGTTTGTGTACAGTTTTGGTGATTTCAGCAAGGTAAATCTATTCCGAGGTGCAACAGCCCAAATAAATCAGCCCCTTAAAGGTTTGGAGACATGTATCCCTCTGAGGGAGCTGGGGGTGTTTCGCTTGGAGAAAAGAAGGCTGGGAGTGGATGTTTTGTGTTTAAATATTGGAAAGACTGTCCCATTGCCGAGGGAGAAAGTTCATTTTCTGCTGCTCTGGAGACCAGGACACAGTGGGGCCATGGGGGCAAAGAGCAGGAGAAGAGATGCCACCTAAACATTAGGGTCAGAGCTGTCCAGAAGTGGAATGTGCTCCCTGGGAGTCTGGTGGAGGTTTGCAAGCAGAGGTGGGATGGACATCTGTCAAAAGGCTTTTGGGTGGGGTCTCCTGCGTGGCAGAATGGGGACAGACCGGACTCTCCCAGCTTTATGATTCTGAGTCCTCTCACAGATCTCCATCAGGGTTCACCTAGGCAGGGAGTGTTTCAGCATCTGGTTCCCCCATGGGAAGAGGTTGGACTAGATGGCCCTTGGAGGCCCCTTGAAGGACCCTCCCTGAACTCACCAGTTCTGGCAGGGCCCAGACACGACTTCGCCAGGCTGCGCAGACTCCCAAGGGGCCAATCCTGCCCAGAGAGAGAGGTTCCTTTCTTCAGGGGCCCCTGAAAGGAAGGGGAAGAGAGAGAGGTTGGCTTTGTGGGAAACTCTCATCTTGGCCTCCCCAAATTATGCCCCAAAAACTTAGTTATGAGGGCCTAAAAGTCAAGTGGAATTCCAAACTGAGGAGATGCAATCCAAGGCTTCTCTGGCCCAGTGCCCAGTTTGCCACGTCTCTGTATATCGTCTCCCTCCAGGAAATGGTGAGACTGCACTGTGGCTCCCTTGAGATTTAGGGCAGGAGATGGCAAACCAGTGCTCTTGCCATCTTTTGGATTCTAACCCAGAGCAGTCAATCCACCGCAGGGCTAGGCAAATGGCATGGAGCCACCCAAATGTGCAAAACGCAGGGCAAGGACAGGGTTCAGCACCATGGATAGGTCTTCTGACCCTCTGACTATGTTTGGCCCTATTGCTCGTGGATTTATAAGAGACAATTGATTGCGGCCTTTTTGGATTCTGCACCTTATTCCCTTATCCCTGCTTTTTACTATATATCTTTTGTGTGTCTTTACATTAAACTGTGGACTTACTCTGGACTCTCGTTATAACCGTTTTTACTAGTTGTAATTATTACCTCTCATATATATATATATATATATATATATATATATATATATATATATATGTAATGTTCGTTTGTTAACAGAACTCAAAAACCACTGGACAAATTGACACCAAATTTGGACACAAGACACCTAACAACCCAATGTATGCCCTTCACTCAAAAAATCGATTTTGTCATTTGGGAGTTGTAGTTGCTAGGATTTATAGTTCACCTACAATCAAAGAGCATTCTGAACTCCATCAACGATGGAATTCAACCAAACGTGGCACACAGAACACCCATGACCAACATAAAACACTAGAAGGGTTTGGTGGGCATTGACCTTGAGTTTGGGAGATGTGGTTCACCTACATGCAGAGAGCACTATGGACTCAAACCATTATGGATCTCAACCAAACTTGGCACGAATATTCCATATACCCAAATATGAGCACAAATGGAATTTGGGGGAAATAGACCTTGACATTTGGGAGTTGTAGTTACTGGGATTTATAGTTCACCTGCAATCACAGAGCATTCTGAACCCCAACAACCTCCCACACAGAACTCCCATGTGAGCCACAGCAACACGTGGCAGGGGACGGCTAGTATGTGTGTGTGTATGTATGTGTATGTATGTATGTATGTATGTGTATGTATGTATGTATGTGTATGTATGTATATATATATATATATATATATGCCGTCCCCTCCCACATGTTGCTGTGGCTCAGTCTGTGTATATGTGTATATGTGTATATATGTGTGTTTGCATGTGCGTGTGTGTATATATCGTTTTGCACATGTGTTTCAATGTTGGGGTTTTTTTTTTTTGGCTTTTTAAGTTTCTTCTGCTATGTTTTCAGTGTTTGAGTGATGGTCACTCGTTGGCCTGATAGGTGTATTGTGTCCAAATTTGGTGTCAATTCATCCAGTGGTTTTTGAGTTATGTTAATCCCACAAATGAACATTACATACACACACACACACACACACACACACACACACACTAGCCGTCCCCTGCCACGCATTGCTGTGGCCCAGTCTGTGTATATGTTTTGTGTGTGTATATATATGTGTTTATGTGTGTTTATATATTTGTGTATGAGTGTATATATGTGTGTTTGCATAGATAGATAGATAGATTAAGATCGTCTGGGGAGGCCCTGCTCTCGAGCCCGCCTGCGTCACAGGCGCGCTTGGCGGGGACGAGAGACAGGGCCTTCTCAGTGGTGGCCCCTCGGCTATGGAATGCCCTACCGGCAGACATCAGGCAGGCACCTTCGCTGCTGACGTTTCGGAGAATGGTTAAGACCTGGCTTTATGAACAAGCGTTTGGTTAAGCAGTGCAACCAATCATAGGAAGACGGTAAATGGAACATAGGAATGGCACAAGGATTATGAGAACGGATCTGATTTCAACTGAGGCGTTATGTTATGTCTGTTTTGTTGATCTGTCTTGTTGATTGTTAACTGTTGTGGATTGATGCTGTTGATCCTGTTTGTTGCATTGTTATGTTTTAATTGCACTGACACTGTTTGATAATTGTACCATGTAAACCGCATTGAGTCGCCTGTTAAGGGCTGAAAAATGCGGTATAGAAATAAAGCAAATAAAATAATAATAATAATATATGTGTGGTTTTGTGCATGCGTTATAATGTGGGGGGGTTTGGCTTTTTAAGTCTCTTCTGCATTGTTTTTTAGTGTTTTTATGAGTGACTGTCACTTGTTGGCCTGAGAGGTGTACTATGACCAAATTTGGTGTCAATTCGTCCAGTGGTTTTTGAGTTCTGTTAATCCCACAAACGAATATTACATTTTTATTTATATAGATATTACTAGCTGTACCTGTCATGCGCTGCTGTGGCCAGCCTTCTCTCCCCCTTTCTCCACTTTCTCTCTCTCCTTTCTCCTTTCCTTTTTTCCTTCCTTTCCTTTTTTCCTTCCTTCCTTCCTCCCTCCCCCCCCTCTCTACCTCCTTCCTTCCTTCCCCTCTCTTTATCTTTCCTTTTTTTTTCTTTCTTTCCTTTTTTCCTTCTCTACCTATTCTTGGACTGCAACTCCCAGCAGTCATCCTGATTAATTGATTGATTGATCGATCTACCTACCTACCTATCTATCCTTATCTAATCTATCTATCTTACTTATCTGGAGGATTGCTGGGAGTTGCAGTACAGGAATAGGAAATTGGAAATATGCACTGTATCATTGTTTAGCTTTTGGGGTTTTTAAGTCCTTTTTGCTGTTTTTTTTTTTGGGGGGGGGGTTATGAATCATGGTCACTCACTGGTCTGTTAAGGGTGTAGTGTCCAAATTTTGAGTCAATTGATCCAGTGCCTTTTTCGCTATGTTAATCCCATAAGCTAACCTTACATTTTTATTTATATAGATTATACATAAACATTAGGCCTGGGTAACAACGGAAAAATTTGTTTCTAAAATCGATTTGTATTTGGGGGGTTTTTTTTGTTTCGATATTTAAAATAATTACAAAATTTTCCTTTTAAAAAGTTCGATATTTACGAAATTTCGTAAATGGTAAAAAAATTAACGAATCGATTTCCGAAACAATAACGAATCGATTCGTTAATGGCGGACGCGACCGCGAAATACGCTAAAAAACCTCCAAAACCTTCTGAAGCTTCCCTCTCCCTCTGTTGTTGACTGTTGGTGTGATATTATAATTTTTTTCACTAATTAAACCATAAAACTGGCCCAGACATGCGGAAATAATAACGAAACGACCTCAAAACAATAACGAAACGAATACAATATCGAAATACGAAGCATTTACAAAACGTTTTTGAAAATTCGTTTTTTTAATAATTGCTCCAGAATGGTTCGTTATCGTTTTGTAATTGAAAAAATTAACGAATTATTAACGAATTACGAATTAACGAAACGAAACCGCCCAGCCCTAATAAACATACACGAAACAGGGCAAGGTGCCACAGCAGCCTCCCTGCCCAGCTTCCCTTCAAACAGAGAGGGGCGCTCACCCAGCCATGCCTTCTGGTACTTGCAGCGGCACCGATCAGGAGCGGAGCAGACACCGTCCTGGAGGAGCTCTCCCTGGGGGCAGGCGCAGGATGGCTGGCAGTGGGGACCCTCCAGGCAGGCGGAGTCCGGGCGCAGGTCCTCGCAGGAGCGGGGGCAGGCCTTGCCACAGGGGAGGGGCACCTGGCCACCCCCACAGTCTGGAGGAAGCCACAGGGAAAGGACTCAGGCCACGCTCCTGGGATGCTCCAGGCTGAGCTTCCTCCCCACAACAGAGTTCCCTCCATTCGTTCTCCCAAGGTGGACATCCCTGTTATTGGATCCAAATGCACCCCCACCCATGAACACGCACGTGCACAATGCCGACAAAGAGGAATTTTCAAAGCTATAATGAGCAGGACGTAAGGCACTCGTAATACACTTGACTCTCATGCTCACCCTTTTGGGCCTAATGTAAGGTAAAGGTTTTCCCCTGACATTAAGTCCAGTTGTGTCCAACTCTGAGGGGTGGTGCTCATTTCCATTTCTAAGCCAAAGAGCCAGCATTGTCCGTAGACACCTCTAAGCTTCAGGGAAGGACGATCCACCATCGAACAATGTGTAGTATTGCAACATCTCATAGAAAAATACTCCTCCCACAGTCCATCCTCCCTCTTGCTACATTTATAGACTCAGAGCATCTTTTAATTCCATCTCCCGTACCACGCTATGGAAAAAGCTTGGGTCCACCTCAATAGACAGACAACTTCTACAACTACTACAAATACTCCATGAAGGAACTACTCTGAAAGTAAGAGGCAGTCCCCAGGGCCATCTTACCAAAGCAGTCAAAACTGAGAAAGGTGTCAAGCAAGGGTGCATTTTGGCCCCACTATTATTCAGTTTCTATGGTGGAACACCTATACAATTTGGACTTCCATTCTCCAAAACTAGCAGGGGGGCATCTATCCACCATATGCTGATGACACCGTTCTTCTTTCTAGAACTCAAGTTGGACTGAGAGCATTAATGAATTACTGCCAGGCAGAACAGCTGCATCTCCACTTTCAGAAAACTAAAATGATAGTGTTTGCTAAACGACCCAAAAAGCACAACTGGAGAATAGATGGAAACAAAAGTAGTCTAGATTGGACTACTGCAATGCGCTCTACATTGGGCTGCCCTTGAAAACGGCTCGGAAATTCCAACTGGTCCAACGGGCAGCAGCCAGGATGTTAACCGGGGCTCATTACAGAGAGAGGTCAACCCTCCTGTTCAAGGAGCTCCACTGGCTGCCGTTTATTTTCCGAGCCCAATTTAAGGTGCAGGTGCTTACCTACAAAGCCCTGAATGGTTTGGGACCACCCTACCTGCATTCCGTATCGCTGTCTACAAACCCACACGCTCACTCCGGTCATCTGGAGAGGCCCTGCTCGTGATTCCGCCCGCGTCGCAAGCGCGCTTGGTGGGGACACGAGACAGGGCCTTTTCTGTGGTGGCTCCCCGACTCTGGAACGCCCTCCCGAAAGACCTCAGACAAGCCCCTACATTGGCAGTCTTCAGGAAGGAATTGAAAACCTGGCTGTTCCGACGTGCCTTTTCAGATTAGGAACCTCCAGCACCAAGTCCTAGAAGCACTTTAGTAGAACCAAGATCATTGCACACTGCACACTGCACTTACTTTATAATCCTTTATAATGAAGGGCTAGAAGGCATGATTATCAAGTTTGCAGACGACACCAAATTGGGAGGGATAGACAATAGTCCAGAGGACAGGAGCAGAATTCAAAACGATCTTGACAGATTAGAGAGATGGGCCAAAACTAACAAAATGAAGTTCAACAGTGACAAATGCAAGATACTCCACTTTGGCAGAAAAAATGAAATGCAAAGATACAGAATGGGGGACGCATGGCTCGAGAGCAGTACGTGTGAAAAAGATCTTGGAGTCCTCGTGGACAACAAGTTAAACATGAGCCAACAATGTGATGCGGAGGCAAAAAAAGCCAATGGGATTTTGGCCTGCATCAATAGGAGCATAGTGTCTAGATCCAGGGAAGTAATGCTACCCCTCTATTCCGCTTTGGTTAGACCACACCTGGAATATTGTGTACAATTCTGGGCACCACAATTCAAGAGAGATATTGACAAGCTGGAATGTGTCCAGAGGAGGGCGACTAAAATGATCAAGGGTCTGGAGAACAAGCCCTATGAGGAGCGGCTTAGGGAACTGGGCATGTTTAGAAAGAAGAGAAGGCTGAGAGGAGATATGATAGCCATGTATAAATATGTGAGAGGAAGCCACAGGGAGGAGGGAGCAAGCTTGTTTTCTGCTTCCTTGGAGACTAGGACGCAGGACAATGGCTTCAAACTACAAGAGAGGAGATTCCATCTGAACATGAGGAAGAACTTCCTGACTGTGAGAGCCGTTCAGCAGTGGAACTCTCTGCCCTGGAGTGTGGTGGAGGCTCCTTCTTTGGAAGCTTTTATACAGAGGCTGGATGGCCATCTGTCAGGGGTGATTTGAATGCAATATTCCTGCTTCTTGGCAGGGGGTTGGACTGGATGGCCCATGAGGTCTCTTCCAACTCTTTGATTCTATGATTCTATAATCCTACATTCCTCCCGCCACATCAGCACTTTTAATCCTGTACCCCTACTCTGGCCGGCCCAGTTTTAATATTGTCTTGTTGTATTGTTACTGTTATTGTTTTTCTGCTTAACTGTTTTTAATTTGCTTTAGGTATTGTATTGTTGTATTGTGTTTGGGGCTTCGGCCTGTGTAAGCCGCATCGAATCCTTCGGGAGATGCTAGCGGGGTACAAATAAAGTTATATATAATATAATATATATATATAATATAACAAAATAGAGCAGGTCTCGTGTTTTAAATACCTGGGAGTAGCCCTCCATAGCACCAACAGCAGGAAAGCTCATGCAGAGTATGCAGCAGAAACAGAACAAAAGAGCTCCAAGGTCATGTGGACACTAGCATGACTGCATGGAGCACTGGTACCTTCCAGCCAGAGCAGTACCTATTGATCTACTCACATTTCCATGTTTTCAAACTGCTAGGTTGGCAGAAGCTGGGGCTAACCATTGGAGCTCACCCCGCTCCCCAGATTCAAACCTGTGACCTTTTGGTCACAAGTTCAGCAATTCAGTGTTTTAACCAACTGCACCCCCCCGGGGGCCCCTTGGGCCTAATGACCTTGCCAAAATTAGGGGGCGCATTAGACTCGATTAAATATGGGTATTAAGGTATGGTAGCCTTACAGTCCTGCCAAGGGACATGTTCTGGGGGCAAAGCAGTGTACCTCTTGGACCCCTGACTTCACCCCTGGTGCCCAGCTCACCTTCACAGGCGGTGGTTCCGTTGTGGGGGCATGGGAGGCTCTGGCGGCCCTCTCCGACACAGGGCAGCCCCCCAAAGCGGGCAGGAGGATTGCTGCACTCCCTGCTGCGCACAGACTCCCCTGCGCAGGCCTCGCAAGGGGACCACGGACCCCACGGGCTCCAGGCCCCGTCCACTGTCAGGGGCAAGGCACAAAGAGAGAAGCTGTGTCGTGTTGGCTCACCTCATTTGGCAACCACAATTTTACCTCTTACTCTTAAAGAGAAATAAGGTTCGGTGCTGCTACACTAGGCATGGGCAAACTTGGGCTCTCCCTCCAGGTGTTTTGGACTTCAATTTATTTTATTTTATTTTATTTACAGCATTTATATTCCACTTTTCTCACCCTACAGGGGACTCAGGGTGGATCACAATGCACATATACATGACAAACATTCAATGCCATAGACACACAACATATATAGACAGAGACACAAAGGCTATTTAACTTTCCAGCTTCATGAGGGTATGCTTTTTGAATTCCGGCCACTGGGGGAGCTGTTGCTTCACCATCTACTTGTGACACCGATGGAGTACTTCCTCATTCTTTTGCATGCTGCTGGAGAGTTTTAAGGCATCGTAAATTAGTTAAATTAGCCTTCTCACATAAGCGGAACCTACATTTCCTACTTGTCAGATGCAACTGTCTTTCGGGCTGCAAAGGTCAACAGCAAGCTAGACAAATGGCTTGAAGGGATTTTAATGCAGCTGACTCCCAACCAGCTGCATCACAACCTGGTCCTTAAGTGGCTGAGGGGGAAAAGGAAGGGGCTTGAGGCTGTTAGGAATGGTGAGAGTTGAAGTCCAAAACATCTGGAGGGAGAGCCCAAGTTTCCCCATGACTGTGCTACGCCACCTTTGTCCCCCTCCAAGAGTTTGGTACCTGGGCAGAAGGTGGCCGTGGGGCACTCCTTCCTCTGCAGCTGCACTCCGCTGTCGCCGTGATACTCCTGCGCCCCTTCGCACTCGGCCCCTCCATGTTGGGTCTTGGGGCAGCTGCAGGTCCGGTAGCGGGTCACCATCTCATTGCCACAGGTCCGGGAGCAGGGGCTCCATGGGACCCACTCGCACCAGCTGCCCGGAACTGGAACAAAGAGGGGAAAAGGTTATGGGGCCCCTTTGTGAATGAAAGCAAGGAGCAGGAGGCTAGCGATCCCACGGAGAGGCCTGGAAACAGCCAATAGGCCACAGCAGTTCCCAAATGGACACCCAGCATCCGGCTGGATCCCTTTCAGAGCATTCTGGGGGAGAGAGGGAGGTTGGGGTGCTCACCTGGACAGGCCCGGGTAGTGCAGGTCAGCTTCCCGTGAGAACAGGTGCTGGAAGGAAAGGAAGAGGGCGAAAAGGAAGAAGGGGGAATAGTCAGAGGTAAGAGAATGTGCAAAGATGGCTCTCCACTGTCACAGAGGTGTCTAACACCTTTATTTCAGATGGCTTCTTTAATGTTCTGATTTGAACCCAGAGCGGATTCATGACACAGCGGCCTTGCAAAGTCATGCAACATGCATCCCTTCCAACTGTCTCACCAGGCATTGCATCCATCAGGGTGAGGGACAGTCTCTCCTGGGAGGAATCGGTGGCCCGAGAGGAGGTCCAGGCAGGGGCAGCTGGGCTTCTCCACGCAAGATGTGCCGTTCACACCCAGCACTTTCCCCCCGGTACAGTAGCAGCCGGGCTCGCAGGCCCACAGACAGTGCTGGAAGGGGCAGGAAGAAGGGAGGCAGTGATGAGGGACATGGGCCCACAAGGAGAACTGGGATCCATGCAAGGGAAGACTGGGAGCATGTCCAGGCCAGGCCTCACCGCCAAGTCATCGCAAGATCGGGGGCACGGAGGGCCACAGCTGCTGAAGAGGGTGCCTTCCACGGTGGAGCAGTCCAGACCTGCGCAGGGCCAGAAAGGGCAGGCAACAGTCAGGGAGCAAATCCTCCAAGTGGGGCTCAGCCACACTGCACAGTTATATCACAAGCATGGGCAAACTATGACCCTCCCTCCAGGTGTTTTGGACTGCAACTCCCATAATTCCTAACAGCTGGTAGCGCAAAAAAGTGCCTCCTTTCTGTTGTAGTTCAGACCATGGTTGTGGCTAATACCGATGTAAATGGGGAAGTGGATCATGGAAACCCTGGGCTTGCAAGCCAACAAGAGATTTTAAGTCCTGAAAATGATCAGTCTATGCCTCCAGCGCTTTGGGAAGGTCACATTCCAGAGAGGTGCTGAGATGGTGCAGAGTGCCATGTATCATGTTCTGCAGTTGTTGGTGCTTGGTGGTGGCAGGCCTAGCAGTTGGTGGTGGAAAGGTTAATGTAAGTCTTAGTTCTAAAGGGTTAAGTAATCTGTAAGTAAGAGTTAATGGGTGAAAGCAATCAAAGCTGGAGGTATGCAAGAGATGGGTTGCAGCTGGGTGTTTCTGGATATAAGGAGCTAGACTTGGGACTGATCTTTGGGAGAAAAGTATTTGTTTTATTTTGGTGGTAGATGCTGATGGTTTTTCCCCAGGTTTGTGGATTTTTGGTGTCCTGACCTGTCTCCTGAACCTTTGGAATCCTGGAACCTTGAATCTTGGCCTGGCTTTTGACTACGGTATAGACTCTTGATCCCTGAACTTTGTTTATTGAACTCTCGGCGTTTGACCACTGGACTGGACCTTTTGACTACGGAGTATCTTGAACCTGCAACAGTGTTTGCTGTTTTTGTTTTGTATATTCTGTGGCTGAGTGCTATCTTTTGTTTTATATTTTGGACTATTAAAACAGCCAGAAAGTAAGTGACATTTTAAAATAAACTGTTTAACACAAACTGGGTGTCTGTTTGATTCACCTCTGCTGGAAATAACGGCAGAGCCCTGGCATTGTGACACAGAGGAGTCGTTCTCTAGGGAAACAAGTTCAGAGGCTGAAATCTCAGGTGGAGAGAATGATGAGTTGCAAGATAATGAGCTGGTTGATAGGAGACTCAGTTTTCGTAAACTTCAGGTTGCTCAACAAAATTTTCGAAGGTCCCAACACTTGTTAGAGAAGAGACCCCGTATCAGGAAGTCTTGTGAGAAGGCCTGATTTCATATGTATATTACAGAGGCCAGGGTGATTTTCCAGCCAGTCTGGTCAACACTGGTAATTGAGGCAACAGCTCTTGTCAAGTCCCAGTCAAGCTTTCTGAGGGCATTCTAGTTCTATGTCTTTGTTCCTGTTTCATGCTTCCAAGTTTGAAGGATTGTTCCTAAATTTTTGTATTGAATTCTATGCTGCTTTGTACTTCCTGGTTTTCCTGTATTCCTGTGCTGGATGTCCTGTTGCTTTGGGATTTTGGATTGCTCTTGTACCTTGAACCTTGTGGACTATTTTCTACGAATAGACTTTGAAGTTTTTACTATTTTTGCTGAAATGCTTTTTGTATAATCTTCACTAAACTGCTTTGCTGATTTCACTTGGACTGGAGTGTGGTGGTTAAGTACAGAAGTGCTTCCTGGCCTGGAGTGCAACACTTTCCAAGTTTCAGTGTTCCTCCCCATACTTAAGAGTGGCTGTTCTCCCTCCCTAGGGTGTCAATGGCTTTTTTTGTGTCCCCTCCCTGGAAGATAGGGTGTCCCACTTCTCTCCCCCACCCCCAATTGCCTCACCTGGACATGGGTTCAAGCCGCAGGACTCTAGCTGGGTGGGAGGGCCCTCACAGTAGTCGCCTCCTCCCTGCGGGGCAGGACTGTCACAGGCCCGGCTCCGGCTCCGCATGCCACCCCCACAGCTGACAGTGCAGGATGTCCATTGGCCCCATGACCCCCAGCCTCCACTCCCTGCAGAAAAAAAGGATAGTATGGGAACCATGAACCAGCATTCTAATACTCATAACAAGTTATGGGTCCAGAACGCCTCTACCTCTAATAATCCACAGATGAAAACAGGGAGATGCATGAGGGAAAATTATACTGGGGTGTGATCAAGATGGCAGGATTTATGAATGAGGAAGATCACCAAAGCTGGGGGAGGCCATAGCCATTTGCTTTGGTCAACTGGGAAGGACAAGATTCTGCCTCCTCTCTCCAATCTCAAACTGAAGTAAGCCCAGGACAAAGTGGGGGGAGGAGGTGGTAAAACTGGGGCATATTAGAAGTAGTTGAAAAAGTGGGGTGATAGGAGGATTTCTTGGAATCGTTCCTACCAAACTGAGACAGTCAGAAGCCATGAGAGAGTTTTCCTGGAGAGTTTTTAGGGTCATGAACCTAGGAGCATTGTGCTCAAAAGGGCAACTGGAACTTTATTATGGAATTATCAAAGAAATGGACTTGGGGTTCTATTTTATTAATGCCATTAAAGCAATTTATTCACATCAATCAGCGAAACTTATAATAAATGGACAAACTTCAAAAGAATTTAAGCTATACAAAGGGACCAGACAGGGATGCCCTTGATCCCCACTGGTTTTTAATATGAGCCTAGAAGTTCTGTTAGAAAGTATAAAAAATAATAAAGAGCTGAAAGGATTGAGGGTGAAAAATAATAATTCCAAGATTTGTGTGTTTGCGGATGACATGGTCTGCATATTGGAAGACCCCCTAAACCAATGGGATAAATGGTGGAAAGAAATAGGAGCTTTCTGAGAAGTTGTGGGCCTTAAAATTAACAAAGAAAAATATATCTCACTAAAAACATATACAAAGCTCATGGCTGCATAACCCCAAAATCATGCCAACCTTATTAATAAGTTCCTGACAGTGGAAGGGACTTCCAAAGGAGAGGGTGAAACCGGTTGGATGGCTGCCTCTCTGGGATTCTTCAGCCGTGAGCTTAGTATATTGGGGGAGTTTGGGGGCTAGAGGTCCCTCCCTCCCACCCCAAGACTCAGGCCAGGAAGAAGGGGCACGGAAGAGGGGGAAGGGCACCTACTTGCACAGGTCTGGAGGTGGCACGGCCTGTCCTCCCGGTCAGGCCCCAGGCAGGGCAGCCCCATCCCGGAAGGGGCTGGGTCCGTGCAGAAGTGGTACCGGTTCTGGAGCCCCAGCCCACAGGAAGCTGAGCACTCGCTCCAGGGGGTCCATTCGGACCAGTAGCCATTGACTGCCAAGGAAGGAAAAGGGGAGGTCAAATAGACTGGGCAGTGAGGGGAGGGGTCTCCATTGTTGGAAATGAAGAAGCACCAACACTTGTATTCAGACAGCCAGGAGGGACAGAGGGAACCCTGTAGTGCAGCGTTTCTCAACCTGGGGGTCGGGACCCCTGGAGGGGTCGCGAGGGGGTGTCAGAGGGGTCACCAAAGACCATCAGAAAACACAGTATTTTCTGTTGGTCATGGGTTCTCTGTGGGAAGTTTGGCCCAATTCTATCATTGGTGGGGTTCAGAATGCTCTTTGATTGTAGGTGAACTATAAATCCCAGCAACTACAACTCTATAATGTCAAGGTCTATTTTCCCCAAACTCCACCAGTGCTCACATTTGGGCATATTGAGTATTAGTGCCAAGTTTGGTCCAGATCCATCATTGTTTGAGTCGGTTGAGATCGGTTCAATTCCATCGTTGGTGGAGTTCAGAATGCTCTTTGATTTTCAGTGAACTATAAATCCTAGCAACTTTAACTCCCAAATGACAAAATCAACCCCCCCCCCCTCCAAAACCCCACCAATATTCAAATTTGGGTGTATAAAATATTTGTGCCAAATTTGGTCCAGTGAATAAAAATCCATCCTGTATATCAGATATTTACATTACGATTCATAACAGTAGCAAAATTACAGTTATGAAGTAGCAATGAAAATAGTTTTCTGGTTGGGGGTCACCACAACATGAGGAACTGTATTAAGGGGTCGCGGCATAAGGAAGGTTGAGAAATACTGCTGTAGTGCATATGCCTGTTGTCTTGCTTTCAGTTCTGTTTCCTAAATCTATGTAACTCAATGTATCTTGCTTCCTGCCTGCATAGGATCAAAGAATAATAGAGTTGAAAGAGACTTCATGGGCCATCTAGTCAAAACCCTTTATTCTGCCATGCAGGAAATGCCCATTCAAAGTACCCCTGACAGATGGCCATCCAGCCTCTTTGAAAGCCTCCTAAGGAGGAGCTTCCACTACACAAAGAGGTCACTTCCTCCTCCTTCCTCCCCAAAGTGTTTAGGGTGCTGAATTACTCTATGATAAAAATTAACAAGGTATTTTTAATTACAAAAATGTGAGTCAAATGCCGAAAGGGTTAAATGGATGCAATGACTCAGGAAAAGCTGCCTTTCTATATAAGCAGGTGTGCCTGTAGCTTAGTAGGCCTCTGTGTTAGTTTGCCTCAGTAGGAGAAAGGTCTCAGTCTGTGAGAAGGCCTCAGTGTGAGGTAGGCCTTAGTCTATGAGAAACTTTGGTGAGAGGAAGCCCCAGTTGAAGGCCTGTGAAGCTCCAGTGTGAAGGGTGAACTTAATTTGTGTCATGGAAACCTTGTTCTTGTAAATAGTAGTAAAGGCAAAGGTTGTCCCCTGACATTAAGTCCAGTCATGTCTGACTTTGGGGTGTGGTGCTCATCTCCATTTCTAAGCCGAAGAGCTGGCGTTGTCCATAGACACCTCCAAGGTCATGTGGCCACTGGCATGACTGCATGGAGCGCCCTTACCTTCCCGCCGGAGCAGTACTTATTGATCTACTCACATTTGCATGTTTTCGAACTGCTAGGTTGACAGAAGCTGGGGCTGACAGTGGAAGCTCACGCCTCTCCCCAGAATCGAACCTGCGACCTTTCGGTCAACAAGCTCAGCAGCTCAGCGCTTTAACCTACTGCGCCACCGTAAATAGTACAACCATATTATTTTACTACAAAGAAAAGCCTCCTATGGAAGAGATAACTTGGGACTGTGTGTTTTTATTCACTTTATCACTTTGAGCTATTGGTGCTGGGTTGTGCTGATGCTGCTAAGTTACTCTGCTATATATTTATGGGGAGGGTCTTTTGTTACTAAGCCCACTCTCCCAGTACTCTGCCTCCAGACGCTTGACACAGAGACATGAAGGGCAGCATTTAGGGCTCTTCCATCAAAGGTAGAAAACTTTATTTTTCTCTCTCTACTCTTTTATATTAGACAAGCTTTAGGGTGCTAGTCCAACACTCAGACCACTACACCACACTTAGCCATCCCTTCCCACACGTAGCTGTGGCCCAGTCTGTTTATGTGTGTTTTGTGTGTGTATATATGTGTGTATGTGTGCGTATAGATTTGTGTATATATGTGTGCTTGCATATATGTATATACTAGCCATCCCCTGCCAAAGCATTGCTGTGGCCCACTCTGGTAGTCATGGGGGTTCTGTGTGGGAGGTTTGGCCCAAAAACATTTTTTTTTAGAGTGAAGGACATACATTGGGTTATTAGGTGTCTTGTGTCCAAATTTGGTGTCAATTCGTCCAGTGGTTTTTCGGTTATGTTAATCCCACAAACGAACATTACATTTTTATTTATATAGATGTATTACCTGCAACAATAGTTTTTCCCTTTTAAAAAACCTTACTAGTGTATCCTGCGCATTTTGTCTTCTGTTTCCTACTGTTATATACAGTCCGGACTAAGCTGCTCTCTGCTCTGCTATAGAACCCAAATATTCTACACAGAGAGTGCCCTCCTCCCCAAAGGAATATGATGACAGCAGCTCCCTCATGGAGCCAGGATCCTTACCGTCCCCGCAGTCGGTCCGGGAGCAGTTGCCCAACTGGCCAGAGAGGCAGGAGCTGCAGGAGAGAAAGGCAGCGCTTGGTGAGGAGGACTGGGGGAATCGTAAATGGTGGGGAGGTGAAGTGGCCCAAAAGGCAGTCCAGGGTACTGACCAGTTCTCACAGCCTTTGGGTACCACGTCACCCGGGTCGTAGAGCATCCCGTCTATGGCACACGGACACTCTTCCTTTGGCACACAGAGATTGTTCTACGGGACAAGAAGGGCATGGGCATTGGAGGATTATGTGAAGTGGACTCTCCTTGTGAAGTTCTTCTAGTGCTGGCGTTGGCCTTTAAAGCCCTAAACGGTTCCGGCCCAAGCTACCTATCTGACCGCATCTCTGCCTATGAACCCACCAGGAGTTTGAGATCTTCCGGGGAGACCCTGCTCTCGATCCCGCCTGCTTCTCAAGCTCGGCTGGCGGGGACGAGAGATAGGGCCTTCTCGGTGGTGGCTCCTCGGCTGTGGAACGCCCTTCCTACGGACATTAGACTAGCACCATCTCTAATGTATTCCGCAAAAAGGTGAAGACCTGGATGTTTGTGCAGGCGTTTGAGTAATTTAGTGCAATCTGGTAATGGAACATAGGAATGGAACAAGGACGACGAACCTGGACTACGCTTGGATGATGAGAAGATTGGGTACGGTTGTTTTTTGTAATAATTGTGCATTGTAATTGCTTATTGGTAATTTATGGATAATGTGTTAAGTCAATTGTTATATGTTGTATGGAACCACTGCTGTTTCTACTGTTTTTACTGTTTGTGAACCGCCGTGAGTCACCTTCGGGCTTGAGATACAGCGGTATATAAGCAAAGTAAATAAATAAATAAATAAATAAAATGGATACACCACTCCAGTGACACGGGAGCCTCCTATCCTATGCTGGCTGGGGGGCTCTGGGAGTTGTAGTCCAAAAGGGCACAAAGGCTGTTCTCTACACCTCATCCTGCTCATTAGACACATTGGAGCAGGCGTGGGCAAATGTCAGCTGATGTTGTGACTCAGCTGGAACCACAGACACAGACTGATAGTGTTGTGACTCAGATGGGGTCCCAGAGTGACTCCGACGAGGATGATGGGATTCAGGTTCACAATCAGGCTCAAAATGTTCCTGTTGTAGACAATGAGGAACAGGGTGTGCAAGTTCAGTTTCCCACAGCAGGGAATGATGTTTTTGATACTGAAACTAGCCAGGTGCAAATGGACTCAGAAAAGGAGGATAGTTCTCAGCCTGATAGTAAGCAAGAAGGCAACCAGGCTGACACTAATGAGCAGCCTGACCTTGATGAAACAGGAATCTTAGATCGGGCTGACTGTTTGGAATTCAGAGTTCAAAGGAGTGTGAGAATAGCCAACAAGAAGGAGGTCAGAGGCCAAAAAAATGCTTTCATGTATTGCAAAGGGTATTAAGCAGTGTGTTTGAAAACAAACCTTGGTCAGAGCAACTTCTCGCTCCACCAAGCAGCTTGTGCTTGTTTTCCTGTGTCCATGATCTTGGGATTTTGTCATGTTCTCATGGGACTTTGTTTCATAGATGCCTCTTGGAATCCTGCTTTACAGTGCTATGTTTTATTGGTCTTTGGAACACTGCTTGCTCTTTAAACTTTTTATCTTTTACTTTTTATTAAACTACAAAGACTTCAGTCTGTGTGCAGTTCTAGTGAATCTATTCTGAGGTGCGACAGCTGGATTGTTGTAGGTTTTTTGGCCTGTATGGCCATGTTCTAGAAGCATTCTCTCCTGACGTTTCGCCTGCATCTGTGTCAAAAGTTGTGAGGTTTGTTGGAAATTAGGGTATCTTGGAACAGTTTCTCCCCATAGAGATGTTCAATGTCTTGTCGAAGGCTTTCATGGCCGGGATCACTGGGTTGTTGTAGGTTTTTCCACAGATGCAGGCAAAACGTCAGGAGAGAATGCTTCTAGAATATGATCATACAGCCTGAACAACCTGCAACAACCCAATTATTCTGGCCATGAAAGCCTTCAATGATACAAATGTCAGCTGTTTGGAATGGTGGGAGTTGAAGTCCAAAATGCCTGGAGGGCGAACGTTTGCCCATGTCTGCACTAGAGGAGCACAAGGCCATCAGTGGTCACAAGTCCTGATGAAGACAGGTTTCCTGCCCAGCCCTGCAGAGCACTGTCCTGTTAGATTAGACATGTCCTTGGCCTGACCTGGCTGCATTCCCCCCCCCCCCCACCCCAAAGGCACTTCTGAGGCCTCTAAAGCTGCCTTTCCTGCCTGCACTGGGAAGCTTCTGTTTCTGGCCTGGGACTCCTGTGCAGGTGAAGGACTTTCAAGCCAATGCAATTTCATTTTCCAGCACCACCCCTGAGATTCACCTCTGCACTCTGCACTCACCATCAGGACGGTGCCATTGGGGCAGTAGCACCCGGCGTGGCAGGATCCGTTTGTGGCCCCAGCGCCCTCAGAGCTGAGCTCTGCGCAGGAGGCAGGTCCCTCCACACACTCCTTCCACACCTTCCCCTCTGGGCAGATGCCTGGAGCCTCACCTGGTTGGAAGGAAAAAGGGGAAGGGAGGCAGGAGGGTAGGAGGGTCAGAGGCATTGTGCTGCGTAGCACCGGGACTGTGGCGCAGCTGGCTGGGAGTCAGCTGCATTGAGATCACTACTGACCAAAAGGTCATGAGTTCAAAGCCAGCCCGGGTCGGAGTGGGTTTCCAACCAATTGTGTGTAGCCTGTTGTCGACCTTTGCAACCCGAAAGACAGTTGCATCTGTCAAGTAGGAAAATTAGGTACCACCTTAAAGTGTGGGGAGGCTAAATTAACTAATTTATGAGGCCATAAAAATCTCCAGCAAGCATGCAAAGAATGAGGAAGTACTTCATCAGTGTCGCAGATGGACGCTGAAACGACAGCTCCCCTGGTGGCCAGAAAAAGTTGGAATGTTAAATAGTAGGCCTGGGCGGTTTCGTTCGTTAATTTTGTAATTCGTTAAATATTCGTTAATTTTAGCAATTACAAAACGATTACAAAACTTATTTTTAAACCCGGAAGTGTTTTTAAATATCGAAACGGCATGCGCCAAATATTTTTGTATTTCCGTCCATTTCGGAAATACGTAAGATGGCTAGATGCTTGCTGGGAGCTCTCCTCTCTCTCCTCTCCTTAGCCAGTCAGAGCCTGAAAGAGGAGGAGGAGGAGGAGGAGAGGGCGGGGAAGGCGCCGGCTGAGCAAGCGAGCGAGAGGGCAAGCGACCCTCAGCGGGAAGGCGGCCCGTCCCTCCTTCCTCACCTTTGCGGTGGGTGTGCTTCGTTCTCCCAATTCCGCACTGAAACCTTAGCGGAGGGCTGGGCTAGATGGCCTTTGGGGAGCCCTTCTCCCAATTTCGCATTGAGACCATAGCAGAGGGCGGGACTAGATGGCCTTTGGGGAGCCCCTTCTCCCAATTCCACATTGAAACTTTAGCAGAGGGCTGGAATGTATGGCCTTTGGGGAGCCCCTTCTCCCAATTCCGCATTGAAACCTTAGGAGGGGGCTGGACTAGATGGCCTTTGGGGAGCCCCTTCCTCCAATTCCGCATTCAAACCTTAGCAGGGGGCTGGACTAGATGGCCTTTGAGGACCCCCTTCTCCCAATTCCGCACTGAAACCTTAGCTTCGGAGGAGCCGGGCCCGACTGGTCTGCTGCCTTTGATGATGGTGTGTACTTGAACCTTTAATAATTAATTCTCCTCCCTATTCTACTAAATTAATAATTAAATTAAAAAAAATATTGAAAAAATATTGAAAAAAAAGGGCGCCATCTTTAAAAAATGTTTTGTAAATATTAACGAAATTTCGTAAATACCGAACTTTTTTAAGGGAAAATTTTGTAATTATTTTAAATATCGAAACAAAAAAAAAACCCCAAATACAAATCGATTTTAGAAACAAATTTTTGCGTTGTTACCCAGGCCTATTAAATAGCCTTTGACTGTCTGCCTATATGTGTTGTGTGTCTATGGCATTGAATGTTTGCCATGTATGTTGAGGCTCAGCGTCTTGGCAGTGAAACTACTACAGATTGTAGGAGAAGGAGTGATGCTGAGTCAGTTGTTAACCCTTAACCTGCTGTGTTGGGCAATCTTTGGGACCTGAGTCACAACAATGTATGTTTACATTGTAATCCGCCCTGAGTCCCCTGCCAAGTGAGAAAAGCGGAATATAAATATTGTAAATAAATAAATTGAATCTGGCCCCTTGGGGGGAGCCTTCCCCATCCAGAACCAGGCACATATTGGGAAGGTAAAGGTAAAGGTATTCCCCTGACATTGAGTCCAGCCGTGTCCAACTCTGGGGGTTGGTGCTCATCTCCATTTCTAAGGCGAAGAGCCGGTGTTGTCCGTAGATACCTCCAAGGTCGTGTGGCCCGCTAGAGTGGTACCTATTGATCTACTCACATTTGCATGTTTTCAGACTGCTAGGTTGGCAGAAGCTGGGGCTAACAGCAGGAGCTCATGCCGCTCCCTGGATTCGAACTGGTGATCTTTCGCTCAGCAAGTTCAGCAGCTCAGCGGTTTAACCCACTGCACCACCATGGGCTCCATACATATTGGGAAGGATGAGGCAAAGACCAGTGGGGTGGGAGACATAAACAAAGGCTGGATGGCCACCTGTGAGGGGTGCTTTGAATGCAATTTTCCTGCATCTTGACGGGGAGTTGGACTGGATGGCCCATGAGGTCTCTTCCAACTTTATGATTCTATGCTTCTATTCACACAGGATGGAAAGGCAGTGGCAGAGGACCCACCTACACAGGGCTGAAGGTTGCAGGTGGCAAACTGGATCCTGTGCAGGATGCTGGGACTGGCCTTCGTCCGGTTCTGGTAGCCACCCCCACACGGCACAGAGCACTCCGACCAGGGGCCCCATTCCACGCCAGGACCTGCATTGGGAGCAGAGGGAAAGGAGGGGCAAGGGATTAGAAAGCCAGTTCTCAATTATGGAAGGGTCTTTTTCTTTCCATTTCTGGGTGACCGTGATTCTCGCCGGAGCAGTGAGGTAGAACAGAATTTTTTCTTCATTTTTTCCAATTTCAAAGTCTGTTATATTCAACAAATAATATTCTGGTTTCAGATCGTATTTTATCTTGATAATATTTTGGCAGTGCTTATGGATTGGAGAATTTATGAATATAGCCAGACTGTCACAGATAATAAAAAAAAAATCAGAAGAAAGAAAACCAAATCAAGTGGAATCAGCTTAAAATATATCTGCAGGAAAAAAATGAAGATCAATACATAAATAAGAGAGTAAAAACATTCGGACAGCGATAATTCAAGGAAAATTGTTTCTCTTTAATTGATACTTGCATCTCTGTGGAATGAACTGGAAGTTCCCCACCCCAAATCCCCTCCCTCCCTGATATACCCCTACCACTCCCAACCCATTCTCCCCTCATCACATCTCTAGCTTTAACCTCCCCGAACCCCCAATTCAATCCAATCTCCCCAAATGACCAGCCTTCTAAGCTCCTCAATTTCTTACTTTCTTACTTTCCTATCATCACTATTGTTCCCCCTCTTTAACTGTTATCTGTAAAGGTCAACTAATAAAAATTAACATAAAAAAGGAGGGGCAAGGGCTGAAATGTGTGGGGAAACCCCATCCCAAGGCCTCTGGTGACCCCCAGAAGCCTTCTCATCACCCTCAGCCCATGCTAGGAAAGCTAGGAGAGAGTGCAAGAGTTCAATGTATTGTCGAAGGCTTTCATGGCCAGAATCACTGGGTTGTTGTAGGTTTTTTTAGGCTATATGGCCATGGTCTAGAGGCATTCTCTCCTGACGTTTCGCCTGCATCTATGGCAGGCATCACCTCACTACCTCTGAGGATGCTTGCCATAGATGCAGGCGAAATGTCAGGAGAAAATGCCTCTAGACCATGGCCATATAGCCCAAAAAAAACCTACAACAACCCAGTGCAAGAGTTCGTTCATGCCTGGATATTTTGGTCTTCTTTATCCTGGAAAGACTTTTGTTGTTGTCGTCGTTGTTAATTGAGACATTGTATATTGCTCAACACACAATGTTTTTGTGCAAAGCCAAAAATCCATACTTTTCAGCACAGAGATTGAAAGAGAGAGATTGGATCAATATTCACATCAGTTGAGAGTTATTTCAAAAAGGCTTCCTGGGCATGTGTGTCTTTCCAATTTCATCATGTCCTTTACCCCACCCCATATTCCTTATGTCCCTGGATCACATCCCCTGCCTCTGAGCCCAGAGGTGGACGGTGCCCTCGGTCCATTGTCTGTGCCCCACTTGTGTACCTTGGCACGGCTGGAGGCTGCAGAACTCGATCTCCACGTTGGATCCCTGGCAGGGCTCTCCTCCGGCGGAGGCAGGTGGGTCGGCGCTTGAGCGGAAGCGACGCCGGGTGCCCACATTGCAGCTGCGGCTGCAAGAGCTCCAGGCGGTCCATGCGCTCCAGCCACAGCTGACTGCGAAGTCGAAGAGAGGAAGAACAGATGATCTCTGGGGGCCGTGCGATCCCCAAAGAACAGAAACCTAAATTATGGGCCTTGGTTTACTCACTTGTCTTCCTAGCACAGGCATGGGCAATCTTCTGCCCTCCTCCATGTGTTTTGGAGTTCAACTCCCACAAATTCTAACATCCAGTTGGCTGTTTGGAATTGTGAGTTGAAGATCTTGGGGTCCTCGTGGACAACAAGTTGAACATGAGCCAACAATGTGAGGCAGCAGCAAAAATGCCAATGGGATTTTGGCCTGCATCAGCAGGAGTCTAGTGCCTAGATCCAGGGAAGTCATGCTCCCCATGCTCTACTCTGCCTTGGTTAGACCACATCTGGAATCACACTGTGTCCAATTCTGGGCACCAAAATTGAAGAGAGATGTTGTGTCCAGAGGAGGGCGACTAAAATGATCAGGGGTCTGGAGAACAAGCCCTATGAGGAGCGGCTTAAAGAGCTGGGCATGTTTAGCCTGAAGAAAGAAAGGCTAAGAGGAGACATGATGAGAGCCATGTATAAATATGTGAGGGGAAGTCATAAGGAGGAGGGAGCAGGCTTCCTTTCTGCTGCCCTGGAGACTAGGACACAACAGAGCAATGGCTTCAAACTGCAGGAAAGGAGATTCCATCTGAACATTAGGAAGAACTTCCTGTGAGAGCTGTTCAGCAGTGGAACTCTCTGCCCTGGATTGTGGTGGAGGCTCCTTCTTTGGAGGCTTTTAAACAGAAGCTGGATGGCCATCAGTCGAGGGTGCTTTGAATGCGATTTCCCTGCTTCTTGGCAGAAAGGGGTTGGACTGGATGATGGCCCACCTATACGCTATACTTATGGCCAGATAATGCGGCCATCAAAATCCCAAATCCAGAGCTTGGGACTGGCAGGATCTGGTTCCAGTTGGTATGGGAAAGGGCTGGTCTCCTCAGCAGAGGGTGTGAGCAGCCATTTCCGACCACCAGAAACAGGTGAGCTGAGAACGGCATGCTGTGGGCCCTGGTTACCTGGGCAGGGGTGTGAGGTGCACTCCATCTTCCCATCTATGCAGGTGCTGGAAAGAGAGAAAGAGAAAATTCAGAGAAGCTTTCCTTGCACTGCAATGGAGACAAGTAGAAGTACAGAGACTGGGAAAGTTGCCTTTTGGGTAATGTGCTGTAATAATGAAATTGCCCAGGGATGGACTGGCCTCACCCTCTCCCCAAACTGGGCATCCCCTTCCCAAGTTTCTAAGTCTGGCTGTACCAGTTGTTGCAGGCGTCCAGCGGGAGGGTGCTGCCCGGTGGGAGGAGCTCCCCTTGGTGGAAGCAGGGGCAGAGACCGGGGGGCAGGCAGGTCTCGTTGTAGAGGAAGAGCCCCTCTGGGCAGGAGCAGCCCTCGCGGCATGAAGAGGCGCACTCCACGCGAGGACCCTGGTCCAGGCAGAGGCGTGGACAGGCCCCTCCCCTCTGCTGGCACTCCTCCATCGACAGGAAGACCATGTTCCCCGGGCAGCGAGCTGTTGGGGCAAAGGGTGGAGTAGAAAAGGTAAGGGTGGAACCATCCCCATTTGTTGTGACTCAGCTGGAACCACAGTCCGATAGTGTTGTGACTCAGATGGGGTCTCAGAGTGACTGTGACGAGGATGATGGGATTCAGGTTCACAATCAGGTTCAGAATGTTCCTGTTGTAGACAATGAGGAACAGGGTGTGCAAGTTCAGTTTCCCACAGCAGGGAATGATGTTTTTGATACTGAAACAAGCCAGGTGCAGATTGACTCACAAAAGGAGGACAGTTCTCAGCCTGAGAGTAGGCAGGAAGGCAACCAGGTTGACACTAACGAGCAACCTGGCCTTGATGAAACGGGAACCTTAGATCGGGCTGACTGTTTGGAATTCAGAGTTCGGAGGAGTGTGAGAATAGCCAACAAGAAGGAGGTCAGAGGCCAAAGAAATGCTTTCACGTACTGCAAAGGGTATTAAGCAGTGTGTTTGAAAACAAACCTTTGTCAGAGCAACTTTGCGCTCAACCAAGCAGCTTGGACTCATTTGCCTGGATTATCTTGTAGTTCTTGTGTCCATTGTCTTGGGACTTTGTCATGTTCTCATGAGATATTGTTTTGTTGGTGTCTCTTGGAATCCTGCTTTACAGTGCTATGCCTTATTGATCTTTTGGAACATTGCTTGCATTTCAGAACTTTTATCTTTTATTTTTCAACAAACTACAAAGACTTCAGTCTGTGTGCAGTTTTGCTGATTTCAGTAAGGTGAATCTACTCTGAAGTGTGACACCATTTGTGTATAGAGTAGACATGGGCCAACTTTGTCCCTCCTCCAAGTGTTTTGGACTTCAACTATCATAATTCCTAACAGGAGAAACAAATGAGATGAAGACTGGATTCACTTTGGTATGAAATGGTGCTGATGAAGAAAAAGTGCTAACTTAAGTGACCTGGGAACTTTTGGTGTAAACAGTACATGTTTACATGGTCAGAGACAATGACTCATTAATAAGGAAGTTCAGAAACAATGGTTCCTTGTGTTAAGGAAGAAAAACAACATCTATTCGGAGTTGATGAAGCAAGTCTTCTTAGTGAATGACAAGTTCTCAAACAATCAAGAACGACAGCAGCAGAAATATCACTACATAGACACTTTTGTCTTCTCAAAGTGTGGCAGATCCGTGAGGAATGCAGAGTCTGAACACCTGCCTCCTCCCAAGATGGACTGATTGAAGCAAGATGGGGAGTATGCATGTGCTGAGTGTATGTGAGTGAATGCTGAGAAAATGTGATGTTCCCCTTTGTCTGTGTAACCAATATGGCTATTATAAACCAGTACTGGAGTCTGTGTGCCGACTTCTTTCTCTGAAAATGCCCGATGAATTCTGTCCCACTGAAAATGGATTAAAGAACGTTCTAAAGGTTCAAAAAGTATTCATGACAACTTTCCCTTTCTTCTTTCCAAAACGCTTTAGTCTCTTTGAGAAGGGAGCATCAAAAGGCTTCTCTCTGCCTCAAGAAGGCTGACACATAGACATAGAGTTAGCATCAGGACTCTGCTAACAAAGTTACAGAACTTTCTTTTGGGTTGTTGTAGGTTTTTTCGGGCTATATGGCCATGTTCTAGAGGCATTTTCTCCTGACGTTTTGCCTGCATATGTGGCAAGCATCCTCAGAGGTAGTGAGGTCTGTTGGAACTAGGAAAATTAGGTTTATATATCTGTGGAATGTCCAGGGTGGGACAAAGAACTCTTGTCTCTTGGAGTAAGGTGTGAATGTTTCAACTGACCACCTTGATTAGCATTTGATGGTCTGGCAGTTGTTTTGTGTGGCTTGTTAGTACCTGGAGGAATCTTTTGTTGAGAGGTGATTGTTTCCTCTCTGTTGTTTTGCTGTTGTAATTTTAGAGTTTCTTTAATTTTGTTTATCTACTCTTTTATCTGAGAGTTAATACCAGCAACAATAAAAGTACACTTTTGCCTCTCTTTTAAAATCCTACTAGAGAATCATTCTGTGTATTTTATGTCCAGTTTCCTACTATTAACTCCTATAAAGCACTGGCTATGCTGCACACTGCTCTGCTGCAGATACCAAATATTCCTGTGTGTAACCTCCCCCCCCCTTGCCATGCCTACCTTTGCAGGGGTGGGTGTTGCAGTCCCTGGTCTGGATGAGGGGCCCTGCACACCCCGGTCCCCCGTAGGCAGGGTTGGAGCAGGAGCGGTTGCGGGTTTGGACTCCAGAGTCACATGGGGCTGAGCAGACGGACCAGGCTGTCCAAGGGGTCCAGACACCTTCCACTGCAAGAGGCAAAGAAGGGGGGAAACTGGCTGGGAAATCAGGCCCAGCATCAGGCTGAACGGGAAATAGGACTAGATGTTCCTGTTCATTATTCTACATCAGGCATGGGCAAACTCCAGCCCTCCAGGTGTTTTGGACTTCAAAGGGCTGTTAGGAATTGTGGGAGTTGAAGTCCAAAACACCTGGCAGGAGGGTCAAAGTTTGCCTATGCCTGTTCTCCATAGCAAATGTTACCATGTAAAAATGTCTCATTCCATTACCTGTGCCCTCAACTTGCAGAGAGTGGTCTCTGGCTCTGGGACAAGAACTAAATCCATCATACTCGCTTTCCCACAAGCCTTTGTCATTCACCTGGGCACGGAGGGGTATCACAGGGCTCCTCCTGCACTGTCTCTTCATCACACCCAGGACCCGCTTCAGAGCTGCCATTGCAGTGCCGGAACCGCTTCCTTGCTCCCACCACATCTGGGGCATAGAAGCAGGTCTTTGAGCAGGGAGACCAGGCGGTCCAGTCGCTCCAGAGCAATGCAACCTCTGCAAGGAGAGCAAGAGATGTGGGCTCTTCAGGGAAAGGGAACGGGGAGAGATTAATGGGGCAACAAGCGTCCCCATATTTGCATAGACAGGGCTACTTTCTGGTGGGGGGGTCTTAGTGACATTAAATATCACTGCATCTTTTACAGTGAAATATTGTTCCTGCAGAAAACACTGTTTTCTGTGCAGAAAATTCTGTTTTCTGTGCAGAAAATGCTTTTTGTGCAGAAAACGCTTTTTGTGCAGAAAATGCTTTTTCTGTGCAGAAAATGCTTTTTGTGCAGAAAACGCTTTTTTGTGCAGAAAATGCTATTTTCTGTGCAGAAAATACTTTTTGTGCAGAAAATACTTTTTGTGCAGAAAACTTTTTTGTGCAGAAAATGCTATTTTCTGTGCAAAAATATTATGCACAATTTTTTGTTCAGTGGAAGTCTCGAGTGACAAATATTCTCAAAACAAAGCAGTTTTCTAGGACGTTTTTCACCATGAAAGGAAACGTTGCTAAAATTACTTGTGGTGTCCTTTGAGACGAAACTGAGCAGTGAATGATACCTGTAGTCACAGAGAGCAATACTGAGCCAACTGGGCCCAGGGCAGTCAGATCAGCTCAAAGGCAGCTGCCATGTTTGTTCAGTCATTTCCAGTCACAGTGACCAAGTAGTTAGCTAATCAATTCTATTTGGAGCCAGTGGTGGGTGGGGCCCCTACCTGAGATGCAGGCCGTGTGACATTCGCGCACCTCCTGGGCGTCCCCTTGGCACGGGGCTCCCCCATTGGCAGCTGCCGGGTTGGAAGGGGACCTGCAATACAAGCAGAGGGCCTTAAGAAACAGGTGTTGGCATGTAGCAGAGTATCGCAGAAGCTCAGAATAATGGACTCTGGAGTCTCCGGTAAAAGCAGGTTTTCAGCTTTACTTAAGCAGCTCAAAATAGACAACATACACCATCAGCAGACAGACATGAAGAACACAAACCAAAAGAGATAGGAACTAATACAAACTGCAGCTGGAAGGAAGTTTATCTCTGGCACTCCCTAATCTTTCACAGAGCAAGAACTCAGGGTCATATTCTCACAGCTTGTTACTTTGCTCTTTAACCCTTCTGTGTCAAACTACATCCTGGCAATACAATTCTATTACAATCACAATCCTATCACATAAAATTACATTTAAACACACATCATACATGAATTACACACTGACAAAAGAAAGGGGTTAGCAAAAGGATTTGAGGGGTGGGGAGCTGAAGAGGAAGCTAAAATGCAGCCCTCCATTGTCACTCAAGAGGTAGGAATGGGACATGAGGTGAGCCAGCCCCATCCACAAGCTCTAATTTGCATAGCTCCACCTACAGGAGCAGAAGGAATCCACAACAGCCAGGCAAGGGAAACCACAAACCCTTTAAACTCTGCTTTGACCTCTGGGGCCAGCTTGTTGGGCGAGTGGGCTTGTTAACGAAAGACTTTCCCCATAAAGGCACAGCAGAGTAACTTATTAGCAACAGCGTGACCCAGCACCAGTTGCCCAAAGTGATAAAAAGAAGAAAAACACACAGATTGATGTTATCTCTTCCATAGGAGTCTTTTCTTTATAGCAAAATAATATACAAGAACAAAGTTTCCATAACACAAACAAAGGTTTTTACACTTCCTTCTTTGCTTCCACGCTGGGCTTCTTTCTCATGCAGATAAACAGCTTCACTCTCACAGAGCCTCTTCTCACACTGAAGTTACACATGGGCTTCATATAGTAGCTTTTTATACACAGCAGTCTTCACGCTGAAGCTTCACAGATGATGACCTTCAACCTGGGACTTCTCTCACCGAAGCTTTTCTCATACTGAGGCCTACCTCATACTAATGCCCCATAGAGCCCTTCTCACACGGAGGCAAACTAATACTGAGGCCTACTCATACTGACGCCTGCTATCACAGAGGCCCTTCTTCCACAGAGACCTCTCACAGATTGAGACTTTTAAGCTACAGGAACACCTGCTTATATAGAACTGCAGCCTTCAACCTGGGGCTTTTCTCCCCAAAGCTTCTCACACCTTCTCCCACTGAGGCCTACCTCATACTGAGGTCTACTAAAACTGAGGCCTCTCTCACACTGAGTCCTACTAAGCTACAGGCACACCTGCTTCTATTGAACTGCACCTTTTGCTGTTGAGACTTTGCCACCAACACACTATGTTCTGAGGTAGTTTACTGTGATCACTGGCTACCATCCAAATTCAAAAGAGTTTTCAGTTCTTGTTGGACCAATGCTTTCAAGTAGGCTGGAATGTGCTGAATTCGCACTCAGGGCTCAGAACTCTGAGGTAAATAACCGTGAGATTCTTCTAAAATGTCGCTGCCACCAATCTGGGAACTCTGTTCCCCTAAGACTGCTATGGAACTTCGGCACACAGAGGCACTCTTGAGACAGTTGTTGATTAACAAAGGACAAAGTTGTTTATTTGTGTGGATTTCAAAAATTCAGGCACTTAAGCGTAACAGTTGCAATAATGATATGATGCTTTTTGTTTACTTAAAACAGTCCAATGCTTAGTTCCAAAAACAACTCTTCACTCCCTCAGGAAACTAGCAGACTTTTCTCTGACTAGAATTCCTAAAACTCCAGACAGTCCTTTCCCTTGGATCTGTCTATACCCTATACCAGCTATTCTACCTAATAGTTATATCTATCTTTACTAACTGACCACTTTGATTTCTCTAACTTCTCTTCTCCTAGCTCTCCCAAAACCTAACTTTCTTCTTCAACACACAAACCCTGACTAAACTGTCAGATTTTAAAATGCACCCTTTCAGGCAATTTTTTTTGCACTCTAACTAAGCTCTGCCCACTTTCTCCCAACCAATCACAATTCTCCACATTTCCCTCCAGGCTGCTCCTAAGCCCCACCTCCTCTAGGAAATGGGTACTCTAAGATGGCTGCCTCCATGCACCATTTCACAAAATGGCTGCCGAAATACTTGGACCTGCTTCCTGAGCTTTTCCCTGGCCTAAAAGGTAGGCCATTCATCACATACCCTATCAGATTGCAGAGCAGGTCCCATGCTATGCTATAGTTCTCCAGCACAGGACCACAACTCCCAGAACTTCAGGGGGGCCACATCCTGGGGAGTTATGAGAACTATATAGTCAGCCTGGAAGTAACTTCTTCAAGCCGCCTGATTCCTTACCGAAATCTCTGCTGCATCCCGATCCCGCAGCTCCGACCGCAGGGGGTCCATGGAGACCAGGCGGACCAGCCGCAGTTGAGGGGACAGGCCATGGAGTCACAGGACACAACGCCCTCCAGGCAGACGCTGCAGGCAGGAAAGAAAGGGAAGAATGGAGGAGAGAAGCAAAGCCACGGGTTCACATGAAGTTGCAAGAACAATAATTAATGCATTGGGCGTAAGTATCCTTCAGGCTATGTGTACCAGGGCGCTGTCCCCACAGTATCTTTTTTGCACATTCTCTCACCACTGGCTGCAGTTGTCTCGCAGGAACATTTCTCCGGGGAGCCGTCGCTCGCGGTCGAAGAAGCAATGGCACTGGCTGACGTTCACGCAGCCCCCATCCTGCAGAAACAGCCCTGGGGGGCAGCGGCAGCCTAAAGGTGGAGGCACAGCAGGGGGCACAATTTAATACCATGGCTGTCTCCATATCCATTACAATGCCAAACCAGAGTTCAATTCCACAGGAGAAATCTCTTAGGGCCTCCCTTTGGTTGACAATTATCCAGACCCCTCCTGTGCAGGTACAACTGCACCAGGAGCTCCAATTTTGTTTGCTTTGCATTGAATGTTTGTTGCAGTCCTAAGTTTCAGGGACTCTGCAGATAGGTGGCTTCTTTTGGCTGCAATCATAGGGCAAGCCACCTGTCAATTATAGTTAGGTTCCCTGGTCCTGCCCCCCTTTTGAGTTTTAGAGGGAATAAGAGCCATTTTGAGTTCAGTCCACACAGAGCAACTTTCCATACAGGACATGAAAGCAAGAGCTCCTGTAGAAAGCTTCGTCTTCTACGGCTTGGCCAGGGAGATATACAGCCTACAGCTTGGCTAGGGAGAAAAGGCTCTACAGCTTGGCCAGGGTTTTACAGCCCACAGCTTGGCCAAGGATCATACAGCATTACAGCTCCTTTGCTGAGGGAATCCGGTCCCACAGCACTTCAGCCAGCCATCACAGCAACCTGAACTCCTTTTTCCCTGGAAGTCTACAAAGCTCTGCCTGGTAAGGGTCTCTCGTGGAAGCCAGAAGCAGTTGGTACCGGGTGTAGGGGCTCCACACCAACAGAGGCAAATACAGACTGCCCAGATTAGAAGTTAAGGATTTCCCCATTAGTTAGTATACAGTTATGAAGATAGTGCCTGTTTCCAGTGAACAAGATTGCAAGAGCCTGTAGACTGTTAAGAAAGCTTGAAAGTACCTGTTTGTTTTCATCAATAAAGAACTTTGTTGGACTTACTTTAAGCCTCTACAGAACTTTGTTTTGGGGAGGTCCAAGGGTCTTTAATCTGAGGCAGCCCCGGTGTCCCGTTGGGCACACAGAATTTATGTCCTGTCTACAGTCTAATGCACAGGCCCAGCGTGCGACAGCACACCTTCTGATACGCATAAATAGCAAATCCCGGGATTCCATATTAGGTGGCTATAGCATTTCAAGTGCTGAATGGTATATTTATTTATTTATTTATTTATTTATTTATTTATTTATTTATTTATTTATTTGCTATGCTTCTATACCACATAGTGCAGGTATGGGCAAAGTTTGGCCCTCCAGGTGTTTTTGGACTTCAACTCCCACAATTCCTAACAGCCTACTGGCTGTTTTTGTTCAAATTCTGTTACAAAATGTGTTTGCTCCTGAAATTCAGATCTCTGACTGCTATGTGCCTCTTGTTGGAATTCAACCCCACAGGGCCTAAGTCTCAAGTCCTCAATGAGGAACAGTTTAGTTAGCATTAGTATAGCCTAAGGGTTTCTCTTCCCCCATTATTATTTATTTATTTATTTATTTATTTACAGTATTTATATTCCGCCCTTCTCACCCCACAGGGCACTCAGGGCAGAGCACAATGCACATATATATAGTAAACATTCAATGCCATAAACACACAATATTTGTTGATAGACACACAAAGACTATTTAACTGTCCAGCTTCATGAGGGTATGCTTTGAATTCCAGCCACCGGGGGAGCTGTCGCTTCACCGTCCACTTGTGACACTGATGGAGTACTTCCTCATTCCTTTACACGCTGCTGGAAAGTTTTATGGCATTGTAAATTAGTTAAATTAGCTTCCCCATGTCTTCTGTATGACAGTTGGGAATATATTCTTTTTCTTTTCTCCTCTCTATTTCTACTCTCATTCTGATTGGTTGCTTAAAATGGGTACTTTTCTACTGCAAGTCTCTTTTGAATATGATAAGTTAGTGTTTACACTTTATTTTTATTTTATTTGTTATTTAATATTTAATGTCTATTTTATTTAAATGATATTTATCTTTACTGTTCTAACGCAGCACAAATCCTATGTAAAATCATACTACGTATTTTTGACATTAATATTGAAATCTGAAATATATACAGAAAGTCTTTACTTCTTACCCTTGAGTCTGGAGAGTCTGTGCTGTGTGCTTTGAGATCTCTCTCTGCTTGTGTGTCAGGAGAGATGGAGTGATTGAGTTTCCCCCTCCCTTGAAACCTCAGAAGAGATGGCTGTTAGAGTCGCTCACACCCAGTTCTTTAACTATTAAGAGATGCCGTTATTATTCTGATCTCTGCAAATAAACCTTTTGTGATTTTTTAAAAGATTGGAGTCTGCATGTTTGCCTCCTAAGCTCTTGAATTCTTTGCAACCACATCACACGGCACTTCACGCTCTGCTCGCTAATTGTATCCTGTTTATCTGTTTGGACGCTCTGCTATATATTTTGGAGTAGTGTTCCCTAACACCTTTACGCAGCCTTCAGAACAAATATCCCCTTCTAAATCGCCACAGAATTAACAGGATGCCCCCTCCAACGCTGTGGCCCACCTCCTTTTCCCCCAAGAGCCCTGTGCTCACCTTCCACGCAGCTGCTGTGACAGGGGGAAGCGGGTGCGCCCAGCTGCTGGCAGGTCTGTGGGCAGGGTGCCACCAGGCCCCGCATGCAGTGCCCCACTTGCACAAAGACCATGTCCGGGCCACAATCTGCAGAGAAAGAGACCAAGGCACAGATTCATGTACTGCACAAGAACAAGCCCTATGAGGAGCGGCTTAAGGAGCTGGGCATGTTTAGCCTGAAGAAGAGAAGGCTGAGAGGAGATATGATAGCCATGTATAAATATGTGAGAGGAAGCCACAGGGAGGAGGAGGGAGCAAGCTTGTTTTCTGCTTCCCTGGAGACTAGGACACAAGGGAACAATGGCTTCAAACTACAAGAGAGGAGATTCCATCTGAACATGAGGAAGAACTTCCTGACTGTGAGAGCCGTTCAGCAGTGGAACTCTCTGCCCCGGAGTGTGGTGGAGGCTCCTTCTTTGGAAGCTTTTAAACAGAGGCTGGGTGGCCATCTGTCAGGGGTGATTTGAATGCAATATTCCTGCTTCTTGGCAGAATGGGGTTGGACTGGATGGCCCAGGAGGTCTCTTCCAACTCTTTGATTCTAGGATTCTATGCAGCAGCGCATAAGGAAGCATGAATGCTCTGACATACCCAGCACAATACTCTATAGCAGTGGTTCTCAACCTGTGGGTTCCCAGGTGTTTTGGCCTACAACTCCCAGAAACCCCAGCCAAAAACATCTGGGGACCCCAGGTTGGAACCACTGCTCTACAGCTTCCAGGCAATGTTTTTTTCTAGCAAAGGAAATATAACTCTAAATACAAAAGATTGCACAGCGATTGAACTTTTGTTTGAACATGGTCTCCTAATATACTGAAATCCAGGAAACATATCCACTGGCAAGGTCACAAAATATATCTAAAGTCAAATATATACAAACGAGCCATACCTTCACTGTGCTGACTAAGGGTAGTTCCAGACAAAAGGCGGATGTTTGTGGGGGGGCTTTCCGCACCCATGCCAGAAAGTGTGTGCTTTCTGGCATGGATGTCCAGGCGGTCTCTCCGGACTAGCCTGAGAGAATGTCGGCAAGCCCTCCTGGCGCATAGAAATGCGATTTTCTTCCCCCCCCCCCCCCCCAATCATAGCACCTCATTTCTACATGCTGGGAGAGCTTGTCGAGGCTTCTAATGGAGAATAGGTAAGTTTTTTACTACTTTTCTAAGGGGTCTGGGGGTGTCGCACCTCAGAGTAGATTCACCTACCTGAAATCACCACACTGAAGAAAGGGATAAGGAAATAAAAAAGTGAAAGAAGGAAGGAAAGAGAGAAGGAAGGGAGGGAGGAGAGAAGGAACTAAAGAGGGAAGGAAGGAAGGAAGGAAGGAAGGAAGGAAGGAAGGAAGGAAGGAAGGAAGGAAGGAAGGATGCCGGGCATCTTTCCCCCCTCCCAAGTATTTATAGTTCCCCAAGGGCTGAGCGATGGATTCTGTTATTGATCAACCCAGCGCCCATCACTGGACTTCTGCCTTTTCTTATTGACTTTCTGCTCCACATCCCGGACTGTTTTCTGCCACATTTTTGGACGCAAACCCTCAGATCAGGCTTGCTCCGATTCACAAGCAGCCTCCGCTTCCGTGTGCCTTCACCAGGAGACCATGAATTTCTTTCAATAATAAAGTGACTGAATATTTTTATTAATAAACTTTCGCTGGGGACGGGGATGGGATTGCCTTATGAAATGTATGGAATATATGAAATGTATGTAATGGAATGAAATATACTTTGGTTCCCCCTCCCGCTTCTCCTCTCTGACCCTTTGCCCCAAAAAGAATGTGACCCGAGGATTACTGTAACAGGGAGGAAATCCTTTGTCCTCCCGAAACGGTCCATATTTACATTTGCATGGGCCCGTGATTGATTCCTTCTCAAAGCTTGCTTTCAGAGCAGACAGTAAGATGAGGGATGGGTCAACAGAAACTCAGGGATAAAAAGGCTGATTATATCATTTTTAGGTATTTGTTGATCCCCCTTGTTTACAAGGCCCCCTTGTTTACAAGGCCCTGAGGTCCAAATACCATCAGTAGCTCCTTTTTCACCTTTTTCATACTTCCTCCCATCACAGACCAGGAAACTTATTGTTCCCCTATCTGACACCCCGCCAGGTGAGGACAAAAGCCTCACATTCCCCTTAAGGCTGTCATTTCCTCAGTCTTTGTCAAGCTTCGTCCCACCTCCTAGCTGCCGATTGGTCCATCTTCAGAGGCGCTAGGAAGGCACTGATTGGCCTCCCAGAGGCAGCGGAGCCCGCTGATTGGTCCAGAGGCGAGGCATGCTGCCAAGCCTCCTCCCAGCTGTTCTGCGGCCAGCCAATCAGCACGACGCCGGCTGACAGAGGGCGGGCGGGATTTTTGAAACTGTTTTCCTTTGTCTGTGTACTATAAAAATGCTTGGAAATTCTGTAAAACCATGCTTGCAGTGGAATGATTCCTGCAAGGCATCTGATCTCAGCTGAATCACAATAAACCTCAATTGCTGAAAACCTTCTTCCACTTGGATGAGGCATTATTATTTGTAATATTTTATTCTTTGGATTGGCTCTCGCTGGCCTCACCAAGGGACCCAGAGCCCTTTAGGCGCGGTCCTCGGGCTTCTCCCTGAGAGGAGGCCCCACTAAAAAGCAGCTCGATATCAGAAGGAAGGAGAGGAGAGAAGGAGGGAAAGAAAGAAAGAGGGAAAGAAAAGGAGAAGAAGAGAAGCAAAGAAAGACAGGTAGAGAAGGAAGGAAGGGAAAGAGGAAAGGATGGAGAGAAGGAACAAAGGGGAGAAAGAGGGAGGGAGGGAAGGAAAGAGACAAGGAAGGAAGGAGAGAAGGAGGGAAAGAAGGAGGGAAAGAGAGAAGCAAAGAAAGACAGGTAGAGAAGGAAGGAAGGGAAAGAGGAAAGAGGGAGAGAAGGAAAAGGAGAAAGAGGGAAGGAGGGAGGAAAGAGACAAGGAAGGAAGGAGAGAAGGAGGGAAAAAAGAAGGAAGGAAAGAGAAGACAAAGAAAGACAGGTAGAGAAGGAAGGAAGGGAAAGAGGAAGGAAGGAGAGAAGAATGAAAGGGAGAAAGAGGGAGGGAGGGAAGGAAAGAGACAAGGAAGGAAGGAAGGAGAGAAGGAGAAAAAGAAAGAGGGAAAGAAGGAGGGAAGGAGAGAAGCAAAGAAAGACAGGTAGAGAAAGAAGGAAGGGAAAGAGGGAAGGAAGGAGAGAAGGAACAAAGGGAGAAAGAGGGAGGGAGGGGGGAGGGAGGGAGGGAAGGAAGGAAGGAAGGAAGGAAGGAAGGAAGGAAGGAAGGAAGGAAGGAAAGAAGGAGACAAGGAAAGATGGAACCAAGAGCAAAGGAAGGTAGAAAAGGATGAAAGAAGAAACAGGTAGAGAAGGATGAACGAAGAAGGGAAAGAAAAACTGGGAATAAAGGAAAGAGGGAGGGAACGAAGGAGAGAAGGAAAAAAGGAGAGAAAGAGGGAGGGAAGGTTGGCCACAGCAACACGTGGCAGGTACAGATAGTGAGATATAAAAATGGAGCCATAGCATTACTGTCATTTAAGATGGCCTGCAAGGATCCCAGTTAACACCTTTGTCTAATGAAGAAGCCAGTGGAGTTTTGAAAGATCTCATGATGTACCTTCTCAGTTGGCCCAGTAAGGATGTTGCTCTTTTGTGGATTTGGGATCTTGAGATCCCCTTTCTCATATGAACCAAGGAAAATGGTGATGACCCTTCTCTACAGTCCAAAGTCCTAGTCACACCATCCAGCTCCATGCCTAGCCTTCCACCACCATCACCATCACCACCCCATTTGCCAGGCCCATTCCAGCCCCCAACTCACCACGGGCGTCTCCGCAGGGCTGTTGGTTGCAGCTCTCCATCTGCATGGTGTCCCCCGGACAGGGCTGCCCCCCGTTCTTGGGCGGAGGGTCAGTGCAGGCTCTGGTGCGGCTCCTCACTCCTCCCCGGCACTCGGCATCGCAGTCGGACCATTCGCCCCAGGAGGCCCAGCCGCCATTCACTGCGCAGAACGAGAAGGAAGCCAGAAGGATGAAGAAGGAAGCCACACACAATGAGCACACTTTACGGCAGGCATGGGCCAACTTGGGTGAAGTGCCAAGGAGACAAGAGATGAGGTAGGCTGTTAGAAATTGTGGGAGTTGAAGTCCAAAACACCAAAGGTTGACCACGCCTCATCTCTTGACTCTTGAGCAACGTCACCAAAGGGTCTCCCTGATGGAAATGAAAAGGCATCAACATTTGTATGTGGAGCAATGAAGGATGAGACAAGACAACCCTATTCTGCCAGCCCACTATCTTCTTTCTTAGGTCTATGTCACCCAACTTCATTTTGCTTCCTGCCTGCACGGAAAGGACATTTCCCCCTTCTTCTTCCCCAAAGTCTTTATGGCCCTTTATTTGAGAAGAGAGCCGCACGAGGCCTCTCTCCGCCTCAAGACGCCTGACACAAAGAGATGAGAGTCCGCATTAGGGAGCTTCTACAAAAGCTAGGGAATTTTCTTTTGTGCATTTACTCTTTTATACAATATTGTCAGAAATATTAAAAATATACTAGGTATGTTTAATTACAAAAATGTGAATCAAGCACTGAAAGGGTTAAATGGATGCAATGAGTCAGCAAAAGGTATAGTTCAATATAAGCAGGTGTGCCTGTAGCTTAGTAGGCCTCAGCGTGAGAGAGGATTCAGTTTTAGTAGACCTCAGTATGGGGTAGGCCTCAGTGGGAGAGAGGCCTCCGTTTTATAGGCCTCAGTATGAGGTAGGCCTCAGTGGGCGAAAGGCTTCAGTGTGAGGTAGGCCTCAGTGGGAGAAAGGCTTCAGTAGGAGAAAGGCCTCAGTAGGAGAAAGGCCTCAGTGGGAGAGAGGCCTCAGTTTTATAGACCTCAGTATGAGGTAGGCCTCAGTGGGAGAAAGGCTTCAGTGTGAGGTAGGCCTCAGTGGGATAAAGGTCTCAGTATGTGGTAGGCCTCAGTGGGAGAAAGGCCTCAGTGGGAGTAGGCCTGGTGTGAGAAGCTTCAGTGAGAGAAGCCCCAGGTTGAAGGCTGCTATGTGTAAATCTACTGTGTGAAGCTCCTGTATAAGTTTAGTGTGAGAAGACGCTCTGTGAGAGTGAAGCTATTTACCTGCATGAGAAGGAAGCCCAATGTGGAAGCAAAGAAGGAAGTGTAAAGAACTTTATTTATGTTATGAAAACCTTGTTCTTGTAAATAGTGCAACCATATTATTTTAGTACAAAGAAAAGCCTCCTATGGAAGAGATAACATTTGTCTCTGTGTTTTGGTTCTTTTCCTTACTTTGTGCTCCTGGTTCTGGGTCACGATGCTGCTAATAAGTAACTCTGCTATACATTTATGGGGAGGGTCTTTTGTTAATAAGCCCACTCACCCAACAAATATGTATTACCTGCCCCAATAAGTTTTTACCTTTTTGGACCATCCCAAAGCCTCCTAGCTATGGGGCATTCTGCTCCGTTCTGCCAAATATTTCTACACCACCTTCAATCCAGGTGTTGGACAAGCCCAGATTTAAGTGAGCAAGCTGTGTGCAAGGTCTTTCCAATTGAGGTAAGGAGGAAGAGGGGGGCTCTACCTGGGCAGGCCCGGAGGAAACACGAGCGGCTGTCAAATTCATCCCGGTCGCACTGGCCCCCAGGAAGGGCGTTGCGCAGCAAATCCCTCCGGCGGAAGGTCACCCCCAGACCGCACGACCGGCTGCATTCGCTCCAAGCGTTCCAGGGGGACAGGAGGCAGTCCACTGCCGAGGAGGAAGAGGACAGCCTCAGTGTTGATTGCAACTGTGGCCCCAAAGGACACTGAAGAGGCACCCAACAACCACAGAGAAGCACACAAGTGTTGCCCATATGACATACCACAGTTGGCCTCATCGGACCCATCCAGACAGTCGTGCCGAAGGTCGCACCGTTGTTCCAGCGCCAGGCACTCCCCACTGCGGCAGGAGAACTGTTTGGGGGAGCAGGGGCTGGGGGGGCCCATCGGGAAAAGGGGGGCTGCAGTGGGGAGAGGGGCTGCAGTTGGACCCCCTGCAGGACAACACAGAAGAGGAGGGTCAATCCCTGTACTTGTTAAGACAGTGGCAGGGCTGTCCCAAGGCAGTGTGCTGCCTGAGACCAAAGGCAAGATGATGTTTCCCTCTTCCACTCTGTCCAAATGGCATCTGGAAGCTTCCATGTGAGTTGGATTCGTTACGTTTTAGACCAAACTTTCAAGGAACCGCCTAAGGCAATGATGTCAATACCCACACATTCTTTACATTTTAGACTAAAAGCAAATTTGCCACTGTTCAAGTTTTCTTTATTTCATATCAAAAGCATTGCATAAATTAGTATAGAACCGATAAAATAGAAGGAGCACAGGCTAAATATCTTTTGACCAAAAATGGGCAACAGCAATGGCATTGTCTGTAGCCTCCAACAATTCTTCCTCTGTGCATGAGGCAGGGCACAATGGACAAGCATACAGATGCGGGGTTGTCTGTTCTGCTCCACAGTCACCCAAGGTGTGGGATTCTTTTAGGTCATGCCATTTTGCCAGGTTGTCTTTTGATCTGCCACTCCACTTCTGAGTCTGTTCAGGGACTTCCAAGTTGCCCATTCTTGGTTTGCCCCAAGAGGAAGACCCTCGCGGGGGTTGTCATATTAGAATTTCCTGGTCTAGCTGCCCAGAGGGAGACCCTTGCTGTTGCTGGAGGGACATCAAGAAGAGTGGTAGTTCTCATAAAGCTTTTCCTTGATTTGAATCTACTGGGAGGAGGCTGGTAGCCATGTAGTGGGTGGCTTTCACAGTGTTCAACCTTATTTCTCTCACATTTAGCAGTAACTTCCCATTGCACATCAGGGGGGCAATGCCAGCTAGCTTGTAGAGCTTATCAACAGGTGTAGGGGACATGGAAAGAGCCTCCTCAAAGACTGAGTAAATACAGTCGGGCGTTCCCCAGGCAGTGTTTCTTGTAAATGGCTAATCTTTCCAAACACAAAAGCATTGTTTTTAAACATCTGAAATGTTTTAAACTGGAGGTGTGTCTTTTTTTCCTCCACGTATGGATGAACTGTTTAAGTTTAAGACTCAGAAGTGGAGTGGGCAAATCAAAAGACTACCTGGCAAAATGGCACAACTGTAAGACTGTAGGATCTATATAGCAATATTAAGTAACCACTCACAAGCTGGTTTTGCTTTGAAATGGATATATTGCTTGTATATCTTCAGCAAAGAAAGACACTACTGACTTTTTCACATCACCACTTCCTTATATACACCTTTCCTGCCCATCTCCCCCTCTTCTCAGTTTCCTTATTCAAGCTTGTTGGTTAACAAGTTCCAATACAAGGTTTTCTTCTGGCTTCAAAATGTCACAGAGAGAGAATTGATTCAGCCAGGATGATTCAGTCAAGATGTCACGGAGGGAATTTGTGATGTCTTCTTGCCGTCAGAAATTGACTCCTGACAACGACCTCAAAGAATCCTCCACCTTGTGTGACTGTGGAGCACAACAAACAACTCTGCACCTGCATGTTTGTCTACCATGTTCTACCTCATGTACAGTGAAAAATATTTGGAGGCTACAGACAATGTTTTGGTCAAAAATTATTTAGCCACTTGTGCTCCTTCTATTTTTATCGGTTTTATACTTATGTATGCAATGCTTTTCACACTAAATAAAAAATTAACCCCTTTGTTGATATGGCAATTAAGCAGCTCTACTGGCTCTGGTCAAACTGAGCTGGCAATCAAGTCTTTCTCGTGCCAACGCCGGCTATGGAAAACTCCTCCACTTCTCCTTAATGCCCAGAAGGCAATGGAAAAGATGGCGCCTGGAGAGGACTCACCGCAATGCATCTCATCCGATCCATCCAAACAGTCTTCTTGCCCATCGCACACAAAGGCAGCCTCTACGCAGCCAAAGACCTCACAGGCAAACTGCCCCTGAGTGCAAAGGATTCTGGGAAGGCCAGGGACAGAGGTCGGGGTTGGTCCTGGCAAAGGAAGACAACATTAGAGAAAGGATTCCCCAAAGTACAAGAGCAACCAAAAAGGATGTATATCATATATATGCTATAGTACTACAGCATTCGATGTACTAGCTGTTTTACAAAATATATTTAACAGAGATACACAATGCAAATCTCTAAACCAAAGAATTCCCTTATGGGGGATAAAAAACTGATTCCTACAGCAAAATGCACAAGTTTGTAAGTCAACCAGTTTCGACTATGTGGAGTCTTCCTCAGGTGATACAAGTAGAAATCCTTGAACAGTCAGTTTTGCAAAGTAGAGAGTTCTTCGAGTAGAGTCAAAATATAAACGTCAACAATGACGTGGACAATGTCAACAATGTCAACAATGACGTTAACAATGATGCGGACCTAAGTTCTCCTGCAAAGGAGCTCTGCTGTTAGTTTGATTCCATGGCAAGCCCTGTGGAATCAAAGTATTAGATTGACATGGGATCAAACTAACAGCAGAGCACCTTTGCAGGAGAACTTACATCCACGTCATTGTTGACATTTATATTTTGACTCTACATGAAGAACTCTCTACCGAGCATACTGGACCAGTGCCTGGCTGCTGTGATGAACTGGATGAGGATGAACAAGCTGAGGATCAATCCTGACAAGACAGAGGTCCTCCAGGTCAGTCGCCCATCTGATTGAGGTGTTGGGTGGCAACCTGTGCTGGACGGGGTTGCACGCCCCCTAAAGTCGTAGTTTGGGGGTTCTCCTAGACTCAGCGCTGATGCTTGAAGCATAGGTGTTGGTGGTGGCTGGGAGAGCCTTCGCACAATTAAAACTTGTGTGCCAACTGTGACCATACCTCGTGAAGTCTGACTTGACCATGGTGGTCCATGCCTTAGTTACCTCTAGACTGGACTATTGCAATGCACTCTACGTGGAGTTACCCTTGAAGACGGCCCGGAAATTACAACTTGTCCAACGATTGGCAGCAAGATTAATAACAGGAGCCTCTTACAGGGAGCAGTCAACCCCCCTGTTTAAGGAGCTCCATTGGCTGCCGTTCATCTTCCGGTCCCAATTCAAGCTACAGGTTCTTACCTATAAAGCCCTAAATGGTTTGGGACCTGCCTACCTTTGTGACCGTATCTCTCTCCATGAACGAGCCCAAACTCTTCGATCTTCGGAGAAGGCCCTCCTCTTGCCCTTGCCAGTCTCTCAGACTCGCCTTGTGGGTACAAGGGAGGGAGCCTTCTCCTCTGTGGCCCCCCGACTCTGGAACTCATTGCCCGGAGATATTAGGGAAGCCCCTACCTTAGAAACCTTTAAAAAGAATCTCAAGACCTGGCTCTGCCGTTGCGCTTTCGGGGAGTAGTCACATAATTTTATGCTATTGCTCCCTCAATGTTCTTGTCCCAGGAGTTCTCCCCACCCCACCCCCATGTATAAAGGTTTGTTGATTTCCCTGTCTTTCTATGAGTTCTCCCTTAATGACTATTCAAGGATTTCTACACTTGTATCAACTACCACCTGAGGAGGACTCCACATAGTCGAAACCGGTTGACTTACAAATTTGTGCATTTTGCTGTAGGAATTAGTTGTTTATCCCCCATAAGGGAATTTTTTGGTTTAGAGATTTGCATTGTTTCTCTCTGTTAAAAGGAAAACCGCATCCCTGGATTGCGGGGAAAATAACGGAAGAAATAACAACCCACTCTGCATGGCGGAGCAGAAGCCTTTCCAAGCCCCTGTTAGGAATTGTGGGAGTTGAACTCCAAAACACCTGGAGGGCCAAAGTTTGCCCATGCCTGCCTTCAAAGCATGTCTAGGCGACACACATGCACCCTCTCCCAGAGCTCAGCCCCTTTCTTAACTAGTAGTGTCAGTCACAGACCTGGTGTTCCTGGATGGAAAGGGAAAGTATGGAGCGCGGGGAGCCCCACGGTGCTTGGCGCAGAGCTCCAGAAGAAGCCCCGAGTCTCTGGAGGGACAGCAGAAGGGAGGGTCGTCTCAAAAGCTGGCGTCACCCCTGGCCTCCCAGTTGGTGCTCTAGGGCTCCATGACTTCGGTGTCTCTGTGCGCCTCAGAGGCAGAGAGGCTGGTTCTGGCACTTGGCTGGTGACAGTGGAAATCATCATGGTCACTGCAGAAGATGGAAACAGAAGGGATCGTGGGTCCAAATATCACTTGGGTGCATGTGGGGGAGGGGGAGCATGACTGCTGCTTATGGAGATGGCATGGCTCTGCTCTGGTTCCCCTCACTGTAAGTTCTTGACCCTATTCCTGTCAGGAAGGAGGACAGCCAAATCTAGAGCAGAGGTCCAGTAAACAAAGCCAGCTAGAATCTCACGCCCTTCTCCCAAATCACAGCCCAGGCCCCCAACTCACTCCAAGGGCAGCCGAGGACTTCCATGCGCAAGGAGATGCTCCCCTGGTACTTTGTGGGGATGAGGCGCAGGACGCGGGTCAAGATGGCTGGGCTCAGGTCCTGCCGGACTGGAGAGGAACTGTCAGAGTTGCCCTCGAGGACCTAAGGGATGGGAGAGAGAGTGCACCTTCATAGCCAGATCCAGAGAAGTAAAGGAACAAAGCTTGGAGAAGAGAAATGCTGTGATAGAGCCATCTTCACATATTAGAAGAAGAGTTCTCAAGCTTTAGATCTCTTCGATCTTCCAGAGAGGCCCTTCTCTTGCTCCCGCCCCCATCACAAACGTGACTTGTGGGGATGACGGAGAGGGCCTTCTTCGTGGTGGCCCCTCGACTCTGGAAGATGCTTCCTAGAGAGATTAGACAAGCTCCCACCCTAGCAGTCTTTAGGAAGAGCTTGAAAACTTGGCTGTTCCAGTGCTCCTTCAATGAATGAATGAACAATAATACCCTGACATGACCTACTTCTGGAAAAGCCCTCGGTAGCACTTTATTTTACCTGTTGTGCAATCTCACCCTACTCTATTTTTTCAGATCCCCTGTCCAGACACATTACACTGCTGTCTCCCCCAGTGTTTTTAAATTTTTAATCTATTGAAATTGGCCTGCCCGATATAAGCAATTTCTGTGTTTAAATGTTGTGATTTTATATTGTTGATGTGTTCTTAAAATGGTTTTGTATTTTATTTTATTTTTATATTTTTGCTTGTTCTGTTGTATATTGTCTTACTGTATTGCTGGGCTTGGCCTCATGTAAGCCACCCCGAGTGCCCTTGGAGAGATGGTGGTAGGGTATAAATAAAGATTATTATTATTATTATTATTATTATTATTATTATTATTATTATTATTATTCAATTTTGGAATACAGTGTTCATGGTCCGCTTTTCGTGGACTTTCTCTTTTATTTATTTATTTATTTATTTATTTAGCAATTTTGTATACCGGTCTTCTCCCCTCTATCGGTGGACTCGGGCCGGTTTCCAACAATAAAATCACAAAACAATCATTAAAAACATCATATAATATATTCAATTAAAATGTTACAAAATGCAATCACATAATAACAATGGTCAGTCGTCATAGTGAATTCGTTGTCCATCATTCATCGTCATCTATCCGATCACAGAAATATTGATTCACTCATCGAAAGCCAAACCCCATAGCCAGGTTTTCACCCGTTTTCTGAACGACAGAATGGAGGGGGCAGTTCTGATCTCCAGTGGGAGAGAGTTCCAGAGTCGAGGGGCCACCACCGAGAAGGCCCTGTCCCTCGTCCACACCAGACGCGCCTGAGAGGCCGGTGGGACCGAGAGCAGGGCCCCTCCAGACGATCTTAACAACCTTGATGGTTCATAGGGGAGAATCCGTTCGGACAGGTAAACTGGGCCGGAGTCGTTTAGGGATTTATAGGTCAACACCAGCACTTTGAATTGTGCTCGGAAGCTAATTGGCAGCCAGTGGAGCTGGCGCAACAGAGTAGTAGTATGCTCCCTGTACCCTGCTCGTGTGCATTCTGGCTGCCGCACGTTGGACTAGTTGGAGCTTCCGGGCAGTCTTCATAGGCAACCCCACATAGAGAGCGTCGCAGTAATCTAAATTGGATGTAACCAAAGCGTGGACCACCGTCGCCAAGTCAGACTTCCCAAGGTACGGGCGCAGCTGGCGCACAAGTTTTAATTATGCAAAAGCTCCCCTGACCACCGCTGAAACCTGGGACTCCAGGCTTTTGCGGGTTTTTGCTTCCTGGCAACAATGGAGTGTGGAAGGGGATTTCACCTTCCCCTCAGGAGAGAGGCAGCTAATAATTTTAAAAAGTGAGAGAGAAGATACAAAACAGTATGTAAATCATGGCCTTATAGCTCCTTCCTTATAGCTAGCACACAAAAAAAAGTGCGCAGTGCCTTTATTTATTATTTATTTATTTATTTCTTGCACTTATTGACCGCCACTCTCAGCCCTAGGGGCGACTCGTGGCGGTGAACAACAACATATAAAGGCAATGTACAAAAATCACGACAATACACACCAAAACTACTACTACACATATACTTATACTAAAAATCCGCTTCGTCTAATCCTTTAAATCTCTCCTCTCTTCTGCCTCACCCTCTGAATGTTTGTGTGTGTGTGTGTGTGTGTGTAATCCCAACTTAGCAGATTTTCACTTATTGCAGGTGGTCCTGGAACGTAACACCCGCGATAAGTGAGGAAACACTGTACCTTAATATATATATGAAACATAATGGGGCATCTTGGAGACAGGACCTCGGGCCCAAAGGTAAATATAAAATCCATTTATATTTCATATGGCAATAGCCTAAAGGTAATTTTATATATTGTGATTTCAATAATTTTGTGCAAGTTTTGTGTGCACTGAATCATCAGAGGGCAAAGGTGTCATTCAGCCGCTGGTGGTGAAAATGATCACGGCCACTGCAGAAAATGAGAACAGAAGACATAATGTGTCTAGACTCCATATAGGTCAGGAAATTTGGATTTTGGCATATTCTGGATTTCGGAATTCCAGATAAGAGATACTCGACCAATTCTGTTTTGTTTCCAAGCTCAGGCCGGGCTTTAGCTCTGACGTCCCTTCAAGGGAGTGGTCAGATGCATATGGTCAGATGCATGTGGTCTCTTCCAACTGGTCAGATGCATGTGGTCTCTTCCAACTGGTCAGATGCATGTGGTCTCTTCCAACTCTCCCATTCTATGATTTTTCTATCTCTATGGGGTTCTATGACTCTATACCTGTTCCCAGGAGGACTCTGCCTGGCCAAAGCCAGCCCTGGAGTAGCTCTGGAAGTGGAGGCCATCATAGCTGTAGGCCAAGCGGAAGTGGGAGATGTGTCCCTGGGGGGAGCCCTGGGTGACGACCGCAGTGACAAAGGTGGGCCGGAGGAAGTCAACCTGGAAGAAGGGCTCCGGGTCTGATGCTTGAGGGATCCATCCAGGCTCCAGGTTCTGCCTGGGAGGGAAGGGAGGAGAAGTAAGATTGGCCTCATTCACACTGGGAGTAGAAAGAATGCTCAAACTAATCCTGGAAAAGTGGTCAAAAATGGTTGGGCGAAATCACAAGCATATGGAGCAGAGGAGGATTAGATGAAGAGAAGCTACTACCAGACAGCTGACTGGATAGTATAAATACACTCAGGCCTTGTTAGATCACATTAGCTCATTTAACAACTTTGGCCATACAATCTCTTCATGTTGTTTTGATATATTAATTCAGATGTTTTATGTTTAAGTTCTATTCGTTCATTCGTTCAGTCATCTCCGACTCTTCGTGACCTCATGGACCAGCCCACGCCAGAGCTCCCTGTCGGCCGTCACCACCCCCAGCTCCTTCAAGGTCTAAGTTCTATACTAGTTATAATTTTCAACTGATTGTGTTTTATTTAAATTATAGTTGTTATGCTGAAGTTGCTCTTTATGTGGGGTTATCTTGGGTTTATTTGTATTTATTTATTATTATACACAGTATTTCTATTCCGCCCTTCTCCCCCCGCAGGGGACTCAGGGCGGATTACAATGTACACATATATGGCAAACATTCAATGCCAAAGACACACAACACATATAGACAGACAGTCAGAGGCTATTTAACTTTTTTTTTCTGGCCGCCAGGGGAGCTGTCGCTTTCATTGTCCATCTGTGACACTGATGAAGTACTTCCACATTCCCCGCATGCTTTGCTGGAGTGCTTTGCTGGAGTCTTTTTTATGGCCTCGTAAATTAGTTAAATTAGCCTCCCAACACATACCTAATTTTCCTACTTGGAAGATGCAACTGTCTTTCAGGTTGCAAAGGTTGACAACAAGCTACACAATTGGTCAGACACTCACTCCAACCCAGGCTGGCTTCGAACTCATGCCCTTGTGGTCAGAAGTGATCTTAATGCAGCTGATACTCAGACAGCTGCGCCACAATCCCGGTGCATTTATTGTATTTACTACAAAGTAAAGACTTTCTGGATATATTTCAGATTTCAATACTAATGTCAAAAATACGTAGTATGATTTTACATAGGTTTTGTGCTATATTAGAACAGTAAAGACAAATATCACTTAAGTAAAATAAACATTAAATATTAAATAACCTGAAAAATAAAATAAGGTTATTGGGACATTGAATGTTTGCCTTTTTGTTTGTTATTATTCTCCTGGGCTGATGATGATCCTTGCAGTTTAGGACTTATTTTGTGCCAAAGTTGCACATGGAAGTTTTGCACAGAAATATTCTGCACAAAAAAAATAATATTTCTGTACAGAATGAGAAAGAAAACAAAAGATTACAAAGATTTGTCGCTGGACGAGTCATGTTCATGAAAAATCTGTTTGCACTACGGGGAAAATGAGAATAAATAAATATATGAATTATAGAGATTGTGTTTTGTAATGAAATGGAATAGAAATGTAATAAAAATTTAAATAAAAGGAAAAATCTATTTGCATAGAAACATTGCTGGTGATGGGAGATGTAGTGACTCTGTCACTCATTGTGAAGTTCCTTTCTAGCTCTTTGCTCCAATCCTTAAATCAGTTTGCCCTCAGAAAATCCCCTTGCATCCTTCTTCACACAATGACTCACTCTGCATTGGGCCCAACGTTGAGGCGTCCGGCCTCCGGTGGGTTTCCCTCCTGGAAGGAGGAGGCACTCAGCTGCTGGCGATGAAGACGGCCATCTCCCAGACCGAGGGGTTCATGGCACAGACCTGGAGAAAATTCCAAAGATTGAGGCAGGTCTGTGGCTCTGTCTCCATTTCTGGGAAAAGGTGGGCTGTATCCTCTGGGTGAACCAGGAAAAGGTGGGAAGTACCTGGTGGGGTGGGGCTGAAGCCCTCAGGAAACGGCCATCCACTTGAGGTCACCTGGAAGGAAGGAGGAAAAGAGTCTATGTCACGCTCCCTAGGCTTGTCATGATGACATATGTTATACGGTTTGAATGGAATTGTATGAAAGGAATTAATGAATATGTCATATGTTCTGCAGTTGATGGTTGGTGATGGAAGGGTTAATGAGAGTATTAATTCTAGAGGGTTTGGTAATCTGTAAGTGGGAGTTCATGGGTGAGAACAATTAGGGGTGGAGGTGTGCAGGAGATGGGTTGCAGCTGGGTGTTTCTGGATTTAAGGAGCTAACCTTGAGACTGATCTTTGGGGGAAAAGTATTCTGTCACGTTGCCAGGGCTCTGCCTTATTTAGGTAGAGATGAATCCAACTCCCAGTTTTAACAAACAGTTTAATTAAAACAGCACTTACTTGCTGGATGTTTTTATAGTCCAAAATATAAAACACAAAGATAGCACTCAGCTACAGAATAAATAAAAACTGATAGCAAAAATAACTTCGTAGTCAAAAGGGTCGAGTCCAGTGGTCAAACGTCGAGAGTTCAGTAACAGAGTCCAGGATCAAGGGTCTATACTTTAGTCAAAAGCCAGTACAAAGGTTCAAAGTTCCAGGGTTCCAAGATTACAGGAGACAGGTCAGGACACTGAAAATCCAACAGACCTGGGGGGAAAACCAGCAGCATCCACCACCAAAATGCAACAGATACTTTTCTCCCAAAGATCAGTCTCAAGGTTAGCTCCTTAAATCCAGTAACACCCAGCTGCAACCCATCTCCGGCACACCTCCACCCCTAATTGCTTTCACCCATGAACTCCCACTTACAGATCACCAAACCCTCTAGAACTAATACTCACATTAACCCTTCCATCACCAACCATCAACTGCAGAACATATGACAGAATGAGAGCTAATAATTTTGAAGACACCATTCCTGGAAAACAACTACACTCATGAAGTGTAATTAAAAGTTGCTGAACTGCTGACATTGATAAGAACTGTGACAGTGATTAACTGTTGCCATTGCTGATTTGATTAACTTCGGGAGGAAAAACAATGTGTGAAGTTAAGGAAATGTTTACATGTTAAGAAGGAAGTCAACTCAAGGCTGCTTGCGTTTGCTAACACCAATCAAGAAGAGTCAACATCTGCCAGGAAACTGAGATGGTATCAACATGGTTCCAGCTGGCCAAACAATATTTCAGTAATATACAATTTTGGGATGACATCAGCAGAAATAATGCTATATAAAAGACCTTATTTCAATCCAAATATTGTGGCAGACCAGAGTACTCTGGCTCACCCTCTATGCTCTGTTCCATTAGGAAGGAGAGAGAGTGTGTTCCTTGGGAGTTGCAGATTTGCAATGGAACACAATCCGGTCACTTTTCTCAAGAGAAGAGGAAGGAGTGCATTTTGGAGTCATGTTCTTAGGGAAAGAGGAGGCGTTTTGGTGTTTTAGAAGTAGTTTAGAAGTTTTGGAACTATGTGTTGGCAGATTTGCAAGGAAGCAGTCTGGCCTAAGAAATGTTCTTCACGGAGGAAAAATGGTGAAATGGTGATGTATGCATGATGAGGAGTGAATGTTTATATGTGCGTGAATGCTGAGTAAAAATATAATTCCCCTTTTTGTCTGTTTATTAGCCAGTGTAACTGTAGATTTGTGAATCCAATGCAGTTACATAGAATCTGTATGTTCTGATACCCTTTCTCTTGCTGGAAAATTGCAATAAAAAGAACCTATGCTTTAAAGTTATGGAAAAGTTATTCATAACAGGGCTATGCTGTGGCACCAGGTGGCTTCCGTCCCAGTAGGGCAGTGAATCTGCTCTATGTTTAGGTGTGAACTTTGAAGAAGGTCTTCAAGCTCCTGGGTCCAACCCTTCAAAATAGATTCAGTACCTTGAATAGCTCCTTCAAAGTGAAGAGGAAAGCAGGAAGTCGCCATGTATGAGTTTGGCTCCTTCCGTAATATGGCTCCTCCAAATAACTGGCTCATCCAAAAGAACCCACCCAGGGAGCCAGTCTCTCCGGCAGTATTGCCACATGCCAAGGCCTTCCATTGCTGCCCCACTGATGGGAGAGGGCTCTGCCTACCTGGCTCAAGGGGCGCTCTGAAGGCTCCTCTGGATACGGCTTCCCTGAGGTCCTGGGGCTGGAAAAACAGCAGCAAAGGACTGAGCAAAACTAGGGTAAACAGTCTAAAAGGAGCATAAGTCATAGGGTTCAATAGGGGGAAAAGCTCTCGGTTTCGTTCCACTGAGAGACCACACGAAGCTGGGATTTCAGAGTAGAACTAAGGGTGCATCTACATGGTGGGATGAATGCAGTTTAGCTGCCAGGCTCAGTGTGATGGGATCACGAGAGTTAGCGAGACACCAGCTCTTTGGCAGAGAAAGCTAAAGACCTTGTAAAACTACAACTCCCACGATTCCGTAGCATTTATTTGTTTATCGTGTCAGGGGCAGACCAAACAGTTGCATTGCATTTTTTAAACAAACAAAACACAAAGTTTGCGGGCTTGGTAGTTGATTAAATGTCCTTTGACCAGTAGCTGGCCACTTGGAGTGCCTCTGGTGTCCATGGCATTGAGTCTGGGCAGTTAAGATGGTGTCAAACCGCATTAATGTCACAGTGCAGATGCAGAGTCTGGGTCACAGCGGTGGAAAAGTACAAGAACTAGAAGCTTTGCATCTCAGTCACAGAGATAAAGGTGGGATACGAATCCAAAACAACAACATAACAAGAAATTCCTTGTTCAAAAAGTAGACTCTCATGCTCATGGGCCCAGAACAGAAATAATTTCCAAGGACCTCTTTCCCCCAAAAGCCTGACTCTGTTCCTCATAGGAAAGGAAAACTGGGCCTGGGAATGAGCCTGGTCTCTACTTCCCAAATAAACAGTCTAGTCCTCAAGAGAAAAGAAAGTAAAATCGTGTTCAATCCAAATGGTGCCTCCCAAAGGCAGACCTCTGGAAAGGCATCCCAACGCCTATGAAGGGCCCCTGGAAATACCCTTCCAAATCTTACCGGAGGGTTCCGGTTGGAGGGACGGGGCAGTCGGCCTCATCGGAGGCAGAGGGGCAGTCGGCAGCTCCATCGCACCTCTGGGATGCCTCAATGCAGAAGCCGGAAAAGGCGCAGGGGAACTGGGAGGCCAAGCAGCCGCTGGGGGCCACGGAGGGCCCTGGGGAAGGGGCCAGGCCTGCCAAGGAGACACGGAAGAGGCCGCTAAGGAAGCGCTGTTGGCCAGCAAAGGCTCTTTCCCCTCTCCCAACAGCGGAGGAGTCAATGTCCTGCACAAGACTATGCATTTGCAAGTTTGCTTATTTGTGGATTTGATCAATTCAGTCTTCTCTGGAAATCTCTGGGTCCTCCAGGACAAAATCAGAAGTTGGAGAACCTATAGATTCCTAGAGATGCACAGCCTGTCGGCCACATGCACCCCCTCAGCTTCATTTTTCCTGAAGCCCCCAGTCAACCCCAAATCCCCCCAAGAGATGCCCCACCATTGTTTTCTAAGATTTTTCAGAGCAATTTGGGAGATATCCGTTCTCTGAAAATTTTCACCAAAACTTCCAAATGATCTACAAATGTAGATAGTGATGCAGCATTACATAATTTCTGGGAGAGTGTGAGGGAACTGTTTCCCACCCACCACTCAGTGACCTCTTCCACTCAGTGACTCACCGCAGCGCCACTCATCCGAGAGGTCCCCACAGTCGTCCACTCCATTGCAGATGGTGCCGTTGGGGCCGGCCAGGACGCACCGCCCATTCTGGCACTGGAACTCCCGACTCCGGCAAGTCCTCCATCCTGGAGGAGACGCTGGGACTTCAGGGTGCTCGGGGGACACTAGGGGAGGTAGGTGAGGAGGTGAAGAAATGGGCCAAGGGTTACAAGGGCCGGGCTTTAGCACAGCCGGTTGAACCGCCAGCTGCAGAAAATCTTGCCCATCAAAAGGTCGACAGTTCAAGCCTAGATTGGGGTGAGCTCCCACATGTCAGCCCAGCTTCTGCTCATCTAGCAATTCAAAAACAGCAATATGAGTAGATAAATAGGTACCACTTTGGTGGGGAGGTAATAAAAGATGCCCATGTGGACATGCCAGTGATTCGATCGGGAGGTTGTCTAAAGACAACAAAGCTCCTCGGCATGGAAGATGGAGTGACAGCCCCCCGTCCCCGTCCCATGTGGCCAGAGTCAAGCACAGCCTCTAGATGCCGGAGATGGAAAAAGATGGGAAGCCTTTACCTCTGTTTATGTACTGGCTGTCTTTTGTTAATTGTATAACAGCATTGAATGTTCGCTGTATATTTACACTGTAATCCGCCCTGAGTTGCCTCGGGGAGATAGGGCGGAATATAAATAAACATTATTATTATTATTATTATTATTATTATTACAAGGGGGGAGCCAAAGGAAGCTCTGGCGGACCTGTTACATCAGCTACCATTTAACAGCACATACTAGAGCTTTGGAAAAACTACCATTTTTACTCAAGTCTAAAATTCACCTTTTTTGGCTACATTGCATTGCTAAAATTGAGGTACGCAAGAGATAGGATGGCACATTAAAATCCTGCATCTAACCTGGCTGTGGTGTCGGGCAAGAGAAGGAGAGGAAGTGGTGGCCTAACAACTACAAACCCCTTCTCCCACTCCAGCTTGCCCTCCCCTTCCTCCATGACTCGGTGGTGTTGTAGCTCAGCAACCATCACAGCAACCAAGAGTTGTGGCTGATGGGTTCACTGATGGGGTTGTGGGCTTTCCTGGGATTTATTCAGATACAGACCAGGAAAGTACAGGCCAGGAAAGTGAAACCATTTCAGATAGAGAGGCAGTCCCACCAGCAGAGCCTGAGAATCTAATTTTCTCTGAACCTCTAAACCAGTAAGAATCATCCACCCTAGATAAACAGTCCAGAGGAGATGAATTTATGAAGGACCTTCATGGGAAAGAAACTGGTGGTTCTGACCGAAGCAAGGAAGCATGCTTGCAGATTAGACCAGATGGTCAGCTTCGTAGAGCAACACAGCAATGTGAGAAACAGAAATTCCAGGGCAGACAGAATGTTTTCATGTCTCCATATTAGGAGCTATGGTTTCTCTTTGACTTCAGTTCAGGCAACATGGCATTTAAGTTAACAGCTAGGCCTGGCTCTCTCGTTCAAGTATTGCTTTTGGATCTAAGTATTTCATGTTCTTCTTTTGTATTTCTGCTCAAGTTTTGTTCATGGTTTTCAATCTAAGTATTTTATCTTCTTCATTCTTGCTCAAGTTTTGCTTATGAACTTAAGCTGCCTTGGTGTTCTGGGACTATTTTTGGACTATTTTACCCTTGGATTCACAAGAGACCATAGATTGCCAATTATCTGGATTATACACCCAATTTTCTTATTTTTGGATTTTTCCCTATATATATCTTTTGTGTGTTTTACAATAAACAGCTTGCTTCTATCCTGGTCTCCTGGGTGATGTTGTGGTCATAGGTGGCTTCAGGTGTGAGGTGCGACAGGTGGGCTAATTATACACACTAGAGCCACACCTTTCCCGCAGCCCAGCAGCTCCATGCGTAAGAAGATCCCGTTGTGGAAGTCACGGGGCAGGAGGCGGACGTGCTGGGCTTGCACCATGTGATGGAAGGTTCGCACCACTGGGGTCGAGTCATCCAAGTTCCCCTGGAAGAGCTGAAAAGGAGGAAAGAGGGGAAAGGGAGAGCACAGAATGGTCACAGAAGGGCAAGGGCGTGGGACCAGGCGTGGGAAAACTTGGGCCCTCCAGGTGTTTTGGACTTCAACTCCCACAATTCCTAACAGCCGGAGTTGAAGTCCAAAGCACCTGGAGGGCTGAAGTTTGCCCATGCCTTGTCTATACTGCCACATAATTCAGTTCAAAGAAGATCATCTGGATTCTATGGCAGTGTAGCTGGGGCCTGACACAAGTGAACCCTTCCATTGCAATACACTCAACTGGATAAATTAATTAATTAATTAATTAATTAATTACCACACTTTTGTCCCACCCTTTTCAGCCCAAAGGTGACTCAGGGCAGTGTACAGAATGGCAACAATTAGATGCCAAACACATATAAATACATCATTTAAAACAGGTTAAATCACATAATAAAATGCATATAAAACAATTTAAAACTATTAAAATCAATGACTTCTGGGTTTAAATCCATGTCCATTTGCATCATAAAGCCATTCCATATTCTTGAAGGCTTTCGTGGCCGGAACCACTGGGTTGTTGTAGGTTTTTTCGGGCTATATGGCCATGGTCTAGAGGCATTCTCTCCTGACATTTCGCCTGCATCTATGGCAAGCATCCTCAGAGGTAGTGAGGTCTGTTGGAACTAGAAAAAGGGGTTTATATATCTGTGGAATGTCCAGGGTGGGACAAAGGACTCTTGTCTGCTGGAGCTAATCACCTCTCTAATCTCAACAAAAGTTTGCTCCAGGCTCTGTCAGACCATTATATGCTAATCAAGGTGGTCAGTTGAAACATTCACACCTAGCTCCAGCAGACAAGAGTTCTTTGTCCCACCCTGGTCATTCCACAGATATATAAACCCATTTTCCTAGTTCCAACAGACCTCACTACCTCTGAGGATGCTTGCCATAGATGCAGGCGAAACGTCAGGAGAGAATGCCTCTAGAACATGGCCATATAGCCCGAAAAAACCTACAACAACCCGTTCCATATTCGTTCACAATACTGAGTCTATCTGGTTACAATAAGGTTCCATAAGCTTGCTCGAAGAGCCAGGTTTTTACTCTTTTCCTAAAGGTCAGGAGGGAGGGGACCAATCTAATATCCCCAGGAAGGGATATCCACAGCCGAGGTGCCACCACTGAGAAGGCCCTGTCACTTGTCCCCGCCAAGCATGCCTGTGAGGCAGGTGGGATCGAGAGCAGGGTCTCCCCAGATGATCTTAAATTCCTGGAAGGTTCGTAAGGGGAGAAGGAAGAGGCTCTGGTCAGGAAATGAGAAGATGAAATCAGAAGGATTCCCAGATTCTCAAAGCACGTCAGGGAGTCATTCCTCCCAGCAGGAGCATCTGAGATGGTCTTCATGGAGAGCACAGGCTCTGCCCCACCATCAGCCTTAATAGCCACTGGTCCCTAGCCTCCTATTCTCTCTCCAGGGCCTGATCTCTTGCACATCTTCCATGCCAGGTGAGGGCCTTACCTTTGGCTCAGGTGTGGCACTTGTGGAGGAGGCTTCCTGGTAGTCATGCCACCCCACACCATCCAGGCTGAACTGCAGGAAGAAGCTGGAGACGAAGGCATCCGAGGATCCCGCCCCCTGTGTCACCACCCCTGAGGATGGGCAGAACACAAATGTCCAGCACAACATACAAATAAAACAACATATATTTTCTGGCACTGGATCCCACAGATGCCGTGTGGAATCCTCTTCTTCCTTTCAGATCCCTGGACCAAGGGGAGATTTCAGGAAAACCCAGTAGCACTTGTGGAGAGGGGGAATAAAATTTGATATTACACAATGTAAAACAATTTTTGTTCCTGGGTAATAAATATCATTTCCAAATTGGTTCTATCATAAAAACATGGGAAAGGTTTATTAAACTGTAGCACAGGTGTTTGTGGGAGGGACATCCTGCTCTAGCACATTTTGATCTTGTTTTTCAGTGGATTCAACCAAGTTTGTGGCAGCCACAAAAATGAAGTTTCTGGAGTGGAACAACGCACAATTAAACAGGAAATAACACGTTCAAACCAGAAACAGATTTTTTTAAATCTTGTTAACATAGTTTTATTGATATCTCACTTTATCCATAGAACTCACTTTATCCATAGAATCCAGGTATTCCTGGATGACTTGTTTCCCCATTTGGGGTTGGATTTCCCCTAATCCCTCATCTAATCCATCTTGCTGAGGTTGAGGACAGCTTTCTTTCTATGAGAAGACTGAGGTAAAGAAGGCACTGAGTAGTTCTGCCTCTGCCCTATCAGCATTGCCCCACCTTCTCCTTGCAGAGGCCCTATTGCCTCCTTGTTCTTCCTTTTTCTACTGACATAAGCAAAGAAGCTCTTTTTATTGTTTTTCACGTCCCTGGCAAGCTTGAGCTCATTTTGCGCTTTAGCCTTGCATACCTTTTCCCAACAAGAGTTGGCTATTTGTTTGAATTCTTCTTTGGTGATTTCTCCCCTTTTCCACTTCTTGCACATGTCTCTTTTGAGTCTTAGCACAGTTAGACGTTCTTTGGACATCCATTCTGGCTTCTTTGCCCTTGTCTGATTATTTTCTTTTTGGTGGCACTGTTCGCAATTGCGCCTTGAGTATTTCACTCTTGACAAACTCCCATCCATCCTGAACTCCCTTGTCTTTTAGTATCTGTGTCCACAGAATGCCACTCAGTATTTTCTTCATTTTTTGGAAGTGAGCTCTCCTAAAGTCTAGAATGTGAGTTTGACTTGTCTAAATTTCACCCTCCCTTCGTATCGCAAACTGCAGGAGCACATGGTCACTTGCCCCTAAGGATCAGACCATATTGACTGCATTGATCAGGTCCTCCACATTTATTAGGATGAGATCGAGAGTAGCCGCTCCCCTTATTGCCTCTTCTACCTTTTGGACTAGCTATTTAAAAATCCAGTACTCGAGTCTATCTATTTCTTTCTCTAAAAGTGCCTGATGCCCTCTGTCACACAGAAAACAGATAAAAGAACATTTATAAGGTTCAAAAAGTATTCATAACATGGCCACTTACCTGTCAGGTTCCAGGGCTCCCCTAGGTCCACCTCCAGGAAGGGTGGCCGGGAGAGGAGCTCAGGGTAGGCCTCTGCCCGCGGACCCCATCCCTGCAAGTCGGCGCTGGGCAGGACACCATTGAGGCGTGCTGCATGAGCTGGGTTTTCCGGCTGCTCTGAGGACGCACTGAAGCTGGCGTCCGGCAGGGAGGCGATGCCCAGGGGGCTGTAGCAGAGGTCTGTGGTGGAGACAGAATTGGAAAGTCGGGATGACTCTGCCTTTGTGTATGCAGCACACCACACATCCAAGTTTGCGAGAGTCATTAAGACATAAAAACTAAAACATTAATAAGCATTACAATGTACACCTGAAAAGCAAATTATGAGAAATTACATTTAAAATGGCTAACAGTTTTTTCAATTTACTTTTTTTCCATTGGCATGCCTTTGTTTATTTTCAACTTTCAAGGTATTTTCAGCTAATCATTCTGGATTTGTTTAAATCACTGTTGTTGTTGTTGTTGTTGTTGTTGTTGTTAAAAGTAATAATAAAAATCAGGAATTGTTCTAATCTATTTGTATCAGTTTTATTTTAAGCCCTCCTGAGATCCTATAATATAGGGCAAGGCATCAAATAGTAAACAAAGCACCAAATCACTATAAGGGAAGATTAATTCTGCTCTTGAAAAAGGCTCCCCACGGAGAATTGGAAAGAAACATATTAAATGCTCCCTGGAAGCCATTGTCGGGCTCCATAGGCCACACGCGGCTGTGGGGGTCCTATTGCCCACCCTGGATGATAGAAACAGAGGTCTGATGGGTGGGGACTCACCTCCCAGCGGGGGCAGAGGGAAGGTGCTGAGGTGGGCTGTGGTGAAGGTGGCCACTGGACTCACTCCAGAGGGTCGTGAAGGTCCGACTGTAGTGGTAGTGACCGTTCGTTCCTCATCTGAACAGAAAGGAAACAAGAGGCCAGGTGAGACCCAGAGTCCACGAGATGGTCTAACAAAGAAGACAACACTTGAGCAGCTCCGGGTATAAGACGAAGCATTATTTCGTTTTCTCTCTACCTGACAGTATGTTTCTTTCATATCACTCTCCACTGATTTAAAAATGAAGGGTATGGTTTTCCCATGGGTTTAAATCAAGCACAGGCAAACTTCCACCTTCCAGATGTTTTGGACTTCAACTCCCACAATTTTATGTTTTTTATGAAGGGCATTCATTTCCATATACGCGGATTGTTTTCCTATCTGGCTCAGAAGGAAAAACTATCCTCAAGGAGGGTCAAAGAGAATTCAGTCAACTTATGGACTCACCGGCCTCCCTGCAGAAGCAGCAGTTGTCTCCCCAGCCCTCCACCAGGACCCGTCCCTGCAGCAAAGAGTGGAGAGTCAGGCTGGGAGTCTGTACATACTCCGAGGGACCCACTTTGTGGATCCCCAAGGGTCGGGGAAGGCTTTGCGCTCACCTCGGGGCAGGGAACCGTGCTGTAAGGGCAGTATTGGGAGCACTGCACCGTCCGGTTGGGGAGGCACTGGCACACCTGGCATTGCCCTGAGCGCCAGCGGTCGCCCATGGCGTGGGTTCGGCCATGGTGCTCACACTCCTCACATGGCTCCGTCTGGCACCTAAGTGTGGGAGCATGCAAGGCATCAGTTAATGTGTGTGTGTCAACTGCGGCAGGCTAGATGGCTGGGCCCTTCCCTGTCCAGGGACGACCTAGCTACGGTGATCCAGGCTACGGTCATCTCAAGACTCGACTACTGTAATGCCCTCAACATTGGCCTTCCTCTGTCGGTGATCTGGAAGCTCAAGTTGGTACAAAATGCAGCTGCTCGGCTTCTTGCGGGAATTCCGATGAGATGCCGGATCACCCCAATCTGACTGCAGTTGCATTGGTTACCAATTGAGCACTTGATCACTTTCAAAGTGATGGTACTCATCATTAAGGCCTTGCATGGTCTGGGGCTGATGTACCTGAGGGACCGCCTCACCCCCTCCCAACCCCAGAGAACCCTCCGTTCTGAGGATCAAGATCTATTGGAAATTCCCAGTGTCAAGACCTTGTGTCTAACAGCAACCAGGTGCAGAGCCTTCACAGCAGTGGCACCATCACTCTGGAGCACTCTGCCACCTGAAAGTCCGTGCCTTGCGGGACTTCCCAGCTTTCTGCAGGGCATGTAAGACATACCTGTTTCGACAGGCCTTTGACTTTTGATATTGTTGATATTGATATTGCTGTTTTAAAATTGTTTTAAATTGTTTTTAAATTGTATTAGATTTTAGCCTGTTCTTGTAAGCCGCTCCGAGCCCCAGGGGAGTGGCAGCATAGAAGTTCGAATAATAAATAAATAAACAAACTGTAAAATAAGATGCATGAAGCTGATTGATCAGGCAATGGTTGGGGAGCAGGCTGAGCCTGGGACGTTTTATTACTGTTACATTTTTGTTCAGGCTTGAGCTATGCAGGTGCAGAGTGAAGAAGAAAGAAGCAGAGAGAGACCGATTTTGGAGTGTGCTCTTGCTTCACAAGCTGCTGAAGGAGTTTATCCACAGGGAAGGAGTTTATCCATTTTAAATATCCCATAAAAGGACATTATGTGAGTCGATGCAACTGATCACATGACTGTAAATATGTTGTTCCAAATTATGAAGAGTTCTTTACTATTCGCCTATGTGGAATATTTTCTTTCTCTGGCAAGGCAGTGTTTGGGCTGATCAAACGTGAACTACATGTGATTTATTTTACATTATGCCACACTGAGGAGTCAGGAGGGACAAATGGGACAAATGAGACAAATGAGAATCCCACAAACAGAGGAGAAAGAGGATGTAGGGCACACATATGCAAACTTCGGCCCTCCCTCCAGGTTGTTTGGACTTCAACTTCCAAAATTCCTAACAGCCAGTGGGAGTTGAAGTCCAAAACACCTGGGGGGAGGGCCGAAGTTTGCCCATGCCTGATGTATTTATTTACTTTATTTATATACCGCTTTTCTCAGCCCTCAGGCGACTCAGGAAAACAATTAATTGCATACAGGATTTTTACCTAAGTGGCAATATTAGGAGTGTTGGAAACAGTCTAGAATACTAAGAGGCCCAAAATGAAATGCAGCTAGCCTTGATATTTTTGGATGCTGAGAAAGCATTTGACAACATATAATGGCCATTCATGTTGACAGTCATGGAGAATATCATCGGTTCTGCGCCAAATTTTAAAGGATGGATTAATAAGATCTGTGACTAACAAAGTGCTCAAATCCTGATCAACAGAGACTGGAAAAGATGATGTTAGTGCAGAAAGCAAGTAGACAAGAATGACATCTTTCCCCATTGTTGTTTCTAATGGTGATAGAAGTATTAAATAAAGCAATGAAATCCAATAACTCATTACAAAAGAATAATGTCACATTTGGTGCTAGTCTGGAAATGCTCTTTCTTTGAACTACCAGTGGGATTCTGGGAGCTGTAGTCCAAACAAAAGAGAAACTTTCCCCACCTCCCCTCAGAGCAATGTTCTCAGCTTCTCCATTCAAGCCATTTCCCAGATTCTGTAATGAGCATAGAATTACCAGATGTCTTATTTCATGTCCTGAAAAGGCCTGACCATTTCTGACTGATTCTGGATGGGACGGAGACTCCCCACAAACCCTCCCCATGCTCTCCTCCCATTTGTGCCCCCTCTGGACCCACCTCCGGGCCTTACGGTAGATGCCGCGGCACTGGCGCCCGTTCCCGTGTTTGCTGGGGTTGTTGGGGCTACGGAAAGACCACTGGATGCTCTGCACCCCGCAGGGGCCCAGGCAGTCCCCCCAGGGAGACCAGGAGGACCAGCCACAATTCACTGGGGACACAGGGAGAAAGAACAGGCAGCATCAGTGGCCTCCTCAGAATAGCCTCAGAAGCTCATGAGGACAGCGCGAGAAGCAGAAAGCCCAGCTGCCCCACCTGTGCACTCGGGGTTCTGCCGGCAGCGCTTCATCTGCCCCTCCTGGCAAGTGCAGATCCGGCAGTTGACCTTGACCAGCTGGCCGGGCCAGTATCGGACTCCCTCCACCTGGCAGGGACACTCCCGAGGGCGAACACACTGCTGTTCCGCATTCAAGACCAGCCCCTCAGGACACCAGCAGCCTGATGGAGAGGGAGAGAGACAGTGCATCACCAAGGTAGCCGACTTTTCTCTATCTCTGTGTTACCAGATAATAAAACTTCATCTTCCTCTGTCACTGTGCTCCCAAGAAACACAAAATTTGTTCACTGAAATATTCATAAGTATCAGGCATGGGCAAATTTGGGCCCTCCAGGTGTTTTGGACTTCAATTGTGGGAGCTGGAGTCCAAAACACCTGGATAGAAGGCTGAAGTTGGCCCACACCTGATGTATATGAAGGTGGTTTAACTTTACAATGAGTTCAGTTCGACCAATTAAAAACAATAGAACAGACAGAATGGATACAATGTATTGTCAAAGGCTTTCATGGCCGGAATCCATGGGTTGTTGTAGGTTTTTCCGGGCTATATGGCCATGTTCTGGAGGCAATTTTTCTCCTGACGTTTCGCCTGCATCTATGGCAGGCATCCTCAGAGGTAATGAGGTCTGTTGGAACTAGGAAAAATTAGGTTTATATATCTGTGGAATGACCAGGGTTAGACAAAGGACTTTTGTTTGCTGGGGCTAGCTGCGGATGTTTCAGCTGATCACCTTGATTTGCATTCAATGGCTTCGTAGCGCCTGGGGGGAATCTTTTGTTGAGGGTGATTTCATGTGCCTGGTTGTTTCCCCTCTGTTGTTTTTCTGCTGTAATTTTTGAGTTTTTTAATACTGGTAGCCAGATTTTGTTCATTTTCATGGTTTCTGTTGAAATTGTCCACATGCTTGTGGATTTCAATGGCTTCTCTGTGTAGTCTGGCATGGTGGTTGTTGGTGTGGTCCAGCATTTCTGTGTTCTCAAATAATATGCTGTGTCCAGTTTGGTTCATCAGGTGCTCTGCTATGGCTGATTTCTCTGGTTGAAGTAGTCTGCAGTGCCTTTCATGTTCCTTGATGCGTGTCTGGGCAATTCTGCTGCGTTTGGTGGTCCCTATGTAGATTTGTCCACAGCTGCATGGTACACGGTAGACTCCTGCAGAGGTGAGAGGATCCCTCTTGTCCTTTGCTGAACAGAGCATTTGTTGGATTTTCTTGGTAGGTCTGTAAGTGGTTTGTATGTTGTGTTTCCTCATCAGTTTCCCTCTGCGGTCAGTGGTCCCCTTGATGTCTGGCAAGAACACTTTTCCTCTGGGTGGATCTTCATCTTTACGCTCATGGCTTGTTCTCGGTTTTGCAGCTCTTCTGATGTCTCAGGTGGAGTATCCTGTAGAGCCCAGTTTATGTGGTTCAGTTCATCTTGGAGAAGGTAGGGTTCACAGATTCTTTTTGCACGGTCTGCCAAGGCTTTAATGGGGCTTCTTTTTTGACTTGGGTGATGGTTGGAGTCTTTATGTAGATATCTATCCGTGTGTGTGGGTTTTCTGTAAACGGTGTGACCCAATTGTTGATCTGGTTTGCGGATGACTAAGACATCTAGAAAAGGCAATCTTCCTTTATTTTCTTTTTCCATGGTGAATTGGATGTTTGGGTGGATGCTGTTCAGATGGTCCAGGAACCTGTTGAGTTCTTTTTCTCCATGGCTCCAAATGGTGAAGGTGTCATCCACATGTCTGAACCATATCGTGAGCTTTTTGGTTGCTGTCTCCAGGGCTTGTTTTTCAAAGTGTTCCATGTAGAAGTTAGCTATTAAATTGTTTAACACAAAGTGGGTATTTGTTTGGTTCATCTCTACCTGAATAAGGCAGAGCCCTACATTGTTGTGGCCAATAAGAGAATCACGATCCACAGCTGATGTGCTAAAGCAAACAAGACTCTGTCCCACACCCACCCTCAGGGCTGGGACACAGAGGGAGGCCTTCCTGCTGACCATGGTCTTTAGTCAGGTACATAACATGGCATGCACTCAGGGCTCATCCAGACAGGGCTTTAAACACGGGAGTTCTCGTTTCAAAAAAGGGGTGGATAGACAATGTCAGCACTAAATACTCGCTGATTTGGACAAACTGAGGGAAAACGCGGGATAAAAAGCCCCCCTTTTATCCTGTTTCTGGCTGAAAGATGCACATCTTCCTATGTCTGTGTGACCCTACATGCAAAAAAAAAACCACATCTTTTCCTTTCCAGAGACTGCTCCATCCCTTTTTAAAAGCCCGAAACAGCTGATCAGCTGTGGGCTGTCAAATGGTGGTGTAGCTGATTGAAAGGAAGCACAAACTCTTTATTTAACACTGTAAACACTAAAACACTGTAAACAGATCTTTAATAAATGATTAAGGGAAGGGAGAAATCCAGCGGAAGTTTTGTTTTTTAATTCCCTCCATTATGCACTGATCCATATATGCGCACATGTGAATATGCTTGCATTTATTATATTTGCATGTGCACATATAAAGATCAGCACATAACCATATATTTAGAATCCCAAACTTCCATCAGATGTCCCCCATCCACCCTGTGAGTATGGCAGGGGAAGAAAGCCTGGGACCGGCAGGTTTGTGTGGGGACTTGCTCTGAGGACCAGGGCTTCTTTGCCTCTCTTTTTAATACCACATTTTGGCACTGTCTGGAAGTGCCCTCTGTCTGGCTGTGTATAAAACACACTGTGTTTTGTTGGGTGTCACCTGATCCAGTGTGGTCTGCTTGCACAACTTTGCTCTTCCACCGTGACCAACTCATGCTCTCACCTGGCCTGCAGGGCCTGTCCTTTCTGCACCTGGTGCGGCTGGAGAGCTCAGCGCATGACGTGGGGCAAGGGGCACACTTCCGGCTGACCAGCTCCCCGGGGCAAGTGGAGGCGTTGAGGCAGTCTTCCTGCTGGCACAGCTCTGTGGGCGATGACAAAAGAGGGGTGTGCATAAGGGAGTCTTGGCCTGTGTTGCCCTGATTGTGCCGTCACTCATGTGTGCAAGACAGCTTTTCTCCTTTCCCGGCCCCCAGGACAAAGGGGTGCCCCCTCTTCTGCCACAGAGTCAGCAATAAATCAAAAGGAAGGGAAAGCACCCCATTCCCACCTCTGCTTCCCACCTCCTCATCCCTCAGAACTGACTCACGGATCTCTAGCGAAGTGGCTGACGCATCCGGCATCTCAGTACAATGGAGGCCCCCATTTTGGGAGGGCAGGCATTCCCGGCGCCGGACCACCACCCCACGGCAGTCCTGGGTGCAATTGGACCATGTTGTCCACTCACTCCAGCGGCCGTCAACTGTAGGGAAGGGAGGAATATGATGAATGCTTTGAATGAAATTGTATGATTGGGGTCTGGCTAAGGGCCTATCAAGTCTTGGCAAGACTGAAGAGAACATCCTAAAATTAAAACAAATGGCATTATGTAGGAGATGAAGATCTGATTAACTTTGGAATGGGACAACTGCTGAACTGACATAACCAACCTGGGAACTTTTGATGTCAACAACTCATGTTTACATAGTCAGAGTCAATGACTTTCATAGAATAATAGAATCCTAGAGTTGGAAGAGACCTCGTGGGCCATCCAGTCCAACCCCTTTCTGCCAAGAAGCAGGAAAATCAAAGCTATTTAAGTTAGGGAAATCAGAAATTATTATTTATTTATTATTTATTTGTGTTTTTATTTATTTGTGTTTATTATTTATTTGTGCCCGTACAAATCGGCACATTTAGATGCCATATATAAATACATACATTGGTAAAAAGCAACAAAAAAATTACATTATATTTTAAAACCGTAAAAGCAATAACAATCTATATAAATAAAAATGTTCTGTTCGTTTGTGGGATTAACATAACTCAAAAACCAAGATGCCTCTCAGGCCAACGAGTGACCATCACTCATACAATACTGAAAGACTCAGCAGAAGGGATTTAAAAAGCCAAAAAAACCCCCAAAAATGCATTACAACACATGCACAAAATCACACACATATATATACACAAACACGCATATATACACACATATATGCATATACACACACAAAGCACATACACAGAAAGGAGGAAGGAAGGGTAGAGAAGGAAGGAAGGAGAGAAAGAGGGAGAGAAGAAAGGAGAGAAGGAGGAAAGGAGAGAAGGAAGGAAAAGGAAGGGTAGAGAAGGGAGGAAGGAGAGAAGGAGGGAGAGAAGGAGGGGGGGAGAGAGGGAAGGAGAGAAGGAAGGAAAGAAGGAGGGAAGGAGAGAAAGAAAGAAAGGTAGAGAAGGAAGGAAGAAGAGAAGGAAGGAGAGAAAGAGGGAAAGAAGAAGGGTAGAGAAGGAAAGAAGGAGAGAAGGAGGGAGAGAATGAAATAAAATAGTGAAAGAGGGAAGGAAGGAGAGAAGGATTGAAAGAGAGAAAGAGGGAGGGAAGGAAGGAAAGAGACAAGGAAGGATGGAACCAAAGAGCAAAGGAAGTAAGAAAAGAAACAAGCAGAGAAGGAAGGAAGAAGAAGGGAAAGAAAAAGAGGGAAGAAAGGAAAGAGGGAGGGAAGGAAGGAAGGCGAGAAAGAAAGAAGGAGAGAAAGGAGGGAAGGTTGACCACAGCAACACGTGGTGGGTACAGCTAGTAAAAATTATAAACAATGAAACAATGACTCCTTACGTTAAGAAAGAAAAACAATATCTGTTCCGGAATTGATGGAGCTTCAGCAAGTCTTAGCTGAATGACAATTTGTCAAAGCAATAAAACAATGGAGAACCAAAAAGTTCTACATAAGGAGACCCTTTTCTCTTTGAAAAGTGTGGCAGATTGTGAGGAATGCAGCTTGTCCACCTGCCTCTATCCTCCTAACAGCCTGATCAACTTAAAGGAGACAGATGGTGAGTATGATGTATGTGAGTGAATGTATCTGAGTGAATGTTAGAGTATACGTGATGATTTCTCTTTTTTTCTGTGTATAGCTATTACACTGTTCAACGGAGAAAAAGTTGCGGGCCTGAAAATAGTTGTTCTTTCATGATTTTGGGGTGCTGAAAACGAAAATGACTTTTAAAAATGTATATTGGCTCTAGTTTTTATGATATAAGCAATCACGTGATCACGTATGGTTGAAAAAATGCATGTTGCGACTTACACTATGGAAGATTCTAGAATATTGTAGAAAGTTTGATGATGCAGTATTAGTGCCGTGTGCAAAAGCCAAAAAGCCCTATATAAGGCCAGACTTTTGAACGGTGAGGGTCAGTCAGTTGAAGACTGAGACAGTCTCGTTAAACATCGTTTTACATTGTTCTTTTTACTGTAGTTATTAGGCCTGTGCGATTCGTTTCGTTAATTCATTAATTCGTTAATAATTCGTTAATTTTACCATTTCCGAAGCGATATTGAAACAAATCTCCAAACCCGGAAGGGTTTATAAATATCGAACCAGCAGCCCCCATAGTATTTACGAGCCTCCGCTCGTTTCGTTAATGGGGTGGAGGCTGCTGGAGTGCTGCTGCATGGGAGCCAATCCGGCGCTCCCAAGCAGTGCACCATGGGTCCGTGGCTGTCCCTTTTTGATTGGCCGGCGAGCCCTTTCAAAGCGGCTCCGCGCGGCCCGTAGCTTGGTGCAGAGGCGAGGGCGAGGGAGTTTGCATTGGGTTGGCTTGGCAATGGCTGCCTGCTAGCAACGAACTGGGATTGGATTCATTCCTTGCTGCTGTGAGTGCTGCTTGCTTCATTTGCTGTCTCTTGCCTGTGTTTGGTCCACATTTGGGCCATTTTTTGGTTAATTGTCCATTTTAAAATATTTTTAATATTATTTTTTAATATTATTTTTAATATTATTTTTTAATATTATTTTTTAATATTATTTTTAATATTATTTTTTAATATTATTTTTAAAAAATATTCTAAAAAAGAAAAGACTCTTCTGTTGGTGTGTGCTCTCATTTGCTGTATTGTGCCTGTGTTTGGTCCACATTTGGGCCATTTTTTGGTTAATTTTCCATTTTAAAATATTTTTAATATTATTTTAATATTATTTTTTAATATTATTTTAATATTATTTTTAAAAAATATTCTAAAAAAGAAAAGACTCTTCTGTTGGTGTGTGCTCTCATTTGCTGTATCCTGCCTGTGTTTGGTCCACATTTGGGCCATTTTTTGGTTAATTTTCCATTTTAAAATATTTTTTAATATTATTTTAATATTATTCTTAAGAAATACCCAAAATATTCTAAAAATTCGTTAATATTTACAAAATTTCTTAAATACCAAAACTTTTTTTTGGAAAGTTTTGTAATTATTTTAAATATCGAAACAAAAAAACACCCCAATTACAAATCGATTTTAGAAACAAATTTTTTCTTGATCAAACAGGCCTAGTAGTTATGCCTCACACGTGTGTAAATAAAGCACTATGGAAAAAAGATATCAAGGTAAATGGACTCCGTCAATGCTGTCAGACTACTGCTGGAGCATTGTAAGAGACAATCCTTTCCTTGAATACAAAAGAAAAGTCAAGAGAAGCAAACAGGATATAAACTAAAGTCACGATTAAAGCGACATTTAAACTTTCAGACTTTTCAACTGCATTAGGCCTACTAATATAGTTTCTTGCTGCACAAACATAAACAATAGACTAATTAAATAAATATTTCTCATGTATAAACTATTGGCAATATAATTTGACTAAAATTTAGTAAATATTCACGGTTTATATACATGCAGTAAGGTTAGGCGCATTATCATAATATTAACGAATTACCTATTGTGGAGAAAATTGAAATAGCTGTTGCATAAAACCAGAGCCAATTAACACATTTAATTATTATATTTGAATTCAGCATGTTAAATTTATTAAGAAATGGCACATTTCGTTTCCGAAACTGAGAAAAACTGAAAATTTGTAGAACAGTGTTATTAAACCAGGACTGGGATCTCTGTGTCTTCTTCCTCTGAAAATGCCTGAGGTACTCTGTCCCACTTAAAACGGATTAAAGAACATTTTTAAGGTTCAAAAAAGTAATCATGAGGGGGACAACAGCCTTGCGAACACTACTTTACCCATAATGTCTGGGATTCGCCAGAAGGCTAAACAGAGGGCTGCACAAACACAACAAGGACCAAGTACCAAAAGCACAATAATCCCAATTAAACAGCTCAAGGGAAGATCTAAGGGGCTCACATGTCTTTACACTAATGCACAGAGCATGGGAAATAAACAAGACAAACTCCAACTTTTAGCACAACACCACAAATATGATATCATAGGGATCACTGAAACCTGGTGGGATGACTCCTATCGCTGGAATGTAGATATCGAGGGGTATAACCTCTTTCACAGAAACCGAACAAAGGGGAGAGGAGGCGGAGTAGCCTTATATGTCAAAACTCTTATGCTGCAGAAGAGATTCAAGACAGCAATCTGGGAAACCAGCTTGAAATCATCTGGATAAGAATCAAGGGAACTGGGACTCAAAAAGATGTCGTTGTAGGCGTCTACTACAGACCCCCAAGCCAGGAGGAAGAACTTGATGAAGTCTTCTGCCAACAGTTGACCAAACAGGCACAGAGAAGAGATGTAGTAGTCATGGGCGATTTCAACTATCCCGATATTTGCTGGAAAACAAACTCGGCCAAGAGTACAAGGTCCAACAAATTCCTCGCTTGCCTTGCAGACAATTTCATGGTCCAGAAGGTAGAAGAGGCAACAAGGGGATTGGCTACTCTTGATCTCATCCTAACAAATGCGGAGGACCTGATCGATGCGGTCGAAGTGGTAGGATCCTTAGGGGCAAGTGACCATGTGCTCCTGCAATTTGAGGTACAAAGGAAGGCCGAAACTAAGACAAGTCAAACCCGCATTTTGGACTTTAGGAGAGCTGATTTCCAAAAAATGAAGGAAACGCTGAGCAGCATTCCGTGGACACAGATACTAAAAGACAAGGGAGTTACGGATGGATGGGAATTTCTCAAGAGTGAAATACTCAAGGCGCAATTGCAAACCGTGCCAACAAAGAGAAAAAATAGGACAAGTGCAAAGAAGCCAGAATGGATGTCCAAAGAACTTCTAACTGTGCTAAGACACAAAAGAGACATGCACAAGAAGTGGAAAAAGGGAGAAATCACCAAAGAAGAATTCAAACAAATAGCCAACACCTGTAGGGAAAAGGTCCGCAAGGATAAAGCACAAAACGAGCTCAGGCTTGCCAGGGACATTAAAAACAATAAAAAGGGATTCTTTTCTTATGTCAGTAGAAAAAGGAAAAACAAGGAGGCGATAGGACCTCTTCGAGGAGAAGATGGGGCAATGCTGACAGGGGATAGGGAAAAGGCAGAACTACTTAATGCCTTCTTTGCCTCGGTCTTCTCACAAAAAGAGAGTCTTCAACCTCAGCAAGATGGAGTGGATAAGGGATTGGAGGACATCCAACCCCAAATTGGGAAAGAAGTCGTCCAGGAATACCTGGCCGCTCTTAATGAGTTCAAGTCCCAGGGCCAGATCAACTACACCCCAGAGTATTGAAGGAACTAGCGGAAGTCATTTCGGAACCATTGGCAACCATCTTTGAGAGTTCTTGGAGAACGGGAGAAGTTCCAGCAGATTGGAGGAGGGCCAATGTGGTCCCAATCTTCAAGAAGGGAAAAAAGGATGAACCAAACAACTACCATCCGGTCAGCCTCACGTCGATACCGGGCAAGATTCTGGAAAAGATTGTTAAGGAAGCGGTCTGCAAACACTTAGAAACAAATGCAGTCATCGCTAATAGTCAACATGGATTTATCAAAAACAAGTCATGCCAGACTCATCTGATCTCTTTCTTCGATAGAGCTACAAGCTGGGTAGATGCGGGGAATGATGCCGTGGATGTAGCGTACCTGGATTTCAGGAAGGCCTTCTTTGACAAGGTCCCCCATGACCTTCTGGCAAGGAAACTAGTCCAATGTGGGCGAGGCAAAACTACGGTGAGGTGGATCTGTAATTGGTTAAGTGGACGAACACAGAGAGTGCTCACTAATGCTTCCTCTTCATCTTGGAAAGAAGTGACAAGTGGAGTGCCGCAGGGTTCCGTCCTGGGCCCGGTCCTGTTCAACATCTTTATTAATGACTTAGATGAAGGGCTAGAAGGCATGATCATCAAGTTTGCAGACGACACCAAATTGGGAGGGATAGCCAATACTCCAGAGGACAGGAGCAGAATTCAAAACGATCTTGACAGATTAGAGAGATGGGCCAAAACTAACAAAATGAAGTTCAACAGTGACAAATGCAAGATACTCCACTTTGGCAGAAAAAAAATGAAATGCAAAGATACAGAATGGGGGATGCCTGGCTCGAAGTATGTGTGAAAAAGATCTTGGAGTCCTCGTGGAAACATGAGCCAACAATGTGATGTGGCGGCAAAAAAAAAAGCCAATGGGATTTTGGCCTGCATCAATAGGAGCATAGTGTCTAGATCTAAGGAAGTAATGCTACCCCTCTATTCTGCTTTGGTTAGACCACATCTGGAATATTGTGTCCAATTCTGGGCACCACAATTCAAGAGAGATATTGACAAGCTGGAATGTGTCCAGAGGAGGGCGACTAAAATGATCAAGGGTCTGGAGAACAAGCCCTATGAGGAGCGGCCTAGGGAACTGGGCATGTTTAGCCTGAAGAAGAGAAGGCTGAGAGGAGATATGATAGCCATGTATAAATATGTGAGAGGAAGCCACAGGGAGGAGGGAGCAAGCTTGTTTTCTGCTTCCTTGGAGACTAGGACGCGGAACAATGGCTTCAAACTACAAGAGAGGAGATTCCATCTGAACATGAGGAAGAACTTCCTGACTGTGAGAGGCGTTCAGCAGTGGAACTCTCTGCCCCGGAGTGTGGTGGAGGCTCCTTCTTTGGAAGCTTTTAAGCAGAGGCTGGATGGCCATCTTGTCAGGGGTGATTTGAATGCAATATTCCTGCTTCTTGACAGAAGGGGGTTGGACTGGATGGCCCATGAGGTCTCTTCCAACTCTTTGTTTCTATGATTCTATGATTCTATGATTCTATGATTCATGACATGGACACGGAGGCAGGAGACGGTGGGCAAAGGAAAGGCCCCCTCACCTGGGCAGGCCACCGCAAAGCACTGCTGTGCCTGTGTCTCCTCCCCCAGGCAGTGGCGCAGGACATCGTCTGCTCTCCGCGTGCAGCTCCTCCGTCGGACTTGGAGGCCCGTCCCACACAACCGGCTGCAGGCGCTCCAGGCGGCCCAGGGAGCCCAGAGGCCACACTCCCTTTCGTCTGATGGGAGCCACCCAGAGGCCTTCGTGCCATCCGCACAGTCAGCCAGACCATTGCACACCTGGAAGGGAGGAAGCACTGAAGGTGGGACCTGGGGCAAGTACACAGGTAAAAATGGGAGGCTATGAGCAGCCCAGGCGCAAGGCTGGATCAGTCTGGGCACACTGCTGAGCTGAGAAAATTACTTTGCGGGCCTCATACTGTATATGCTTCCCAAAAATGGAATTCTGCTGAGTTGGAGCAGGGCTGACCTGTGTCCCACTCCTCTGACCAATACACATGTATCCCCCTTGAGATGAAGGGGCAGAATCTTGCCCTTCTGATTTGTCTGAGGTGAAAACAAGCTGCTGTGCTCTGTTCTTCCTCGTGAATGACATTTTCTGGCTTGTCTCTGATGTTGCTGAACCATGTCAACCTCAGTTTTCAGTTGTAAGGTAGGACATTGTACCTGTTTGAAGGTGATACAAGCGCCGTCCCCACAGGAATATTCCTTGCAAGGCCCAGCAGTCTGGTTCCTTTCCCCAGGAGGAGGCCTTTGGCTTTCTGGGGTGGACAGAATTAGACACTGTGAATATTATTTATTTATTTACAGGATATATATTCCACCCTTCTCACCCGGAAGGGGACCCGGGGTGGATCACAGAACAGATCACAAAACTTCCTCCTTTTTTGGTTGGATTGCTAGTGCCTTAAAATACCTCGCCCACTTTTAAGCTGTACCTATTTATCTACTCACATTTTTGGTTTTTTTTTGCTTTGAAACCACTAGGTTGGCAGAAGCTGGGCTGAAGGCCAAGAGTTCACCCTGACCCGGGCTTTGAACTGTCAACCTTGGATTGACAAGATTTACTGCAGCTGGTGGTTTAACCTGCTGTGCTAAAGCAGTGCAAATAAAACTGGGAAATCAGGAGTAGAAAATCAGATCTGCCCTGGTCCATTTGGGAGACATGGGCCCTTCCCGTTCTGGCCTGGGATAACTGAGCAATAGCTACCCATTCCAACCTCAAAACACTCACTGTTACTGGCTGCTGGGGGAGGGTAGAAACAACCCTATATGTAGCTTGTAGCACCTATATGTCTAGTGCAACCCCCTCGGTCCGTAATAGAAGCAGGGGTGGCCATTTTCACCATTGCAAGGGCAGCTCAGCACAACGAGGGGGGTTCTTTAACAGCCTTCCAACTCCATCCCCAAATAGCCAGTGAGCAGCAAGGACTCCTTACCGCAGGCCAGTTCATCTTCTCCCTGGGCACAGTCTGGAGACCCATCACAAACCCGGGAGACATTGATGCACATGCGGTTGTTGCAAATAAAGAACCCCGGGCAGGGGGGGATCTGAGTGGAACCTGTAATGGGAAGAAGGCAGGGTTTCCCCTGTGAAGCAGGTCTGGGAATCATCCAGACACCAAGACCTTCCCTTCAGGAAATGGAGGTGGAAGCCATTGCTTCAAAACATTTGGACTTAGCATTGAATTCAGCAATTAGATCAGGCCTTAGTTTAACTGTGAGCTTCAACAGAGAACTCACCAGGAAACATGGACAACAGTTATCCTCCCCAATTTTTTTTTCCAAGGTCTGATTAAGCTGTCATTATTCCCATTCTCTGTGTTGCACTCCAGAACAGGAACTAGCCCCTCTGACTATAAACACACCACACGTTGAGTAAAGGAGCAGCTTAGCAAAAAAGCCAGTAGAAATAAATGTTTGTAAAGATAGATAATAGGGCTGGGCGGTTTCGTTTCGTTAATTCGTAATTCGTTAATAATTCGTTAATTTTTTCAATTACAAAACGATAACGAACCATTCTGGAGCAATTATTAAAAAAAACGAATTTTCAAAAACGTTTTGTAAATGCTTCGTATTTCGATATTGTATTCGTTTCGTTATTGTTTTGAGGTCGTTTCGTTATTATTTCCGCATGTCTGGGCCAGTTTTATGTTTAATTAGTGAAAAAAAATTATAATATCACACCAACAGTCAACAACAGAGGGAGAGGGAAGCTTCAGAAGGTTTTGGAGGTTTTTTAGCGTATTTCGCGGTCGCGTCCGCCATTAACGAATCGATTCGTTATTGTTTCGGAAATCGATTCGTTAATTTTTTTACCATTTACGAAATTTCGTAAATATCGAACTTTTTAAAAGGAAAATTTTGTAATTATTTTAAATATCGAAACAAAAAACCCCCCAAATACAAATCGATTTTAGAAACAATTTTTTCCGTTGTTACCCAGGCCTAATAGATAAGGTTCCAAAAAGCAATAAGGCATTCAAAGGCAGCCAGATAAAACAGTATCTAAACGTAGCATTCGTTGGGGAAAGTGGAAGGCAAAAGGAAGAGGGGCCGACCAAGGGCAAGATGGATGGATGGCATCCTTGAAGTGACTGGACTGACCTTGAGGGAGCTGGGGGTGGTAACGGCCGACAGGGAGCTCTGGCGTGGGCTGGTCCATGAGGTCACGAAGAGTCGGAGACGACTGAACGAATGAACAACAACAAAACGTAGCATTCAAAAACAATGTCCAAAACACATGAAATTATAATCCAAGGCAATGATATCCAGACAGGAATCAAACAAGAAGCAAGAACAGACCAGACGCTGCTAGTCACCTTAAAAGGCTAGAAAAATACATGAAGACGAAACCGCTTGAACAGGGATTCCATGAGGCTTATACTTGGTTTCCAAATGATGCCTGATCTGACAAGATTTTCTACAGACAAACTTTAAATCCCAAAAACTGTTTTTTTTATTTCCCCCAGACTTTAATTGATGAATTCTTTCGGATCTACGTAAACATTGGGCCTCTTGCCGATTCTGGCTAATCTCCAGCTAATCTCCGACTCTGCTTATCTGACTCCTCATTAACTTTATCAGGTACCAGACTGTTTTCCAAACTCAAAGGAAAGCTCACAGGTGGAGGGAGTAAACCTTTCTCCCAAGGCCTGACAGAAACATTCTCATGAGAATCTGCCTTTTGCACCACATGCTCCTCTCTGTCAGTGTCTGCATGAAACTCATTGACCAAAGTGCCTCCATCTTGCACCTCAGAGTCAGCCCCAGCATCCCCCACATCAGAATCAACAGGGGACTGATTTCCCTCCTCATTACCCACCTCAGACATAGAAACATCAGGAGACTGAAACACATTCACAGGTTCAAGCACAGACTCAGGTTCAATCACAGACTGAGTCCCAACACTCTGGCGTTTACAATATTGTGATGGTATCAAAACACACACATTATTACAATGGCTAAATACAGGGAAATGAATACAGACTGACTAAACCTGTTCCAAGCTGGTTTAAGTGTGATGCGTGGGCAAGGTTTCCCGGCATCATCATCATCACCATCACCATTATCCCAGGGTCCCCAGTTTCCCACTCACCGCAGGTGTCGACGCTCTCATCTGACTGGTCCTGGCAGTGGGGCCGCCCGTCGCAGAGGTGGATGTAGGGGATGCACTCATCCCCGAAGGCGCAGGGAAACTGGTCCAAGCCACAAGTGCGGTTACAGTACAGCTCATCGCTGCCATCCAAGCAGTCAGCTTCATTGTCGCAGACCCAGCCCCGTGGCTGGCACTCCCCGCTCTGGCAGAGGAACTCATAGCGTCCGCAGGGAGGGGCTGCCAAGAGCAAGGGAGAATCGGGCTCAAGGGACACCTTCCCCTCCTCTTGCTGTGATGCATCTCTTTATCACCCCACTTTCCGCCTTCACCGCCTTCCCATCCTGCCTCCTGCCATTCAGCACCTAATATCTAGAACAGTGTTTCTCAACCTTCCTAAGTACAGTTCCTCATGTTGTGGTGACGCCCAACCATCACATTATTTGCATTGCAACTTCGTAACTGTGACATTGCTACTGTTCTGAATCATAAGGTAAATATCTGATTTGCAAGATGTATTTTCATTCACTGGATCAATTTTGGCAAAAATATCCAAAACACTCAAATTTGAATACTGGTGGGGGTTTGAGGAATTGATTTTGTCATTTGGGAGTTGTAGTTGCTGGGATTTATAGTTCACCTACAATTAAAGAGCATTCTGAACTCCACTGACGATGGAATGGAGCAAACTTGGCACATAGCATGCCCATGAGCAGGAGTAAATACTGTAAGGATCTGGTGGGCATTGGCCTTGAGTTTTGGAGTTGTAGTACACCTACATCCAGAGAGCACTGTGGACTCAAACAATGATGGATCTGGACCAAACTTGGCACGAATACTCGGTATACACAAATGTGGACACTGGTGGAGTTTGGGGAAACTAGACTTTGGCATTTGGGAGTTGTAGTTACTGGGATTTATAGTTCACCTACAATCAAAGAGAATTCTGAACCCCATCGACAATGGAATTGAACCAGTCTTGGCATACAGAACTCCCATGACCAACAGAAAATACTGGAAGGGTTTGGTGGGCATTGACTTTGAGTTTTGGAGTATTAGTTCACAGAGCAGGAGGCGGGCTTTTGGTGGGAGGATTTGCCATCTGTTTCCAAAAAGGAAGAGAAGGACAGGTGGAGAGATCTTCTCCCTTCCCTGCCAAAGGGGTTCCTCAGATCATTGGAAATATGTGCTTTCTGGTAGTTTTTGGTGACCTCTCTGAACCCTCCTTCGACCCCTCCAGGGGTCGCGACCCCCAGGTTGAGAAACACTGATCTAGAACATCTTCTCCAAACATTTCTCAAAACTCACCCTGAACTTTCCGTGAAAGCAAGTCAACTCAGGACAAAGGCCCAGAGCAACAGAATCTCAGATCCAGAGCTCAGGTCCATGTAAAAATTTGCCAGGTTGCAAAGCAGAATTACAGTCCATGCAACCCCTCCCTGGCTTTAAGGAACTCCTTATCTCGTGATATCACTCCCTGGCTTCTTATCTCCAATCACGGGTCTCTGCTCTCCAATCATTGGCTGGATTTAAGAGCTGAAGAGATTTGAAAGGCAGAAGTGAAACTCTACCAAGCTTCTCTTGGCCCAAGAACAGGAGATCCTCCATCCCTGATGTAAGTGAGGATGAATGAGGAAGACACCATGACATAGTAGCTTTGAGTGTCAGATTAAGGCCCCATCCACACTTTCCAACTCCATTGAACTGGATTATATTGGTCTACACTGCCATATACAATTAAACTGAATTATGAAATTGCATTATATGACAGTATAGATCAGTGACCTGGGTTCTAATCATCTCTGTGTGGCCTGGGTCAAGCTATTCTCTCTCAGCCTCTGCATAAATTCTACCAAGACAACCCAAGTCATTTCTGCCACAGCTCAGAAACGACTTGAAGGCACACAACAACAAGATGTTGGCAAATGATACTGAGCTAAGAAAATTTATGGTTTGTATCAACATGCTGTTTGGCCCTTATTGGCCTCTTCTAGTAGTCAGCAGCAGACAGAATATGGCTTCCAGGTAGAAGGGGGGCTCTGAAGGTGCCAGATTTGCTCACCAAGGGTCCTGTTGTCAGGTGCAGAACGACTTGTAGGAAGGCCTGGGGTGGTCATGGTCACTGATGGAGTGGTCTGGATCACCAAACACTGAGTGAGCTTCTCATCAGACCCGTCAATGCAGTCATGCATGCCGTCACAGGCCTGGGACAGGCTGATGCAGGTCCTGTCTGGACAAGGCAGCTGCCCAGGGGCACAGGTCACTTGGCCTACAGTGAGGAGAAGATAGCAATGAGGGACAGGTAGGCCTCTTCTTACTATTGACTTTGACTGTTAGGAACTGTGGGAGTTGAAGTCCAAAACACCTGGAGGGCAAAAGTTTGCCCATGCCTGCTATAGAATCATAGAATCTAAGAGTTGGAAGAGAGCCCAAGGGCCACCCAGTCCAACCCTCTTCTGCCACACAAGAGCACAGATCAAAGCAAACCGACAGATGGCCATCCAGCCTCTTCGGGGCAGATACCCTCACCTGGGCAAAAGGTTTCGTCTTCTCCGTCTGGGCAGTCCTCCTTGCCATCACAGACCAGGGCTTTGGAGAGGCACTGCCCCTCGGGACACTGGAACTCGCCGGCTGGACAAAGGCAATTGTGCTCATCGCTGAGGTCCCCACAGTCGTCGTGGCCGTCGCAGCGGTGTAAGTAGGGCAGGCAAGGCCCGGTTGCACAGCGGAGCTCACCTGGGCCACAGGGCGGGACGCAGCCTGAGGGGAGGGAGGCCAAAGGAGGCAAATGAAATGGGCCACCCAACACAGCATACAATGTACAGGCACTTCAACCTCCGTCTCAGGGCACAAAAGCCCCTCACAGGCCCCATTTCGCCATCGCTTGCCTTTTGTTGCAAAATGGGAAATGTGTTCAACTGGACAGTGAGGTTTTCCACAGAGGAATAGTGGTAAGTTGCTTATCCCCAATCTGTTGCATGAGTTGCATTACTGGACAACGATAAAAGGTCTGGGCCAGGGCTAGTACCATGGGGTGGCAGAGGACCTGGGCAGTTGGTAACGTACTCCTCTGAAACTCACCCTCTTCGTCTGAATGATCTGCAAATCCACAGTCGAGTTCCCCGTCGCAGAGGTGTTCACGGGGGATGCAACGCCCATTGGTGCACTGGAACTCCTCCTGGGCACAGGCGGGCAGAGGGCAGCCCCTCTCATCCGAGCCATCCATGCAGTCCCGGGTGCCATCACAGCGGTAGCCCCAAGGCACGCACTGCCCACTGGCGCACTGGAATTGGTGTGGGGCGCAGCTCAGGGCACAGAACTCGTCAGAGCCATCCCCACAGTCATCCTCGTTGTCACAGACCCAGGCGGTGGGAATGCAGCGGCCGCCCGTGTGGCAGGCGAAGTCACCCTCGGCACAAGGGGAAGGGGCCGGGCAGGGTTCCAGGGGGGCAGTGCACTGCCACAGACCAGCCTCACAGGAGCTGTGGAAGAGGGGTTGTGCAGTCAGCCATGGCCTCTTCCACATTGCATGGCTGTAGTGAGATAATTCCTCTTTAACTCCCATGGTTCTGTGCCATGGAATCCTGAGATAAAGGTAAAGGTTTTCTCCTGACATTCAATCCAGTTGTGTCCGACTCTGAAGGGTGGTGCTCATCTCCATTTCTAAGCTGAAGAGCCAGGGTGGTTCGTAGACACCTGCTAGGTCATGTGGCCACTGGCATGGCTGCATGGAGGGCCTTTACCTTCCCGCCAGAGCAGTGCCTATTCATCTACTCACATTTACATGTTTTCAAACTGCTAGGTTGGCAGAAGCTGGGACTAACAGCGTGAGCTCCCCCTGCTCCCCAGAGGCGAACCGCTAACCTTTTGGTCAGTAAGTTCAGCAGCTCAGCGGTTTAACCCACTACGCCATGGGGGGCTCCTTAGAGGAGGAGGAAATTCAATCCTCATCCAGGAAGCTTCCCACAGTACAAACTGCAGGGTTCCACCAGATGCAGTAGTGGGAATTGGAGGGACCATGGGACACCCAACGACATGTGAATCACTGAATGCTACTATAGCAGGCATGGGCCAAGGTTGCCTACGCCTGCACTATAGCGTCCTTTGGAGGGTGCCACCCCATGCATTTCCTTGGCCCAAAGGACAGGGGAGAGGCTCCTTCCCACCTGGGCAGGGGCAGAGCAGGGGAGGGCCCTAAAGAAAGGAGTATCCCCCCAGGAGGAACTCTTCATCCTCACAGACCTACCAGTTCCTGCACTCCTGCATGACCAGGGCTCCCAGTGGGAACAAAATGCCCTCCCAGTAGCAGGGGCACTCAGAGGGGTCGATGCAGCGGCCACCTGATGGTCAAGAACAGGAGAGAGAGGCAGGGTGTTGCACTCCAGGACAGGAAAAGCCCTCTGACTTTAAACACCACACCATTGGATGGAAAACAATCCTTTTATTGAAGATAATTAAAAGCAGTAAAGTAAAAAGCACTTTAAAGAAATAGGAAAATCCAATTAGGTAAGAAGATAAGCAGCAACAAAGTAGTCCAGGGAAAATAGTCCAGCAAAGTCCATAAAAGCAAACTCAAAACTTATCTAATAAAATCCAAGAAACCAGGAAACATGAATCCAAGGCATGAATATAAAATCATCGAATCCAAAAATCAAACCATGAAACAAAAGGCATGAATCTTCCAAGCAAGGCTTCCATAAAACGAGAATGAGAACAAGAACTTGATTCCAAATGATGCTTCATCTGGCTACATATCCTATATTTGGGACTTTTATCTCCTCGTTAGCTATGTCCCAAATGCTCAGAAATTGGTTTTGCTTTACTTTAGAATCACTTATCTTTTTCTCTCGGAGCCTGGCAGAACACTGAAGCCATTCTTTGGCTTTTCTGTTTTGACTAATCTCCTGGCATCTATCTATTTGCTCATTAACTTCTGCACCTGGTGCCGAGCTGTTTTCCAGGTCCAAATCATGGGAACTCTCTGATAGCAATTCAGGGAGCACACCATCATCTCCACATCCTTCAGGGACATTCTCATGGGAAACTACACTTTGAACAGGAATCTCCTGGTCATTCTCTGCCTCAATATCATTACCATCTTGAAACTCATTGACATCACTCCCCACATCCAAAGCACCCTGATCCTGAAACACAATCACAGGCTGAGCTCCAACACAGGGTCAGGTTTGTACAGCCTCACCAGCCATGCACTGAGACCCATCAAGGTGTAGAAGGGCAGAAAGGATCCAAACATTCAGTCTTGGGGTCTGTTCACTTCAACCACCAGAAGGACTGGGAATCAACATAGGGAACCATGAAGATCCTCCTCTTCCCCATCTCTCTAAGAATGCCCTGTCGCAGCAGTATTCTGAGGTTGAGCATCACAGATAGAAATCAAACCAGGCCAAGATGCCCAGCCAAAGGCCTCCACCCAGAAAGCTAGGAATGTTGCTTGGGGCATGCAGCCAAGAACCTGAAATGGACCCTCCAGCTCTGGAGTTTGCTCTTTTTTAAAACATGAGTAAATATTACAGCTGCTCTGCCATAATAACTACATGCGCATGCACCCATGTCTGAAATGGTGGATGGGGAGAGGGTTGGCGTGGCAGCCTTTCTGGTGGCATCCCTGAGAGGCATCCTTTCATCTTGGAAATGGTAGAACCACAAGATGGTGGTGGTGTTGGGTTCCTTCATTGGGCTCCTCCTTCTCCTTCAGTTCTCTTTCCCTGGCCAGCACCATGACTGGCCAGTAATCCCCTGAGACGATGGACCCATGCACTGGAAGCCCTGTCCTTATATCTACCAGCCCCACCATCTTCTTACCATGCAGCACCTTCCCCTCTGGGCAGAAGCACCCTTCCACACACGAAAGAGTCTCGCAGTGATCGGCCGGCTCCAGGCCAAAGTTCTTGCAGGTCTGAGGGCAGGCCGGGCCACAGGGGTCGTACTCCATCCCATTGTCACACTGCATGGCTGAGAAGGCAGAGAAGGGAGCATAAGGGTGACCCTATGGCAAGCACTTGGGGGCAGAGTGTCTGGGAATCCATAGGTGGGAAGAGGAGAAGTATGAAGAGCAGGATGGCTTTGGAAGAGGATCAGAAGGATGCCAAGGAGGTAGTATGCACTGGACTGGGTAATACAGGCTATATGGGGCACAATTGAGATCTTGCAATGGGAGAGGGGGTTCCATGCCCCCTTTGCCCTCCACACTGGGTATTCTGATAGCAAGTCTCCCTCCCATGTCTCCATCTCTGGAGCCTGGTCTCTCCTCCCCAGCCCTCTTGTCTCAGGGCAAGAACACATCACCAAAGCCATTCGCGAGCACTCAAGGCTGGGCCCTGAAATCCCAAGGGCTGGCACCTCCAGCAAGGACTGCGACTCACGGCAGAGGTCTTGGCTCCTCCATCGGACAATCACCCCACGCCGGTTGCACTCCTTGGCGTAAGTGGCGATGGCCGTGCAAAGGCACTCACAGTCCCCTCCAGAGTCACACCTGAGAAGCAAGAGAGAGGGCTGCCCGATGAAGGAGAGAGTTTCTCTTGTGCCAAAAAGAAGGCCATTGGTTGCAGTATTGTTCCAAGGAATGGCATGACCCACTCTATGTCCTGGTGCAGTCTGTGGGATGACGGGCCATGGACAATGGGACCTGGAGTACCTTCACTCATTTCCTGAGACCACTGCGACCCACACCAATGACTGGTCAAGACCAAACTTGGTATACAGAGCCCCCATGACCCACTCTACATCCTGGTGAAGTTTGAAGGAGGAGGGACCATGGATGATGGGACTTGCATATGGGGGTTCCAGTTCACCTGCACCCATTGAACCCAGCTGATACTGAATCTAGACTAAACTTGGAGCACAGACAAACAATGACTGCTCAAGACCAAACTTGGCACACAGTGACCCCATGACCCACTCTACATCCTGCTGTAGTTTGGAGGAGGATGGACCATGGATGATGGGACTTGCAGTACCTTCACTCACTTCCTGAGACCACTGCGACCCACACCACTGACTGGTCAAGACCAAACTTGGCACGCAGAGCCCCCATGACCCACTCTACATCCTGATGCAGTTTGAAGGAGGGTGGACCATGGAAAATGAGACTTGCAGTACCTTCACTCACTTCCTGAGACCACTGCGACCCACATAAATGACTTGGCACACAGAGCCCCCATGACCCACTCTACATCCTGGTGCAATTTGGAGGAGGATGGACAATGGGAGTTGTAGTACCTTCATGGTCATGACTGATCAAGTCCAAACTTGGAGCACAGAGCCCCCATGACCCACTTTACATCCTGGTGCAGTTTATAGGACAATGGGCCATGGATGATGGGACTTGCAGTAACTTCACTCACTTCCTGAGACCACTGTGACCCATATCAATGACTGATCAAGACCAAACTTGGCAAACAGAGCCCCCATGACCCACTCTACATCCTGGTGCAGTTTGGAGGAGGAGGGACCATGGATGATGGGACTTGCATATGGGCGTTCTAGTTCACCCGCACCCACTGAACCCAGCTTACACTGGATCTAGACTTAACTTGAGGCACAGACAAACAATGACTGGTCAAGACCAAACTTGGAACACAGTTTGCACCAGGCTGCACCAGGATACAGAGTGGGCCATGGGGGCTCTGTGTGCCAAGTTTGGTCTTGACCGCAGGGTCCCCAAACTAGTGTTCCATAAAGCAAAGCCATTATTTCTACGTGCTGTTTCCAAGCAGAGCCGTATCCCTGGCCCAGCCTTCCTGGTATTGTTGTTGTTATCTTTATTGGCACCTCAGATTCAGAGCCCTGAATCATGGCTCCCTGATGACTTACCCGCAGGCATCGAAGACACACCAGTCATAGAACTGCTGGCAGGGGAGCTCGCCGTGACATGGGGCAAAAAGGTCCTGGAGGAGAACCCCGCAGCGCTTCCGGGCCCATGTCACGCGGTGGGAATTCACCTGCAGAAAGGGGTTCACTGTCTGGGAGGGCTGAGACAGAAAGTCCCCTCCCCAAGTGTTCTCTGGCAGGCTGGAAGGCTAAGCAGGCCTCACTCTCACTAAGAGGTCCTTCTTGCATGGAGACATTTCTCTCAACATGTACATGGACACCCTCATTGAGGTGAGATAGACTTGTAGGCTCCCAGCACTAGAAGGGCTCCTCAAGGGTCATCCATTCTGACTCCATTCTGTCATACAGGAGTCCACCATCCAAGCCCTCCTCACAGATGGTCACCCAGCCGCCAGACTCTATGCACCAGACACAATCTGTATGTACCGTGCAGGGGTGCTCAAAATCCTCGCTGCTGACTTCGGGGCAAAGGAGGCTGACACGCCAGGAGTTGCCAAAGAGGTCGGCCGTGGGCTCCACGATTCCCTGCCGGCTGGTGAAATCGTTCTCTGTGTCGCCGTCAAAGTTCCCGCAGAGTCCTGCCACTCGGCCCTGGAAGGAAGGGTCCAGCCGGACCTCCACCCGCATCGCTAGAGGAAGGGAGTCCACAGGGACCAGGGTGGGTGATTGAGAGGGGCAAGCCTCTATCACAGGCACGGGCAAACTTTGGCCTTCCTCCAGGTGTTTTGGACAAACTCCCACCATTCTATGCCTGGACTATCGCCTCACCCCACAACCCTCCACATTGCAAAACCGTCATTTGTTGTCCGAGTGGGCTTACCAAAGTAAATGGAGGTATCCCAGCAGTGTTTTGCATGTTTTCATGCATTTGATGAATTTTCAGCAAAAATTACCCAAAAATCCTACTCAGTTTTTGTTAAGTGGGGAAAAGAGCTTCAGGGCACTATGGGGTGGTTTCAGAAACCTCATAAATGGGGTCAGGGACCACATGGCACCCAACGGCTGGAATTTGACCATCCCAACTATACACAGCATGAGAAAGGACAGTCACGAAGCCTCATTTGCTAGGGTCGGGCAAATAAAAGTGACAGGAAATTAGGGCGGGGGGGCGGGGAGGAATGTGGCCCAATGGGTCTCACCTCCGTCCCAGAGCACTGTTAGCCCCAGCTGGGAAATGAAGGCCAAGAAGAGCCCCGTTCTCTCGAGGGCCAAGCCATTGCCACTGTAGATCTTTGGGGGACGCACGGAGACCCCGTTCATGGTCACGTCTTTGCCTGGAAGGAGAGGGGGCCATCGGGGTCTCAAAGGGAAAATTGAGGGGAGCTTGTGTGGGTCTCCCCTGTCTATCTAGGGGAGGCATGGGCAACTTTGGCTCTCCAAGTGTTTTGAACTTCAACTCCCACCTGGAGGGCCGGTTTGCCCATGCCTGATTTGGGGCTTCTCTTACCTCGGAGCAGGTGGATGACTGTGTTGCCAATGAGCACCACGACCGATTTGGTGCAGGTTGTGCCGCTCGTCCCACAGGGAACGTTCTCGGCTGTCACCACGAAAGCGCCGCTGGTCTCCCGCACCAGAATGTACTCACAATCCCCCAGGAACGTGTAGGATCGCCCATCGAAGGTGATGTAGTGCGGGTCTCCTGTGGCCACACAGGTCCCGGAACAGTGGTGCTGAGTGCACTCCCAGCGCCGGCTTTGGCAAACGCTGTTCAAGATGGAAACAGAAGGGACCTCAAACGATTGGGATGGCATAAGGTGAAGGTGTACCACAGACCCCAAATGAGACCTTCCCAGGCTCTTTCTGTGGTCTCCAGGAACTCATCCACCCTTAAATTCCCACTCAGGTTTATATGAAACTATTCTGACATACTTTGGTCTACTTGGAGCCCAGAAGAGGACTTTTTCTAACACGATGTTGACTTCCCACATGCCATTCTTCTAGCCCCAATAAAACGCAGCAAAGATTTCAGGTCCCTGCCATTTCTTACGATTTTGGGATTTCATGGATTACCAGGTGTTGCAGTCCTTGGCGATGGTGTCATTGGGTTGGTAGAGTCGGCCATTGTGATGGCAGGGGCACTCCTCTGGGGAGACACAGCGCTCGTTCTGACGACAGAATCCCAGGAAAGGTGGACAATCAATAATCAGGTCCCATACAATCCCATCCTAGAAGAATTTAGCTGATTGGTGCCAACCTGGACTCACCAAGAAGATGGTGCCAGGAGGGCAAACGCAGCCGTCGGCGGAGCCGGCACAGGTGAGGTTGCCCTCAGGGTTCTCACAGGTCCGCAGGCAGGAACCAAAGGCATAGATCAGCTCTCCGGGGCAGGCCACGGCTTTGGGGCAACTCTCCTTCGTGCAGTTCCAGGCCCCGTCCAGACACTCACTGAAACACCGGCCAAGAAGGGAAGAGTGAGAGGCCGACACAAAGGCCTCCAGCACCTCTCCACGCTGGTGCTGGTGCCCTTCAAGGGAGTGATTAGAAAAGATACCAGCCCTACTTCCTTCACCTTAAAACCAGGGACAGCTTCACGGAACAAAGAGCAATTGGTCTGAAGATCAAGAAAACATCCTATACAGTGTTCCCTCACTTATCGCGGGTGTTACGTTCCAGGAACACCCGCGAAAAGCGAAAATCCATGAAGTAGGGACACTATATATGTATATCACTTTCCAAGGGTGAGGCAGAAGCGAGGATAAAAGCAAGGATATGGCCTGCCTAAAAGAGTCATCAAAGGCAGTCTGGGTCAAATAGAGGCAGGGTCACAGAAAAAAACATAGTCAAAACATAGTCCAAGTCAAAAGACACAGTTCAGCCCAAGGCAATGTAAGGGATTAGTACAGAAGTAGTCAAAAACAGACAATGTTCAACAAGATAGGTACTTTCAAAGTAAAGAAGTTACTCAAAGATGGAGAAAAAATTCCTTAGCTGCTGCAATGGGGGCGGACAAAAGGAACTGAGGCTGTAATCCCTTCCACTTGATATACTTTCTTGGGGAGTGTGGGTGTGGCTACCACCAAAATTTATCCTAAAGACACCATAGAAGATTCCACAGGAAATACTATATGTGCGATTTTACAGAGACCACAAAGAAGAATCTCAGTCCCACTGTCTTCTGCTTTGGTCAGGCCTCACCCAGAATGTCAGTGTCCAGTTCTAGATCCCGCAATTCAAGATATAGATATGGACCAGCTGGAAAGTGTCCAGAGAAGGGCCACCAAAATGGTGAAAGGTCTGAAAACTATTAATGCCTCTGAGGAGTGGCTGAGGAATTTTGGGGTGCTTAGGTGGGAGAAAAGAAGGGCTCAGAGGAGGGGACGTGAGAGCCAGGTTTAAATAGTTGAAAGGATGGGGCAAGCTTGACTAGGACACAACAGAGCAATGGATTCAAATTACAGGAGGAGCAGGCAGTTTCTTCAGATGTGGGTGAGAGTTCATGGACCCTACATGGATGACCCTGTCGCAGGCGGACTCACGTGGCAAAGACATTCAATGAAATCAACCTATCCTGTAGAGCAGAGACAGACAGGTCACAGGGCGATTTCATCAGATGTCTCCGTCCACAAGCGGAGCGACACAGCATGAGTGGGTGCACACTGGCTTTTCCTGGAGACAGTACCACGGAATTATTATTAAGCCTGGAAACTATACAGGAGCTGCCCTTTTACTGAGTTATATCCTCGAGGTCCAGCTAGGCCAGTATAACCAACTCTGCCCAAGTGGGATTTGTGGCCAGTCCTAGTTCCCAGCCAAGGACGAAGCAGGCCAGACCTGGCTTATTTTCCAAAATCAGTTTGGGCGGCTGCGTTGCTTGTTGGCAATGTTCAGGAGAGGATGCCCAAAGAGGAGACATGCCCTCTCCCTGGATGCATCTCCCACAAGAGTACAGTCGAAAAGCAGCATATGGCTTACAGACTACACCTTGCCAACTCCAGAACTAAATGCACAGAAAGCAGAAGGATAAGAGAAGCAGCATGGAGTCATGGTTTGAGTGTCGGACTACAACTCTGAAGACTAAGGTCAGATCCCCACTTAGCCATGGACGGTGCCCTGGGCAAGTCGCAATCTTTCACCCTTGTTGCTACTAGGAGTTTACAACAGGCTTTTTCTAAGTAACAAGGAGGATCAGAACCTTTTCTGTTACAGCAGCCACAAGTTAATTGGGTGTGTTATCAGTTCCTGCATATAACAAGGCACTAAGGCTTGCAAGCTTTGAGCTTTGCATTTTGGCTTAGCTTGGTGGCTTGTTTTGAGCTGAAGAAACCTTTGCTGGGAGTGGTTATGCAGCATCCTGAAGCTGAAGACTGAAGCAGTTTGGAGTGCCAGAGAAACTGCTTGTTTGTGGCCTTGTTTGCGACAAGGACATTCTACTGATAACTAAGTAGGGAGACTGTATTATTTTGCTATATGTTTGCATATTGTCGTGTAAAGAAGAAGACTCACCGGAGATAATTGTTTGTTGTATATTGGTGAGAACAATCCTTCTGTTTTGCTTTGTGTTTTTGATCTACAGTGAATAGAACTATATTTTTCTTTCTACTTAAAGCAACAGACTTATGTGTATTTTTTTGAGTTTTTATCACACTGAAAGTAAAAGGGGATGAGACATTCTGCAGGCTACTAACACTACTTTGACAACCTTCACAGGACAGCAAAGGCAAGCCCCCTCTGAACAAATATTTCTCGTAAATTGGGTTTCTCTAAGTGAAGGTTGGACACATTTGGAAGGTACACAAAACAAGGCAGGGAGAGAGAGAGGCACATACCAGGTGTTGCAGCTCTTCCGGACCTTGCTGCCAGGGGGATGCGCCTCCCCTTCATGGACGCAGGGGCACATGGCCGGTTGCACACACTGCCCATCGTCATCTAGCACCAGCCCCTCTGGGCAGTTGCACCCCGCCACACAGACCCGGTCCAGGCCCCGACAGGTAGCAGAGGCTTCCAAGCGAAGGTCGGCACAGGTCTTTCGACAGGGAGAGGCACATTCCTGGTGGACTTGGCCCCCTGAGCACTGGACCGCTTTGGGGGAAAGATGAAGAAGCGTCAGAGCATTAAGCTGGGAATTGTTGGAGCATGCAAGGAATCAGTTAATGTGTGTGTGTGTACTGTAAAATAATATGCATGAAGCTGATTGGATCGGGCAATGCCCAGAGAGCAGGCTGAGCCTGGAACTTTTGGATACTGTTACATTTGGACACAGTTTTCCTTTGGAAGGATTTTTGTACCTTGTGGGATGGACTGCCGCCTTATTTCCTTTTATATTCGTTTCATAGAATCATAGAATCCTAGAGTTGGAAGAGACCTCATGGGCCATTCAGTCCAACCTCCTGCCAAGCAGCAGGAATATTACATTATAGTTTATATTAGTTTGGAGGGAAAGACAAAGAAGGGTCAGAGCATTAAGCTGGGAATTGTTGGAGCATGCAAGGAATCAGCTAGTGTGTGTGTGTCTACTGTAAAATAAGATGCATGAAACTGATTGGATTGGGCAATGCCCAGAGAGCAGACTGAGCCTGGGACTTTTGGATACTGTTACATTTTTGTTCAGGCTTGAGCTATACAAGTGCAGAGAGAGAGAATTTGAAGAGAGAAGCAGAGAGAGACAGAGTTTGGGGTGTACTCTTGCTTCATGAGCTGCTGGAAGGGGTTTCTTCATATGGACAAAGAATGACCATTTTAAATCTCTCATAAAAGGACATTATGTGAGTCGATGCAACTGATCACATGATTGTACATATGTTGTTCTGAATTATGAAGAGTAAACTACTTGTTCTTTATTGTCATCTGCGTGGCATATTTTCTTTCTCTGGCAAGGCAGTGTGTGGGCTGGTCAAACAAGAACTACACATAGTTTATTTTACATTACGCCACAGGAATCACGCTGGGCAGCCCTGATCCACCTTTGTAGTGAAATGGGCAGTTTGCTCAACCCCAGAGCAGATTCGCAGCCACCCTTGAAATTCCCTGCCATTTCCTCTTTGCAGCAAACTCACGGCAAAAGCTCTGGTTTCTCCAGGCCAAGGGGGCCCCTTCCTGGGCGCATTGCATGGCGTATGCAGACAGGGTACCGCACAGACAATCCTTGCCGGCAGGACAGTCACAGACATCATGAAGGCAGAGCTGGTAGAATGGCTCCCGCTCCACCCGGTCGTGGCAGGGCTGTGGGTGGGAGGAACAGGACACACGCTCAATCCAGGGCTCACACTGTAGAAGGGACTGCCCTGCAATATTCCCAAGGGACCTTGGAGTTGTGGACAGCCTGGGATGTTCTTGGTGGGCCTCAGCTATGGTAAAGCCATTGATTCCGCCACTTTAAGCCAGCAGTGGAAGTTGCGCCCTTTGTCCAAGGAGGAAATCCCAAGACCATGGACACAGAAAATGAGCACAAGCTGCTTCGTTGAGCGAGAAGTTGCTCAAATACACCATTTAATACCCTTTGCAATACATGAAAGCATTTCTTTGGCCTCTGACCTCCTTCTGGTTGGCTATTCTCACACTCCTTCGAACTCTGAATTCCAAACGGTCAGCCCGATCTAAGATTCCCGTTTCATCAGGGTCAGGCTGCTCGTTATTGTCAGTCTGGTTGCCTTCCTGCCTACTCTCAGGCTGAGAACTGTCCTCCTTTTCTGAGTCCATTTGCACCTGGCTAGTTTCAGTATCAAAAACATCATTCCCTGCTGTGGGAAACTTGCCCACACCCTGTTCCTCCTTGTCAGCAACAGGAACATTTTGAACCTGATTGTGAACCTGAATCCCATCATCCTCATCAGAGTCACTCTGAGAGCCCATCTGAGTCACAACACTATCAGTCTGGGTCTGTGGTTCCAGCTGAGTCACAACACTGGGTGTTCTGGACTTCAGCTCTAACAATTCCTAACAGCCAGTGTTGAAGTCCAAAACACCTGGAGGGCCAAACTTTGCCCATGCCTGGCCTAGTCACCCCCTGTGGTGCCTGGCCTTCCAGTCCTCAGGCTGCCTGCTTGTAGGGGCTCAGCTTGTGATAGTCTCTTTGCCACAGGATTCAAAGGAGAATGATTATGAACCTGCAGAGGTTCCCATGTCTGACTTAAATGATCAGGTTTCTGTTGACTCTTGGGGGTTTGTGAATAGAGATGATGGTCAAGAGAATACAGTTAGCCAGAGTGTACCTGAGGATTCTGGGATAGTTGGTTTTAGAAGGCAAAGATGCCTCGAGGCAGGCTGAGAAAGAGGCCGAGGTTGAACAGTCATGGTTAGATAGAGATAAAGAAAGGAATTTACTAATTGGCAAACTGAGGGAGGCAATCTTTGATCGCAAAGGCCAAATTTATCAGGATCACCACCTGGATTTAGGGAGAAGGCGCTTAGCAAGACTGAGAGAGAAGAGGGGTCAGGGAGAGGTTTCCCAAGGGAAACGGGATGCTTTTGCTATGGCTTTCTGAATAAATAAATAAATAATATATATAGGGCTCTTCAGTGAGTCCAAAGTTTGGTTTTCATGCCCAATCCATGCCTTCCTGTTCATGCAGAGATTCATATATAATTCTGCTTTATATTCATGTGCATGCTGAGATTTTTGTAAGCTGTTAGTCTTGGTTTCAAGATCCTGCATTTGGATTATTGGTTTCAAGTGTGCTCCTGTTTCTTCAAGGGACTTTGGACTTTGCAACCTTCTGGAACTGAAAGACTTTATTCCTGTGGATTTGTTTATTGGGTTTTGGGACTATTCTGTTTTCTGACTTGGATTCCGACTGGATATCATTGCATTGCTCAACTGATTATTTTGTGGACAGTTCCTTATTTCTTGTTTGAATGCTTTTAACCTTTTTTTTTTTTTTTTACTATTGCTATATTAATCTTCAATAAACGGCTTTGCTTATTAAGGAACATTGGTGTGTTTACGGGTTCAAAGGTGCCAACCACAGTGTTGTGGCTCAGTCTGAGCCTGAGTCTGAGGCTGAACTGTCTGGGCCTTATGCTGGGCCTGCTGGGCCTTCTGAGTCTGACTTTCTGCAGGATGACGAGGAGGCTGATGGGTTACAGATTTCTGTACATGTTCCAGATGTGGCTGATAGTGTGGCTTCTGTGGAAGAAACAACAAGTCTGTTCCCCGGAGAAAAGAATGTGCCTTTAGATAAAGATAGTGAAACTCCACAACTGCAGGTGGAAACTCCTTTTGGTTGCCAGGGTGATCAGGCCCAGCTGGGTCGAGATAATGAGTTGTCTAGCCTTGAAGATAATAAGTAGACAGGATCGTTTACAGTTAAGAGTTCACAGAAGCACACGTCTTGCCAGCAAACGTGAAGCCAAAGGTCAACGCAATGCATTCATGTCAGGGAAGCTTATTTAATGATATAGCCAACAGACATTTTCTGTCAGTCCAATGTTGCTCTTTCCTGGTTAACTTCTGTGGAATCACCTTGGCCTTTGCGGAACGCTTTTGGCTTCTTCGAGACTTGGATTTTGATCCTGATCTTACCTGTCTACCATAGACTCTTGTTTGACCATTGCTAAAGGATTATGCTTCATGCTATTTGCCTTTGGATCTTGGGAACTTTGCCTTTGCATTTAAGACTCTGTTTTGCCTATTGAACTTTTACATCTTTATTTCCCTGTTTTGATTTTGCTTTTTCTCAATAAACTACAAAACCTACAGCCTTGGTGTGTGGTGGTGTCTTAAGCAAGGTGAAAACTACCCTGAGTTGCGACACCCAGCCCCAATGTGCAATACTTCTGTCCTTTCTCACCTGAAAGGGAGGGCCATGGAGGGCGGCGCAAGTGACCTCTGCAAACTCCCTCCGCTGGACATAGGTGTCACAGGGGTCAAAGATCAATGTGGCTGAAGAGGGGCAGTCATGAGACACCCGGAACTTGTGGGCGAAGGCAGCAGGGCTGGGCTCAATGTCTCCCTCCGGAGTGGTGAATTCATCCTGCTGGTTCCAGTTGTAGGTGCCGCAAAGGCCTCGCACCTGGAGGATGGAGTGGACAGGTAAAATGCAAAGAAGGTTGGGGGAATCTTGGGAAGAGAAGCAGCTATACTGGACTCCCAGGAAAGATTGGGGGAGTACACTCCCTTGTGCTCCCTGCCAAAAAAGGTGAGCGGATGCCTCATGCCCTAGGGCAGGAATGGGCAAACTTGGGCCCTCCAGATGTTTTGGACTTCTACTCCCATAATTCCTAATAGCCTACTGGTTGTTAGGAATTTTGGGAGTTGAAGTCCAGAACACCCGAAGGGCCGAAGTTTGCCCACGCCTGACATATGGGTCCTGGTCCTCCATAGGGTGAATCCCTATCCTACAAATATATCATCAAACAAAGTAAGGCAAACAGGTCACTGCGTTTTATGTTCACCTTGTTGGCGAAGCTGGGCTGCAGAGTGATGTAGGCAGCTGGGGAGTCCAGGCCCCAAAGGACGTGGGCCCCAAAGGTCTGGAGAAGCAGGAAGGAGGAGGATGCTCTTCGGATGCTCAGGTCAGCGCTGGCGAAAGGGAGGGTGGCCTCCTGGCCATTCACCAATATCTCCCCTTGGAGGCAGAAAGAGGAGGAAAATTGGGCAAGGACTAGAACGGCGTGGTCAATGCCCCTTGTGTGGCCTGTCCCAGGGCAGCTGGGTTAAACCCATGAACCTGCCACGGGAATCTCTAAAACAGTGGTTCTCAACCTGTAGGCCGCGGACCAAAAGTGGGCCACGAGGACGAAAATCTGGTCCGTGAGCCTCATTCCTCTTTATTTATTTATTTTATTTTATTTTACTTCTGCTCCTACCATTCCTTCCCAGTTGCTGACCAGCCTTGGTGCCCATATCAGAAACATAAATATGCAATTTAACTGCAGTATAACAATAAAACAGTATAAAACAGTATAAAACAATATAAAACAATATAAAAACAATCAAGCAGTCAGTAGTCGCTGGTTTGAAAAATCATCCGAGGGCCAGTAAATCAATTCTATAAAAGTCATCACGTCAGCAAGTCAACCTAATCTACAAAAGCCTGATCCCATAGCCAGGATTTCACTTGTTTTTGGAAGGTCAAGAGGGATGCAGCAGATCTAATTTCACTTGGGAGGAAGTTACATAGCCAAGGGGCCACCACAGAAAAGGCCCTGTCCCTTGTCCTCGCCAGACGCAATTGCAACAATGGGGGGAAAACAAGCAGCGTCTCCCCGGATGATCTTAGGGCCCTAGGTGGATCATAGCGGGAGATATGTTCGGGCAAATAAACTGGGCCAGATAGACCACATCAGCTCTAGATGGTTAAATATGGTTTTCTGTGGGTGAGCAGATGGTGACTACTGGGTGGCATATGTTCTGTCTCAGAAACTAGAGCTGATGTGGTCTATCCAATGCAATTTTCTGAATCAGCACTCCAAATCACTAAACCAAATCTAAAGTTGACCCAAAACCGATTCGTAATCCTTTTGGTACTCATGTTGGAGAGGGGTCCCTGGTCAAAGTGGTCCCGGATTAAAAAAAAAAAGGTTGGAAACCACTGCTCTAAAGTTAGTATGGGATAGTCGAGGTAGAATCACTTTCTTGGGGTCCAGGCCTCTATCTCTTGGTGGGAGGTTGGGGGCTGTCAGCAAATGGGCCGTGAAGCTTCCTCTGGGATAGATCTTGTGCTCCATTGTTTATCACAGAATCACTGAGTTGGAAGAGACCTCATGGGCCACTCAGTTTTCTGGGGTGACTTAGATTAGCAGTCAATTCCAGCTCCAAACACCCTGCCTCCCATATCTATGCCATGCATGAATACTCCCACCCCCATTTCACCCTTTTGCAGAAGCCTTTTACAGGTCTTGGTGGTGTGTGGGACCCACTCCTTTGGCAAAGGGAGCATCCCTGTGGGTCTCACATAGATATACGGAACTGCAGCCCTGCTCCAAGTGGGATGTGTGGAGTGAAGGCAGTGGGAGGTATTCCCAGCCATGCCACATCCTTGAGCTCCACCTGCAGAAGGTTCCCTGCATTCCATCCCGCCCCTTCTTCCACCTCTCACCTGAGAAGGACAGTTGGGCAGAGACCTTCTGCACAGTGATTCTCAGTGCCTGGAGGCAGTAGACGGATCCCAGATTCCCACACGCCTCATTTTCAGCCGTGATCTCAATTTTCCCATCAACAAAATCCTGCAGGAAAAACCCCCGGGAAGCAAGAGCATTTGGGGTGGGAATCCCACCAAGGGGGAGGGGCTGCCCCTTCCTGCTTCTCCTGCCTCTCATTTAGTTACAGGGGGCATTGGGTGAGGTCCCCCAAAGGGTTGAATTGGAGATCAGCACCTTGACATCACCATTGAATGCTTAGACTGAAACCCAGAGCAAGTGCTCTGCTCCGCCTTGACCTGGATGCCACCAGTTGCCACTGGAGTCTGGAAGAGGAAACGCTCCCCCATTGAAACCCAAGGTGAGGGACACTGTCTGTGTCAAAGGGCCCTTACCTGTACCAGGATGTACTCGCAGGCCCCTTGGAAGGAGTAGCGCTTGCGGTCAAAGGTCAGGAAGTGCGAGTGGCCAAGGAGGGCACACTCCCCAGCGCATGGGTCGCGGGAGCAGAGCCATTGGCCACCTCGGCAAGTGCTGCAAGTAGAAGGACAGCACAACTCCATGACAGAAATCCCAGAGCTGCCAGGTAGCTTTTCACTAACACTGTTCTCAAAAGCAACAAACCATTTTGCAATTTCCCTAGCAAAAATCACATCTGCCTTTCTAAGTTCTTGTTGAGGACTAAAGCTTGGTCCCTCTTATGTAAGGATGTTTGGAGAGAGTCCCTGTAGCCAATCCCCAGAGGGGCTCTCCTATCACTCGACTCTGGGCATCTTCCCTGGATCCAGGGGTCTCAATAGATCCAAGGGAGGTTGGATGAGTGCTCTTCAGGAGTGTTTTGGGGCTGGGCTGGGTGGTCCTTGGGCTCTTTCCCTGAATGCTATGACTCACCACTGGTTGCAGTGCTGCTGGAGGGTCTCTCCTGGGGCATACTTCTGGCGCCGATGGAAGCAGGGGCACTGGCTCTGGGGGATGCAGGTGCCCTGCTCCAGGTAGAGCCCCGGCGGGCACTCGCAGCCACTCACGCACTCCTCCCGGCAGTGGCCCTCCTCTGTGGTGCCCACCGCCGCACAGCTGGCAGGACATGAGGATACGCAGTCCGAGTAGTGCTGGCCTTGGCCACAGGACTTCTCTGTCCAGAGGGAAGGACGGGAGGAGCATGAGGCCGCCTGTCCTGTCCAGGCAGGATGGCTCCAGGTATTTTGGGGAGGGGGCACATCTTCCCAAGGGGACCTGCCAGGAGTCTCAGATCTACAAGGGAGACTCTTTCATATATTGTCGAAGACTTTCATGGATGGAATCACTGGGGTGTTGTTGTGGTTTCTGGGTTGTATGGCCATATTCTAGCAACATTTTTCCTGATGTTTCGCCTGCATCTGTGGCTGGCATCTTCAGAGGATCTTTGAAGATGCCAGCCACAGATGCAGTGAAACATCAGGAGAAAATGCTGCTAGAACACGGCCATACAGCCCGGAAACCACACAACACCCTGGAGACCATTCACTCAGCCCAACTGGCCTTCCAGGTACACTTCCCTTAGCCACCCATGTGGACAATTGGAGAATTTTGAGTATCTCAAATAAAGAATGGTCAGACTGTCTGAACACACTGAAACATGTCCAGAGAAGGGCAAAAAATAAGCCTTAGAAGGAACGACCAAGTGAGTTAGATAGGTTTATCTTGGAGAAGAGATGACAGAGAAGAATGGGTTGCTAAACCTTTAACTGTGTTTCTTTGAGTGGTCATCTGTGAACTTCATCCATATGAGTTCCTCTCTCAGGGAGAGTGGGTGGGGCTACCACCAAAACATTTCACCTTAAGAGCTTCTACAGCAGTGGTTCTCAACCTGTGGGTGCCCAGATGTTTTGACCTTTCAGAAATCCTAACAGCTGGTAAACTGGCTGGGATTTCTGGAAGTTGGAGGCCAAAACACCTGGGAAGAGACCCAAAGGTTGAGAAGCACTGGAGTAGAGAGTTCCGAAGGGCTTCCCGCATTTGAAAAACCCATATGTGCGATTTCACAGAGACCACGAAGAAGAAATGACAGGATAAAGGTCAGACTCAATATCTGGAGATGGAGCCAGCTTGTTTCCTGCTGCTCCAAGGCCTCTGAACAAGAAGTTCCACCTAAACTTTTGTAGGAACATCTTGACTGTAAGAACTGTATACCTCTTTACAGCGGAAAGAACTGCTTCAGGGAGTGGTGGGTTCTCCATCTTTGCACAGGAGCTGGATGGCTATCTGTCAGGAGTGCTCGAGTTGTGTGTTCCTGCCTGGCAGAGGGGGTGGTCTGGATGACCCTTGGGGTCCCAGATAAAGATATGATTCCCATGGTTCTCCCTCGGCCTCCTTACCACAGAACCCGGGGTGTCTCCAGCTGACCAGGACGCTGTGCTGGGCGCACTCCCGGGCATAGCTGGCAAAGGTCTCACAGATGGCGCCTTCCCCTGATTGGCTGCAGTGGGTGTACATGCAGGTGTCGTAGAAGCCACTGGGGTCCACCTGGCAAGGGTGGCAGGAGCCATTATAGACAGCTTCAGCAGAGGGTGGGCTTGTGCAAGGACAAGGGGAGGCAGCGGGAGTGGGAAAGGGGAAAGCGGCTCACCTCTGAGTGGCATTGGCTAAAGGGGCTGGTCATCAACTGTTGGCAAATGGATGCCGCCTCCTGCTGAGCTGTGTGTCCCACCA